CGTAACACATATGTGATTATAAATCAAAATCCTTCACTCTATATGTTTTCCTCTTTTCTTGTACCTAAGTTTAAAATTTTTTTTAATAAGAAACTCATTTCTTTTCACTACAGAAAATGAAATGAACATTTTTAGCATTCCAAAAATTAATTAAATCGATTGTTTCTAAGAAACACCTCTGAGACTATTTCTAAACGATATTTGAAGAATAATAACCGACGAGAACGAGTTTTTGATTAGGTAATTTTAAATTTATATAAATTATAAAAAACAAGTTTAAGTAAAAAGATAGTATTAATTTAGCATAAGCAGTCTAAATGTAAAGAATATATAGAGATTATTTTGAAAAATTCATGTTAGAGAAAAATTTATTTGATCGATAAAATATTAATTTTATATTTTTTTAAAATCATTACTAGTTTACATCCTGTATGCTTCAATTGGTTATGTCAAAAGCGCAGAGTGCGACCTTTACTACAAATAACTGGTTTATATCTACTCAATAATTTTATTTATATGTAAAAATGGAAGTTATACACATAATAATATATTAATAACAAACACCGTGAAGTTAATTAATAAGTTGAAAGTAATCATAAAGCAATGTAAATAATTTCTATTTTAAAAGAACATTAGCTTATTTTACATATGTATGTATTCAACCGTTTTTGACGTCCCACTGCTGGGCACGGGCCTCCCTTCAATACGAGGGGGATCAGGCCATAGCCCACCACGCGGGCCAAGTGCGGGTTGGCGGACTTCACATGTCTTTCGAAAACTTGCTAGGTTCTCTCAGACATGCAGGATTCCTCACGATGTTTTCCGTCACCTTAAGGCAAGTGGTAATCATGTTAGAAATGGTTCGCGCATGAAAATATCAGAGATGCGAGACCCGGGATTTGCACCCGCTTCACTCCGTTTCCCAAGCGAGCGCGTTACCACTGGGCTACCACTGCCTTTAACATATAATATTTCCTTAAGTAACTCTTTTTTTATTATAGAAAAAAAAAACTAAAATACAGTACATCTATGTGTTATACATTTTTTCCTTCATTTCTTACGACCCGATTTGCATCGGACCTTTATCATACGGGTTAATAGTATTTTAATATTAATTTATTATTGTTTACATATTATGTTGATAAAGTTATAAATGATAAAGGGCAAAAACTATCACGTCAAGCGTTTGTTTTGAATATGTTTTAGATGACAAGGACGATAAACGATTAATGTTCATTATTATTATATTTTAAGTTCGTTATTTAAAGTAATTTGAAACTAAGTTAAGATAAATTCACACCTGTAAAGAACAATATTGTAACTTTATTATTATTATTGTAGCATTGTGATTTGTGGCAATAACACTGCCCGCTGTTTATGTTATGTTGATGAATCCTATGTAATTACAAAAAACATACTATTTTATTTCCATCTCGTCCAGTTTTTTGTAACAGCTGTATTCTAATTTGTCTCATTTACGTGATTTCGTTTGAATAACTTAATTTCGGCGGCTAAATAACACAAAAGTGCTCAAATAACCCGTATAGCTTTTGTTATGTGTGTAGAGAATTTTTAGTGTATCGGTATCAACGTCGAACACTTACTTTACTTACCAAAATAATATAAATAACACTTTTGTATTAATAAAAGTCTTATTTATATTATTTTCGTTTTTCTGTGCGTCATCAAGACAAATCTTGGGTTCCACATATATGTTATTTATTATGTGTGACACTCCTATCAGGTTGGGCTTTGTATTTGTCACTTTGTATACCAATGAATGGGACAGTAGACATTGCTGCATAAGCAAGCATAGCCCAAACATCAGTCACTCACTCAAGGATATAAGAATATTAAAAATGAACCTTTGGTGAACCCTAAAGAAATATTTTTATCGCCTATAGGTACATATAATAAATATGTAGCTGAGCCGAATCTGTAGATTATTTTTTTTGTAAAATCTTATTGAAATAGTCATTATTACAGATACAAAGGCCGAGTTTATAATTTTTATAATTTTTGTCTGTCTGTCTGGGAACGCATCACGAGAAAACCACTGTGCAGATTTTGATGAAATTTCGTATGATGATAGCTGGTTATGGAAATTTATACTAAACGTTAAATCATAACCAGGGACAAACCCACACATATAAAACTTGGCCTCATAAAACACTATGTGAAAGCCATGTATAAAGATGATACTTCATTTCATACTTACAAGGTAAATTTCTTAAACTTAACAACGTCAAAACTAAAGAGGGAATATTTGTTGATTCACATACACAGGAAATAATCTATCTATACTTATTATAAAAATAAGTCCCCCGGCCGCGTCTTTCTGTCCTCCTGTCTGTCCTCCTGTCTGTCTGTACGCGATAAACTCGAAAACTACTGAACGGATTTTTATACGGTTTTCAACAATAGAAAGAGTAATTCTTGAGGAAGGTTTAGGTATATAATTTATTATGCTTTTATGTAAATTAGCTGAAATACGGCGACAAATGTTGAAGAGGTCGCAAAAAATCTCGCCAAATGGGAACTTTCCACGCGAACGCCGCGTAAACTAGCAAAGATACAGTTAAGTAATGTACTAGAGAATTCAAAATCTATAAAAATGCTACAAAAAAGTCCGCGATAGCATATCTCTATCTCTTACGGTTGACTTACAATAACCACTTTTATGTTAACATTTTTAATTAAAAACATTACGTTATTTTCAAAGTTATTTTCTTTAGTTCGGTATTAATCCTTATCCAAATGAATATTTTAGTTAGCTTAGTCATTTAATGCAGATTAAAATTGCTCTTTACACTAAATCAATCAGATGAATAGTTTTTGAGATATCGTTGTTAGAAGTAATTAGTAGCGAAACATTTTTAATGCTTGGCGAGCATTGAGATGCCTACGGCGAGTCCATCCCCTCTGCCCCGCATCGCTCGACCGCCTGCTCAAGCTATATAAACCGGGCGATGTAGCGCGCGATCCTAGGATACTTTTTACCGCGGGAAAATATCTTATTTCTGAGGAAAAATACAAAAACTGCAATGTAAGAGTATACTAATATGTAACACCTAAGAATTTAGTTTTTGGTCATCTGAACGCGGGCGGAGCCGCGGGCAATGCTAGTGGAGAATAAAAAAATTGAACGGAAACTGAATGATTATGAAGAATTAACATTAACAAAAGATGCTAGGCATCTTCAATGTCGTTCACAAATTTTTAGGAAACTACAGAGCGGAAAATTACAAAGATTTTATTGAACTTATAATTTCATACAAAGCTTTATAGTGTAACATGTCCTTAAAAAAACATGTCCTGAACTATCATTTGGACTTCTTTTCCGAGAATCTGGTTACAGTTAGTGACGAACAAGGTGAGAGATTTCATCAAGACATTTCTTTAACAGAGAAAAGAAACTGGACGTGTCAAGTTTTTTTCATGAAAAATATTGTTAGGTGGCCAGGCCATAGTAGGTATATTTGACATTTAATAAATAAATATTTTAAATTTGATGTTTTCGTGGAACAAAAAAAAGTTTGAATTTCGTAGACCAATGCAATTTTAGGACTGGAAACTGCCACGCTGATTTACATAAATATGATTATTGACTATATATTTTATGTAACTCAGTTATACCTATTTGAGTTTTATAATTTTGTTGTTCACATTAAATAATATTGGATAGATATTTGAAAAACGTTAGGTACCTTACCTTGTTTTCCAAGGAATATTATCTACTTTAAGATGATAGCATTTTGACCTCTTTTATTCATGTTTAGCATTGATATGATTAATGAAGAAAAATGAGCGTGGAAAATATTTTTAAATTGTGTAGGTCAATGTAAAATGAAAACAATAGAATTTCCATTTACTTTAACGACTCCTCTCAAGCACATTCCATCAAATCGTTTAGGCCACAAGCTGTGCCAAAGAAGCATATATACATAGGTACATACATACATACACTCGAAAAGCATAACCCACTTTCTGGCGCAACTGGGTAAAAAAAAATCTGATCGAATTTCAACCACCGGGCGAACACCAGTGAAGATAAATAATAATTATATACTTTTCAGTTCAATTGCCATAAATTAGACGATGATGAATGATGATCTTTACGATCGTATCTTCAACAAACGCGGGATATCACATAATTTTTAAATAAAAACATAATGTTTTGACAGAACAGCAATGACGCTGAATGGTGACGATCCATGATGTGATCCTCTGACGTCGATAAAAAATATTTTTAATTGGTCGTGTTATTGTTTTTCTTGTATTGTCACAAATAGATGTAGCAACCGTTCCACAATATTTTGATTGTGGGAATGCAATCGATTTGCGTAAAGATTTATTACTTTGATGGGCTTGTTTTGAAACGTTATTAAATAGATTCAATAATATGTGATGCGTAATGGATATATACATAGGTTGTAGGTACTTTAGCAATTTCACTGAAAATAATTTAAAAAAATAATGGTATTAACCCACTATTTTTTTATATAGACAAAATTGTTAGGTATTATGCTATTAGATAAAAATCTTGCTAAAACATATTTTTAATAGTAATATGACTTAGATACTATTATTTAATTAACATAAAATATAGCACATATAAAAAGATAAAGATATCTACGCTTCTAGTTCATTTACATAAAATAAAACAGCGAGGTAAGCTTAATAGTTTGAGAAGTGCGATTTTAGAATAACTTAAACAAACACAATTATTACATCATGCTTAGGAAAACCTTATGGGAAAAATAATATAATATAAAAATTTACATTTTATGCGCAACTGTTCCAAAATTTTCGTCAGAGTTTATAGCACATAACAAATATATTGAAAAATATCTAATAATTCCGAGATTATAACAAATATTTAGATAAAATAAAAATAATTATGAAACATTTTCACGGCCAAGATTCGCAGCCGATCTCGACGAAGTTTGACACGTAGATATTGGGCATATTCTATATACGGCTGAATAAAAAAATAACACATGATTCCTGAAAAGATATTTCTGATACCTTCAAACCCTGGTAATAAAGAATTCCTGCCAGATTCGGATAAAATGTATTTCAAGCTTCCCTTAATATATTTGAATGGCATAAAAGTTTCTAAATTTTTTTGTGAACTAAATAAAAATACTCAAGAAACGCTATATAATTTTAAATATATTGGTATCGATTTATTTATTTAATTAGTACACCAACATGATATAGAGTAACTTAACAAAATTAGACAATTTTACAAAGGAGGTCTAAATCCAACTGTTATCATAACCATGATATCAATTACATTGTACATTAAAGGGACGTGACTTAAGCTAGATTCTGCCGTCGTGTAGACTCGTCGTCCGTAACATGCATGATCAATTTAAATATTATATTGTATATAAATTTGTATAACTCTACATCAATTTTATTGTGGGTGAGGTTTTGATTGTGGGTGAATTCAATAAATTAATGATTAAAAAAATGCTGTTATTTTATCTATAACTACAGGTTAATAAAATTGAAATGTTCTGTTTGTAATGTCAAAACAACAGTTTTTTACTTAATGCATATGAAATACATAATATACGGAATAAATTTGGGAATAAATTTTCTTTCTGTTTGTTCCGGCTAATCTCCGAAACGGCTGGACTGATTTTGGCGGAACTTTCACTGCAAGATAGCTGATGTTATAAGGAGTAACTCAGGCTACTTATATTTTAGAAAAAAAATCAGGGTTCCGAACAATATATTAAAACCCATGAAATTGTGAACAAAATCCGCGTACCCAGGGGCGCACCCGAGCGAAGCGAGGGTAATTCGCTAGTTGACAATATGTGTTAAATGTTTTGTAATAAAAGGTTAAGTCCCCATGAGTTCTTTGTTTACCTTTAGTTAACTACCTAAACCTATGGAGTAGATATAGGAAAATATTATTTTTGAGTGCATGCACATTTGATGATAATATTGCAGACCTTAAAATTATAAAATAAATAAACTCACGCAGAACCAAAAAAATTCATGATTATAATTTTTTTTATTTAATCATTTATTTCAGGCAATATTTACAAATAATATATACCTTAAAACTAACATAATTATATATAATAATTAATCATAATCCCTGTGTAACCTCTTTTTACCTGACTGCGTTGAACTGCGGTGAATGAATATTATAGATAAATTGTTTTTATTATTTAAGAATAATATAATCAATCATATTTGTACAAGTATTATAGGTTAAAGTAAGAAAAAAAATTGAAAAAAAAAATGAAAAAGTTATCGCTAGTCCGAATTTGTTTTTTTTTTAATTTCTTTTGTGGGGGCCCCTCTCTTGTGGAGGCCCCGGGGCTCTAGCCCCGGTTGCCCTCCCCTAAATCCGGCCCTGATATGTTGGCAGTTGTTTAATTAAATTTTCGCTATAGCAAAGGTGCCAGAGAAATCTTATTAGAATTTTTTCAATATTCTTTTTATAAATATCATAATGAGGATTCCAATGAACACTGCAATATTTAAGGGAGCTCCTAGCTAATGTTTCGTAAATTAAAATCTTTGTAAGGGGATCACGGAAATCTTTACAATTTCTGATAATAAAACCTAATATTTTATAGCATATATTCGTCATAAAATCAATGTTTCTTAAATTTTAGTTTGCTATCAAAAATTACACCAAGATCTTTAACGAATTCTACCGTCAATAATACTAAGTCTTTTATTATATACTCATTGGGTGTACTTTCTCGTGAATTGGATATATAAACATTTATCAGTGTTTAGTTTCATCCGGTTATTATTACACCACTCAATTATATGATTTAAATTATCTTGTAGCAATTCAACATCTAATTGACTTCTAATAGGTTTAAATCATCAGCGAAAAGGAAAAACTCAAAATGTCTAAAGCAATTGCAAATATCATTAATGAAAATGTTAAATGATATTGGTCCTAAATGGGACTCTTGAGGTACTCCATATTTAGTGGAACAGGCGAAGGACGAAAATGAATATTATTATTAATTATTATTTTAATTGATATCATATTTAAGTAAAAAGACAATTTAAATGTAGATATTATATTTTTAATAAATTATTTGTTATTTTTATTAGCAAATGAAGAAATGAAACTTATATTTAAAAGAAAACTCTAATACCCTTTTGGGAACGTTTGCCATTACAAATGTTACCCTTAATAAAAATTGTCATAGTTATACAAAAAGTCTCTATATAGCGCTGCGATAAAATTAAAAAGGCTACTTATTCGAAAAATAAAAGCTTAAAAATTCACGAGTTTAAAATGTTGAGTACCGCTTATTCTATTAAAATAAATTTTAATAAACAGGCACGGGTGGATTCAACTTAATTATGTTAAATGTCTGCGTTATCTTACAAGATCGGTGGGTTTATTCACCGGCCTCGGCGGACGTCACAAAACTCGAACGACCATCGAGATAGAGTTATCAAAACAATTTCTCTTATTTATAACTGAATATATACTTAATATTATTTATGTAATTTTAGGGGTATTTAAAACGAGTATTTCAGTTTTTTTGTTCTCATAACTCTGTTTTTATTAATTTTGGTAATTTATATACCTACTTACAGCCATTTAGGCTCACTGCTTGAACTGACTTCTAGCCCAAGCAGTGCAACCAAATGATTTTCTATTGATAACATAAACAAAATCATTAAAAAATAACATAAACAGCTATCCAATATGTTTGTCATTTTCCCTGCCTGCTTAATAAGCTTTCATCCCCTACTAAACATTTTTAGGGGATGATTTTCAAAATCCATTAAAACCTATTCTATTTAATTGGCGCTCGCATTCGTTATAAAGGCAAGTAGCTTTTCAGTAAAACTGCTTGCTCCAAGATCCTGCTGTTATATGTAAATAATATTATTATTCTTGTTTTAATCATTATTTATAATTCTACTATCTGTAGATTCGGTTTTAAATGTCAGCAATCAGCATTGCATAACATGTTTTTCCATAAATATATACAAAATATAATTTAATGCAATTTTTAAAATAAAACAAAATAATATCAGATTCAATTTTAACAAAAATTTACGTCGACGACTAAAATTAAAATCATTATTAGAGGACGTAACGCGTATAACGTGGAAGAATGCAATATACATAGTTTTGGCAACGCTGAACGCGTCGTGGCTAGCGCAGCCGGCACAGACGCAGGCGCACAGCCACGGGCTCGCAAGATAAGCGAAACATTACATCAGATCGCGGCGCGTGCCCATCGGGTATAAAACCACCGCACGCCTCGCGACCGACTCATTCACAAATTGCTACTGATAAATGAACAGTCAATATTAGATAGTGGCAATGATTTACGATTCCATGCATCTACCTGATTCTGTTAATATTTATCCGAAATACGAACAGTGGTGGTACAGTGACAATTGGTGTGACAGTCATTCTCCAGGGTTCGAGCAGCAGAAGAGATAACGAAAATTTTCTCGATCTTGTGAACTTAATAGGTAAATATTATTGTTTTCATAACTTTTATGTAATTAATTATACTTATATCTGTAGGTATTATCAAGAGGTAAAATGTATTTATTATATTTCCTTCAATCATATTGTACTTAATCATTTATTTCCTTCCTATAGTAACCCATTTTTATTGTTCTTTTAGTATCTTAATTATTTTAGTTTCAGGGCTATAGGATTTAGGATTTATCTATTAAAAACTTTTTTTTATTTTAAAATACATAAGCCATGTTTAAAATGTAAATTATCCGACAGCGTATCTGGACCCAGAGGTCAATCAATTATGGCCAAATTTTATCTTTCCTGTACATATAGGATTTGCGTCAGTTCATTGAGATAAGCTCGTACATTGTTAAACAATTTTTTTAACGATTAATGTTTAACTTTAATAAAATGTAATTGGATAACTTTAATATGATATACACAGATTTGCTACTCTACTTTGATATTCAATACTTTTATCTAGCAAACTTAAGTCGTGCGTCACCGTCATGCGAGCGTGAGCTAGTATCATAACTCAAACGTTTTTTTTAAGTTATTCAAATCAGAAGTCCGGAACCACACTATACATTAATGAAATTATAACAACGTTCAAATTATCTACTGAATTCTATATAAGAATTATAATTAAATATAAACGCAATATAAAATAAAATGACATTGTTCTTCTTTACAGTAGCTGGCCTCCAACGGAAGATATCAGCCGTATTTATACTTTAAGCCCTTGAATTTACTCATATTGAACGGAAGTGGAAATCCAAAATATAATGGCAACTGTACAGTCTCCTCCTGAAATAAGCCTTTCGGCTACGATGCCCGTGAAGCAAGAGACTGAGATAGATATAGTGGCGTTAACAATGGCCGCTCTGCGTTTTGTTAGCCCTTGGTCCGTAGAAAAACCAAAGCAATGGTCACGTATAGAACCGGGGACTACTGAAGCTAAAGATCGCATCATTTCCCTTGCAGAAGTATCTCTACATGACACACAAGACGACTGCTGGGTCGTGATTTACGACCGCGTGTACGATATCACCACGTTCCTTGACGAAGTAAGTACATACAAATTATAATTAACTATAATCAATTTCATTTTAATCATGGAATAAGACAAGGCTTTTAGTATCAACATCGAAATTTTTGTAAAATATCATTTAAATTAAACTTTTATTTAAATTAAAAATATCCAACAATAATTTTGTTTCGTCAATTATTTTTCTAATATATATATTTTCTTAATAGCATCCTGGTGGTGACGAGATCATGTTGGAATACGCAGGGCGCGACGCGAGCACCGCTTTCAGAAGTTCTGGTCACTCAAATATGGCGACGAAAGCTTTAGACCGTTTCCTTGTGGGAGAATTGCCCATGCAAGAACGTATGTATCGTCGGCCAGGAGGCATTCGTCTAAGCGATATACCTGAATAAAATTCAGTCAATTAGATTTACTGATTGGAAGTTACGAGGTTATTAATAATTGTTTTTAATTGTTAAATTAAAAATTACATACTTTAGCACCATTAAGCATTAGGTAGTAACAAGTTCTTTTTCTATTTGTAAATTATTTCTTTTTATTTTATATTAAAATTGTAACCGTGGATTAATTAAGTTTTTAAGTTTAAATAACCTCAAGTTTACTTCCGGTTATATTTATTGTTTAAAGCAACTTAATTATTTTGTAGCTAGGCTAAGTTATCGCACCACAAACTTATCGCTTTTAAGTTTCACATTTACTAGGTATACTTTAGGTATTAATGTTAACGCAAGAGACCGTTGTATGGTCGGCGATAAGTCATAACGAATATTTGCCAGTATTATCTGGTATAATTATCTGTAAGGTATCATTATTTGCATTTATTTAGGCAACAGTATTATAATATTTTAATGCATTAAGCTCTCCTTATTGTTTTTTTTGTATTTAACTTGTATTAAACTTAAACGTTCCTATAGATTTTTATAAAATATATATACGTGTATCAAAAAATACTGGTTTGTTTTAATTCCTGTGTTCTTTTTATATACATATATTCTTATATTTCATTGGTGTTTCGCAAATCTGGTTTTCACAAAGAGAAAGTAGGTAATTCGTATTAAATCAAGCCTGTTTTAATACTTTATACACTAACATAAAAGGTATTAAATAAAAAGACAGTATATATCGCATACCGTTATATTTAAATATAAATAATTTGGCATTTATATCATAATTTGAATAACCATAATCCTAAGTTTTCTAAACCTTCTTACCCGACCTGAAAAGAATAAAAGTGAATATATAAAAATTATATTAAATAACATATTGAAATAAGCATATTTATTTTTAATTTTACAGGTGTTTTTTTCAAAACAGGTAAATGAACCTAAAATATTAATTTTATAATCAACTTGACTTTGTCGGCTTCATCTGTCTAAATGATATTTTAAAATTTTACCGTATTAAAAAAAGCTCATGTGTATCAATTCTCACTACGATCGATTGAACGTTGGAAAAGTTCATGCGCTGCAGCGTTATCTAGTGAGTTACAGCAAAAAGGTTTACATAAAAAATGTGTCAATTTTTTAAGGCAATCGGTAAAGAGCTTTAGGGGATTAGGGGTTTTGCACAAACGATTAATTTATATTTTTTAATTAATAATAAAGAGATAATAAATACATGACATATTATTTTTATAATTTGTAATTAAAATAATGACTTTTTTACCTAATATTTTCAAAAAAAAAATTTATGTTCAGGAGAGGAAATTTAATTTGTTTATGGTTTTTAAATAAATGTTGCCTATTGAGCAATGAGCACTTGAAACAAAAAATACACCGGAATATATTATGATGATATATGTATGTACCTATATCGAAACTATGAATGATTTTATTATTTTCTTTTGTCGAATAATTTCTATATTTTTATTAAAATTTAACCGTACATTTAGTAGAATATGTATACTGTATAATTGTATGTACGTACTGCTCTACGACGGTATAGAAAAATTCATTTCAAATCTATTTATTTTATTCGACTTAGGTAAGTGTGCAAACAAAAAATATTAAACGATGTATATTCCACAAAACAATATCGCTTCAAGGAAAAATAAATGCGATAAGAAATAAAAAAAAAACCATATCATGTAATAAAATTTATAGATTGTTAATTGCACTTTATCTGTAGGTACTGGCGACCAGACCTCGCTTCGCTCAGGCTTCAGACACGACTCTAGGTAACTTTTTGTAACTGATAAATATCACACATGATTATAAGGGTTAAAATGTACCCTAAAAGGGTAAAGCAAGACGCTTTTGAGCGATGAATATCTCTATGAAAATAACGTATATAAATGTGTTGCTTAACGTCAATCTCTTGTTCTGTTCTTGCTTGATGCAAATATAAACCCACAAATGTACTTGTGCATTTACCATTTTTTTATAATTACAGTATTAATTAAGCGGTTTGAGAGTGAAAACTAACAAAGAAACCGAGAAAGACTAGCAATCTCATCCAATAGCCCAGTTTTTAGCCCATCCAAACTCCATTCTATAAACCTATTTAGTTTCCATATTTTACACAGTCCTTATGCATTATCCGGGGGCAATCTTTGGGGAATTCCCTATAGGTTACTCAGAGGGGCCTCTACGTGTTAGACCTGCGTCCCCAAACCCCACGCAAGCCCTCCAAAGGACAGGGCTCCTTTGAACCAGTGAAATCCAAAGAGGTACAAACACAATAATAATAATAATAAACTTAATTTTATTAAGCCAACATTAGCCATTAAATGTCCCTTAACCAGTAAAATCCAGATTTTTATTTCAGATTGACTGATCGCTGTTTCTAACAGGATTTTAATAGCTTTACTTGTAACTAAGTAATTAATTAAATCTTGAAAGTCGATTTTAACCTACTTTTAATTGTCTAATCAACAATTTATTTAGCTTAGACAAAAAGTGCGCGGCATAGGTAGGTATACAATTCTACATATGTATGTATGTGTGGCCATACATCTAATACATGGTTGTAAGTTTACATCTTGTATCAAACTTATCATTAAATTATTCTAACTTAATTAGCTGTGTTTTAGTATTGAGGGAGTCCATAGACTACACAATATCTATACTAATATTATAAATGTAAAAGTTTGTGAGTATGTATGGATGTTTGTTACTCTTTTACGCCAGTACGGCTGAACGGATCTGGTTGAAATTTGGCACAGAGATAGATTATAGTCTGGAATAACACATAGGCTACTTTTTTATCCCGGAAAAATATACGTTTCCCGAGAGAAAGATGTATTTTTGTTTTAACAAGAGCGAAGCGAGGGTAAGCCGTTAGTATTTACATATATTTACAGAATACATCACCGCTAATATTGTGTTTATTCAGGCTAATCTCAGAAACTACTGTAGGGATTTTCATATGCTTTGCACCAATAGAAGGAGGGTTATCTTGAAAGGCTTTAAAAAATAAAAATAACTTCAAATACATATCTTTAATGACGTGATTTGTATGGGCTTGTTCATTATTGATGTTGATGTTAAAAGAAAAATAGGTACTTAAAATGTATATCGTATTTTTAAATAAAAAATTAATAAATCAAAAATCCTAAGCTAAGGAAATTAAAATAATGAATTTCTATAAATTAACAAATTTTTATGTCAAAAGATTCAATAATCAGCCATTGGATTATGAGTTTGTACTATGTATTGATAGATGGCGCAGTTTTTATATTTGTTTACGTTTTGCTGTATTTTATTCATTTAGAAATACAAATCAATATACAATGTATCTAAATTATTTTGCCTTGACATTAATAGACGACAAGAACCGTGAAAACTTTACAAATACATAGATCAATGTCTTTAATCGACAATTTATTTTATTTTATTTACTAAATTTACAAATGTTTAATAAATTAATAAATTTGCAAGCTGTTATAATTTACATCTTTATTTTTTTATTTACTTTTTAATGTTACAATATTAAAAATGGAGTGTTAAAATGCCTCTCATGCAAATATTTATATTTTATTTATTAATTCTTTTTCTTTGTTGTATACTGGTATGAAGTGTTAAATAATATAAATAAAAATTAATTTATTTAAACAAATATAAATATAAAATATTTATATACAAACAAATAAATATCAGAATCACATAAGATCTAAGATTATTATAATTATCATCATGATGTGATTATTAAAATTGCCAATGTCTAAATTCAATAAACTGAACCTCTTCTCAGTTTCTCATTTTAACAGTATCCTAAATGAAATTCTAATAAATATTCATAAGTAAAAAAATAGCTTAATCTGCACCGATAAACAAAATTGAAGTCTGTTTGTAATGTCAAAATAACAGGTTTTTACTACACATAATAATATGAAATTATATACGGTACTTGTAAGAAAAAGACAATTTAAGTTTTTTTTTTCTATCTGTCTGTTTGTTCCGGCTAATCTCCCAAAACGGCTGGACCGATTTTGACACGACTTTCAATAGCAGATAGCTGATGTTATAAGGAGTAATTTAGGCTACTTTTATTTTAGAAAAAAAATGAAATCCATGAAATTGTGAACGAAATCCGCATACCTAGGGACGCACCGAGCGAAGCGGGATTAAGTCGGTAGTTGATAATAAAGTAAAATATTAACAACGTATACTTACAAATGCTTATAATTGAAAGCGTTTTTGGATGTGCTGAAGAACCTCAAGTAGCAAAGTAGAGCAATCAGCATAAGCACGGCCGTCACTTGCATAGTGCTTTCTGTAGGCATTTCACATTTCGATACTTGTACCTCTTCTGGCGTTATGGTGGCCTGGTAATTTGAGTTACATTTTGTTAATTGTTCTGATAACAAAATGCAGTAAGAGGGTGTTTTATTCCTAATTTACACTTTATGAAGTCGACAGTGTTGATTGAAAATCAGAATAAAGATAGCTTATATTTTGTTTTTAACGTTGGGAAATGCATTTAGGCATACCACCTGCATACATGTGGGACTCACCAGTCACCTGCAAAGTCTACTAAAACCAAACGGAACCTCCCCCGTTTCAATGGGGCGATAGCGCCCCTTTTCTAGGCTTCGCGCTCAGCTAAGCCCCAAAATGTCCCAGATGCCCCAAATGTGCAAGCAAAGACGCAGGTAAAACTAGTATATTATCAAAAATATTCATAGTGATCGATTATAGAAATCTATACTAATATTACAATATAAAAATCTGTATAATAGGCGATGGGCGATTGATTTTAACGAAAATGCTGTCAAATGCAAACGTTGTCAAAAATATCAATTTTGACGGCGAACTGTTTAGAAGCACAAGCGCTGTAGTGCCGTCTTAAGCTCACGGCATTATAGAAAACTTGGCTAGTTACATTTATCGTCAATCGTCAACGCAAAGGCCGTTTCCCGACTGTCATATAAAAGAACTAGCGGACCCGACAGACGTTGTCCTGTCTACACGTCTTTAATTTGAAAATTTCAAACTTTTTTTAATAATTTTTTTGATGAAAATTATTATTCAAATTGTGAATCTAAACCATTCCCAGATCCCCTTGAACACACACAAAAAATTTCATCAAAATCGGTCCAGTCATTTGAGAGAAGTTCAGTGACATACACACTCACAGAAGAATTATATATATAAAGATGTATGACAGTCGCGTGCGCCTCACTCGTGCCTCCCTCCGCTCTGCCCGCAATATTACCCTCTCGATTCCTTCATTAGACAATTGTAAGGATTAGTAGATTTTACTAATATTTTAATTATTTACCGAATGTTTATATGTTTATATTTATGTGAACGCGGTAGACTCTTAACTCTTGAGCTACTAGTCAAATTTTATTTCTCTTTACTCGATATATTTTTGCATTTTAAAACCTGTTTATTGGTAACGGTTATAATAGGCTACCTAACATCACGTTGCGACCTCTAGTTAGAAAGAAACCGACTTCTATTATAAAATGAAACGTCTAAACAGATTGAGATGAAATTTTTAAATTAGATAGAGTATGACGTAAAGTAACACGGCTATTCTAAGTTACTATCGAGGTTCTACTACTAGTTATAAAATTTGCCAAAAGATGGCATTACCTGTATATAATATTATAATACAAAAGATATCTAGGAAGTAGGAACGCTCGCGACCGAGACGAGGATAAATCGATTGTGAGTCAATATTTAGAATATTTTTTATATCACAGGCATGGGGACTATACTTATAGGTAAATATTTTTAGCGCTAGTTTTATATATGTATTTTTTAAATATATACATTCCCCTATTTTTTCCTCTCTAAAAACTCGCCTCGTGCTAGAATCGTACCTTTTGATTATTTATTTTTTTGCATATATTATTATACAATATTATCTATTACTATAGATAATATCTATTTCGCTGAAGGTTTAGAAGAAAAACCTACAAATTTGTATGAAAACAAGGTGTAAATAGTTTATATTTCATGGAGATAGCGAATGCTACGTAATGTTTATTGCATAGCAATAACCATTAATATATAGTTAATAGCTGAGGTTAACATAAATATTTACGAGTCGTGTTATTGATAATTTAGGCGGACTAGGTTCTTTCCCAACAATAAAATTGAGAAAAAAAAGCTTTTAGTGTATATTAAAAGTTCCGTATGTTGTATAAAAAGCTCTAAGTACAATTATTTTTTTATCATTTAAATAATCTAAATATGGTCCTCTAGATTAGATATAATTTGAACTCCTGTTTGGAAGCGTGATATAATTTGAAACCTGTGAAAAACTTAAAATAAGGTCTGTTAATATTTTCAAGATTTCAATGTAAAACCTAAATAAAGTGTAATAGGTTAGTTTAATACGCAAATAAAATACTATAAATAATTCATAGAAAAATTGAAATTTTGAAGAAAAAATACAAGTTTGTTTTTATTCATAGTAATTATTATCGTATTGAGGAAAATCAATAATATTATTCAGTGTGTAAAATCTGACGTTCGTCACTTATCGACTCTTGCTTACATAAATAGTGTGTATATGCGATTGCAAGTAGATACATTTTAAATAACTTTTTAAATTTTCGCGTTCCATAATTATATTACACAACAGAATGACAATAGAGTCTGCCCGTGACCACGACTGGTGCAACCCAGTCGAATCGTCGGGAATCAGGTACATAACCACTAACGAATTCACGCGTTTAAATCCCGTAGTGTAATTATTATACATTTTAAATGACAGCTAAACTTTCTAATTTAAATAACAAAAATATAAAATAAAAAAATAATGATCATACCAAATAGTACTTGGGATCCAATCGATTCCGCCATGAAAACGACGGCACAGTGTATTCTGTGAACTCAATCTTATGGTCTTTTGTTGGTACGAAGCTATGCCGAACTATACAGCTATAGTGTGTATGACCACCGAAAGCGGCACGAGGGTTTAAATTTTCCACTAGATACTCTGTTGATTCTTTAGATAAGCAGTCCCAACGTTCTATGAATAGGGTGTTACGTTTTGGTAAGGGCGCAGAATCCACTTCCGGACACATACTGTCCGACTCCCTGTATAGTGGATAATGCTGAAAATATAGAAATATTTAAAGTTTTAAATACAGGAATAAATATTCCTAGAGAAAAAAACTTCATACAACCGCGCAATAGGTGCATTACTATGCACTCGGCCTGAAATTATCAACAGTCTGGCCAGTTAGAAAAACATTCGGCCGGAAAAACCGGTTTATTCAGTTTTATCAACGGGAAGCTCGTACGAGAACTCGACATTAACCTCGACAGTCACCTACACTGCCGTGGAGTAGTAGAGTACATCGTATGAAGCTTTACTTCTGTACGGATACTTACAGAAGTGAAGCTGGTTTTAAGTAGGTAGTTTTTTAAAGTGAAACTTCTTTAGAATCATTGTGATTCGAAACTCGATGAAACGAAAATAAAGCGGAAATGTGACACTAAAAAGAGACAAACACATTAATATATATGATTGAGCCGGCGAGAGAATGAAATAGAATACATTGCCATGTTATTGTCTGACAAATACATATTATATAATATTATATTCTTTCCGTATAAGATATTCTATAAATATATGTTTGTAATAATATGCCTTATTTAATTATTTGAGATAGAATACATTACACAGGAAGTGAAAAATAATAAAATTATTTATTGAATAATGATGATGTTCTCCTAGCCGATTCCGGCTACGGCGGCCAATCTCATTGAGATTAGCCAACTGCGCAGGAGATATTATAGTGCTCAAGTGTACGCGCAGACACAGGTGCACTCTCTATTCCTGTCACTCTCATACTCCGATGGGACGACCACTCGACACGACCGGTGAGAGTGTCGGCGCAGGACCGACGGCTTTACGTGCTCTCCGAGGCATGGGGGTGAAACACCGCCAACTTCCCAACTCCGGGCTGTTACTGAGACTTACTATACAGAAAGACTCAATAACTAAACTTCGCCCGACCCGAGACTCGAACCCAGGACCTCCGGGTGTGCAGCCGTACATGCTAGCCACTACACCACCGAGGCAGTTGAAGGAAGTGAAAAATAATAAAATTATTTATTGAATAATACGTAATGTATATTTATGTGAAATAAAACGTAAAATAACTTTTAAACTTGGTAAAAGTATTATTAAAAAAATAAACCTTATAATTATCCTGCTCCTGATACTCTATATTCATCTCATTCTCTCGTAGGTTACTTTTCTGAAGTTTCACTTCTGCCGTGTGTGTGTAACGCACTTTTTTTATCATATAATGAAATATTTCCAAAATCATAAAAACGTCGTAATGACTTGTAAAATAACCTTACAAACTATCGTAAAAAATATCTTCAAGAACATCAAAATACATTTCATTTATTTATTAATCAAATATTACTGATTATCTTTTAATTTTGCTTAAAAAGTTGTCAGGTAGGTACTTGCCTGCATCACTATAGGTCTGCTGTATTGAGCTAGTTTTGATTTACCTTTGCATAGCGGTGACCCACTGCTACATTTTAGTAAATCTGTAATTTCAATATACACTTTTACTAACAATGTAAGTTATGAAGCAATATATATACCTAGTTAGTTTTTTAGGAACATGTTTTGGAATCAAGAAACAACCTTTTCCGACAACATATAAGCGATTAGCGACGTTGGCTTATAAACACATCAAGCTGTAATTACAACGAACAATTATTCATATTTAGAAATCCTACTAATACATAGTATTATAAAAGCAAACATTTGTGAGGATGTTTAGATTTATGTTTGTAACTAATTCACGGATCAAATATTGAATGAATTTTGATGAAACTTTAGACATACAATTTATAAAGATACTACCACTCGCCCTCGCTTCGCTTGGGTTCGTCCCTAGTGAAAAACAAAAACAAATCTATCCCACGGGAACTGTACATTTTTTTGGAATAAAAATTTATGTGCTGTCTCAGTGCCCAATTTCATCCAGATCCGTTCGGCTGTTCTGGCGTGATTGAGTAACAAACAACCATCCAAATTTTCGCATTTCGGTATAATATTAGTACTACATCATTGAGACACGCGAGCGGAGCCGCGAGAATATGCTAGTAACTAGATCTTACAAACCTGATATTTTATCTAATTCAGCAACAGCCCGGGAACATAAAGTGCATCCATCTCCTTCCATAGCCATAGAGTTTATAAGTACAAAGTGGTTCCCTCGTATACTTATAAGATTAACCGTAGGCGCATCCATTTTATTTTCGAATCTATTTACTAAGTTTGGAGTAATCCTTTTGAACAGAATTAAATATGTTGACATTTTGTGCGTTAGAAGGTAGAAATCCATAAAGTTTATAACAAAATCAACTACACTACTTTACATAGGTATGGTAGGTATATGTATATGACACAAAATTTCACAAATATAAATTCCATTTTTTATATTTTTGATTTATAGGGCAAATTTTCACTAAATAATGCGATAAAAGCATAGGTAAATTATGTTATTTAAAAGCTAACATAGCTCACTAAATACCTTTACATGTGTAATAAAGGAGTAGAGAAAAATCTTGTGTTTTTAATTTAAATATTTGTTACCCTTTATAATACTTATTTTTTAAATATGAAAATTTGATATAGCAAAAAAGTAATATGTCTAATAATTCTATACATACTACCCATTTATTGTATTTACCTACGAAAAACATCACCTTTTATAGGTCCAGCCATCTTCACATTCCTTTCAAGCTCCTTACTTATGGAGAAAATATAGTTAACTGTTATTTAACATTTTTTTTTGTTTGTTTACTAATGAAGTGAATGAACTAGTTTAGTTTGGTGATGCTACATTTTGATGGCTGTATGTAATTTAATTAGAGATGGGCCGACTATAAGTTTTGCCGACTAGCTGACTAGTCGGTTGGAAAAAGGCCGACTAGTCGGCCTAGCCGATTATTGCTTTTCGCGATGTTCTACTCTCTCATCATGTTATACTTTCTTCGATTTACGCGAATATTTGATATTTTTAAATAAAAGTATATTTTAGGATTTTTTCGCGGCTTTATTTCGATTTTTGTTCTCAACGCAACACAAAATTATAAAGTTAAATTTAGTGAAAATAATATTTTTCATTAATAATACTAATCCCCCTTTTATAATACTAGTAATAGGAACAAAGTACTTAATGTCCGACTAGTCGGTGCTTCTGGTCGACTAGCCGCCGAATATTAACATGACCGGATAGTCGGCTTTCAAGACTAGTCGGTCACTAGTCGGTTCATCTCTAATCTCAATATGATTATCTTTTAATTCATATTTAAACATAGAGTATATTGAACATAAAAAGAAGTTGTCTTGTAGAAACAACACTACTTTCAGTTAAATGTAGTACATAATGGATAAAACAGTAAAAATATAAAAAATACATTCACCAGGTAGTGTTGTAAAATTTGATAATAACATGTATTTAATAAAAGCTTGTTTGTGATCGACTTACTTGTAATGGTATCCAATATCATGATTCCCTGCGACTACATACAAATTTGTACCATCAGGAATTTTAAAAAGTGTATAGAATCTTTTAACATAGTCATCAAATTCATTTTGAGAACACCATTTTCCTTCATCAAACAGATCACCTGTGTAACAAATATGAAATTATACACCCAATATATTATACTTTGTATTTTCTATCTATTCAGCCATTTTTAATGTCCGATCATTCCCAATAAATAATATATATTTATAAATAATATATATATAATTCCCAATCATTACTTAAGTCCATAGTTTACCTAAAACAAAAATAACTTCTGGCCTGTGCAATGTTATAGCAGTTTGAAAGGCCCTGTGCATCTGCCATTCTCTTCTCCACTTATCTAGCCAATGGCCATTGTGAGACCCTAACAAATGTGGGTCAGCTAATATCATTGCATATACAGGTTCACTCTTCGCTGGCACTTTCTTCAGAGTTGGCCAACCACACTTAAAATAGGAAAATATAGGATAAAATTGTAGTTTGATCAATTCTAAAGAATTTTTCCTAAAATATAGTGTACAAAAAATGTAAGAGTACGTATTGGACTGACGATACTAATACATAATATATCAGAATAGAACTTACCTGAATCTGTGTCACATAATAAATAAGGTATTCACAATAAATATAAATACATGCAATACCAACAACTAGTCGAAATATTGTGTTATGAATTAATGCATATCGCCATCTATTCATGTAGTACGCCATAATATTTTGTAATTTGTTACATTTCTCATGCCAATAACATATCTTATAAAATATTTAAGTAATTAAAATTGATGTACAATTCTAGGCGTAGAGCGGAATGCAAAATAAAAATATCTTTGCGGCAATTTTAAATTTTCTTATCAATTCTCACTTGATCAAAATATAAATAAACTTAGTGATGATTACCTAGTACCTACTTCAAGTAAATTATCGATTCGATTTCCAATGCAAAGTGCAAACTTACCAATACTAAAAAAACAAATAAACAAATATATGACACAAAATATTCATAATATAGAAAGAACTTTAATTATTTGATGGGTAATTTAATGAATCATATTTACTTATTGATGTATTTTAAATAATATCGAATGGTTAGGCAGCTAGTACTGACGAACATCGACATTATAAGAAATTCGGTATAGCTAATCTGTTTTGTCTATCAGCTGATTGTCAATGTCAAATGTCAATTATGTCTAATATTTATCTTGTTTTGTTTCTATTTGTTTTTTCCTGTATATAAAGTAACATTTCTCGAATGTAGAAAATATAATAACAAAAAACTTTATGTAATGTAAGGCAAGAAATAATAAAAATGTCGGTACATTGGAGTTCAGAGATCATGAAATGGGAGTATAGGGAATTGCAGGCCACAGCAATGTCTGTTGATTATTCGGGTAATAATGTACTGTTGGCTGGGCGCAGGTGGCTGGCTATTAAATCCATTAGTATTGAAGATAATGAGGGTGATATTGTCAAAAAATATCCACGCCACAGCAAATATGACGCTGCTGGAGCCGAATGGTGTCAGACATATCCAGGACAAAAGCTTTGTGCGATAGCGGTAAATAAACAAAGAATTTCTTAGTATGTAGTCTATGTATTTTTAATGATAATGCCTATTGCTTATGTAATTTAAAATGTATTCATAAAATGCTTCAGAGTAATCAACATGTAGATGTATATGAGTGGCGTGCTGGAAATGATTTGACTTGTATAAGCTCACTTCGAGGGCATACGAGAGTCGTCAGTGACACACATTTTCACAGACAGGATCACAACTTAATTGCAACATGTTCTATAGATACTTTTACATACCTTTGGGATTTGCGAGATACTAGAAAACCTGTGTGCTCTTTAAGTGCTGTTGGTAAGACATTTTTTTTATTTTCAAATTTATCAATATTGAAGTTAAACACAATTAACCTTCATAATATTTTTGTTATAAAAATAATACATATTTTAATTAACAAATTTTAGCGGGGGCTTCTCAAGTGCAATGGAATAAAGTAGCATCACATTTAGTTGCCACTGCACATGATGGAGATATAAAGATATGGGATTATAGAAAAAGTTCCTCTCCTTTACATTATATTTCTGCTCACCTTTGCAAAATTCATGGTGTTGACTGGAGCCCTCACCATGAATACCAACTTGTTACTTCTAGTCATGATGGCAGTATCAAGTATTTTGATATTAATAATGCTAGACGGCCAGAAAATGTGATAATGACAAATTTTCCTGTCTGGAGAGCTATTTACACTCCTTTCGGGAGTGGATTATTGACTATTGGAGTGGGGTGGGGTGGTTTGCCTCGGGTGGAACAAGCTGGGGTTATAGGAATATGGGTAGGTAGATCACTAACACACAGACTAGTAGGACACACTGATACAGTACAGACTATGGTGTGGAGGCCAAACACACTGCCATCTAATTATCAACTGGTTACTTGGGGCAGAGACCAGACACTTAGATTGTGGACAATGCACCCATCTCTACTCAGAATGTGCTTACATTACTTACCGGACAGCCCAGAAAATGAAGATAACAATAGTGACAGTAAGTGCAGTTAATTATTTATCTTTTTCATAAAATTTTGTATTAATACTCATTTGTTATAGTTTCAGCAGCTAATTATGAATCCACTGTCAGCTCAATGAGTGATCTCTCTGCTAGTGATAAATGTCAGGAAATTCAAATGGTATGTGTTTAATTTACTTGTATTTGTATTATGAGTCTAGATTGAAAAGATTAAATATCGTTTGTATCGAATACCGAATATCGGATATCCGGCGGCTGGATAAAAAGCCGGTTGTCACGTTGTATGCTGCGACAAGTGCATATGTTATTGTAAAAAATTTGGCTTATTCGGGTGTCATCATGATTTAATGATTAAAGTCAATTGTTTACTTGCTCAATCACTTTGCGACCCTTACACTTGGTGGAAGGTTAATTCGAAGCACTCACACAATACTTTGATGAGTGTGATTTTGTATTTTTAATTATTAAAGAAGAAAATCACTGTTTTTAAATATCCGGTATCCGATCGGATATTGCGTTACTATCCGGTATTCGGTCAGATAGTAAAATAAGATTGGTTTTTGCTGGATACTGGATAGTTACCGGATATCCGTTTAAATATATTTGATTTGTTTTAGAACAAAATTTTTCATAAAACAACTACCTCAATAGATGAAGAATTTGAATCTATCAGAGAGATGGCAAATATAGAAGTGACAGATATGAACATTGAAACTAGGACCTGCCAGATACATTCAGAACGCAACGGTTACACTGCCAACCTCCAAGTGACCTTCCCTAGAAATGTTACTGAACAGACTATACCAAAGTTTTCCTGGTTATCAGGAACAAATGTAGATAGTGCTACCACCATTAAAATTTTACAATCTATTAACAGAACAGCGTATAGAAAGAAAAAGGAAGGACATAGATGTTTGTTACACTGCCTTAAAACATTAGCCACATCTATAGATGAGGTGAGTTTAATTGCATTTAAGAAAAGGGTTTTTTTCATTTTTATAATATAATTTTATAGTGCACGTTGCTCCTCAGTTAGTGAGATAGTCCTCAGTTATAGTATACTAGTTTTGCTCGCGGCTTTCCTCGCAAAGACAGCACAGGAGATATTAAAAGGAGCCTATTTCCGTATTCAGGTTTCTATCTATGGCCTTGCGAAATTTTATCAAAATCCGTTCAACGTTTAATGTGTAAATGTAACAAACTGTCAGACAGATTCACTTTCATATTTCATAATAATATTTATATGGATGCTATATCATATAATATAGTTTGATCAATATTGTTTCATTAAAAAATATCTTTGTAGATTCCAGTTAAATTAAATGAAGACTCAGATTCGATGAAGTCAAGCCAAAGAAGTCAATCAGAAAGTGAGAACGCTGGAGACTCCTGCATACCTTTTCCTAGAACATGCGGTGCTAAGTGGGGTGGTGTTAGTACATTAGTGGTATTTAATAGACCCCAAAATACAAGACGACTATCATTAAAACCAGAAACTGGTACACCCAGGTCGATGTCATCGTTGTCGCTCAACCCAGGGTTGTTTACTACAAACTATACGTCCGTATCGCCTCACGCGACCACAACGCCCTCTCCGACCAACGCGTCCGGCTTCCCTCAGTTACTTCACCGACACGCGTCTAATTCGATCACGACATTTTATTTCCAAGATCGATGGGTAAGTTAAATTTATTAAGGTTCTAGGTAACATATACAATATATCAATGATATCTATCATAGAAAAATAAATGTTATATTCAATGAAAAACAAATAATATGTAAAAAGAAAACAGGAAAATTAAAGCAGTGGATAAGAAGACAATTAAAAAGATACATTTTTTTATAGTAGGTACTTTAATTTAATAGGACTAATAAGTTACCCTACTGTCTGAGTTTGACCCATTCTATTAACGATCACTATCTAAAATACGAGTATGTCCATCTGTTAATCTATTCTTGCGTACGTATGAAGAACATGCAAACAAACACACTTTCGCTTTTTATAATATTAGTAATATGTATTTATCTCAATATTATGATGTGTTGGAACATGAGTCAAGTGCTGCAATTTTAGGCTATTCATAATGATAACCAAAAACAATTATTCACAGCTAATAAAAATACTTTATTTTAATGTAGAAAGCTCAAAGTCGTCGTGCAGGAAGCATACGTAGTCGTGGCAGTATATCGGGGTGTACGCCGCCCAGGGTGGTGCTGTACGAGGCGTGCAATCTCTTCCCTCTGAACAGGACACTCGCTGAGAAATACGTCATCAATGCTGATAATCCTGTTGGTATGTCCAATATGCTGGATATTATACAATATAATTTTTTCTAGTTTTATGTTTTATTAAGCGCTATTTCTATCTTGTTGGTCTAGTGGATAGTCTGCAGCCTGACCACTGCGAGTGTCAAAGTATCGTACTATCGGACTTTGGAAGTGAAAGGAAGAGAGTGTATATTATTGTGTTCTTGCGCATGCTTGTGCTCTATAATATTTCCTGCGCCCATGATTTATCTAAGATAGATTGACCGCCGTAACCTAAAGTTATAAGGTTATTCTTATTAATCCCAAGCCCATTACGCCCAAATCCTTTAGACCTATTAGTCTTACTTCTTTCGTACTAAAAACAATGGAAAAAGTAATCGATCAGCACATTAGAACAAAGTATCTTGTGGCTAGACCACTTTCCTGCAACCAACATGCTTACCAAAAGGGTAAATAAATCCACAGAATCTGCCTTAGTAGCTCTGATCGACAAGGCAGAAAGGTCCCTAGAGGATAAGCAAACAGCTCTATGTGCATTTTTGGACATTGAGGGGGCCTTTGATAACACACCTACGGTAACCATCCTGAAAGGATTAAATGCAAAAGGTGTTGATATCACAACCACCAGATGGGTGGAATATATGCTCTCCAACCGGTATGCGAAAGTTACGCTAAACGAACACTCGCACAACTTCTACACTACAAGAGGCTGTCCGCAAGGAGGAGTTCTTTCACCCCTATTATGGACACTAGCTGTAGACCTACTACTTGTAATCATGGCGGATCTCGACTACAATACACAAGGCTATGCAGATGACCTTGTTGTAGTAGTAAGAGGTCCCTGCCTGAACACAATTTCCACCAGGTTACAAGGGTCTCTCAATACCATCACAAGATGGTGCAGAGAAAATGAATTATCAATAAACGCTGATAAAACAGTTATTGTACCATTTACCAGGAAAAGGAAGCTTGAAAGGCTGACTGAACTCAGACTCAATGGCAAAACCCTTAACCTATCAAATGAGGTAAAGTACCTTAGAGTCACTATTGATCAAAAGTTGACCTGGAACTCTCACCTCAACAACATTATACAAAAAGCCAAAACGGCCCTCTGGATATGTTGTCAAACAGAGAGTTGGTCAATACGGGATGAAACCTTTAGCTATTTTTGTTCTGTTACGCCAGAGAAGTAAGTATAGCTTTTTAACGTGCGTCCATAAGTACACACACACGTTTTTTTAGTATCTCACCTATCCTAATTATTTAAAACATAAATTGAATTTCATAAAGAGTACCGATAACCTACAGAAGGATAACCTTCAGAAGTTTAACTTCTTGCGCGTGTACACATTCGTACACGCACTCTTAAATTTTTTCAGATATGTGCGAACGAAACGCAAAAGTGGCGTCAGAAGAGGGTGAAGGGGAGTTGTCACACGCGTGGGGTCTCGCCGCACTCGCCGCTAAGTCACTGGAAACCAAGCCAGTAGACCACCTCATGTCCAGCGAGGAGAGCATGGGCTGGGTGGGACACCCGCTATGCTGTAACCTAGTACAAGCATTGTGAGTTTTTACATGATGGAAATTATACATATTAAGTGTTATTTATTCCTTGTTTGTTATTTGCTTGCCGTATAAATACTGCTTATTAATATAAGATAAATTAGGTATTTGAACGATTTTAAAAATGAAAATTTGTAATTGTCGTTATCTTTATTAATTATATCAATAATATTAAAATTTTCTAAATAATTTTAGCAATGGTACAGAATAAGGACATCTTTTATTGAAATTTGGCTCAAACCTGCCAAAGAGACCGTATCAAAAAGCACGTTGCCAAATTTTATCACGTTAGGTTGATACTTTGAAGTAGGTATCAAAAGAGCATATCAACTAAGATTATTGTAATTTATATAAATTCGGAATGGCCGTACTAACTTTTTGAGTTTCAAAGTATGGGTTACAACTTTTTTTTTTGTTTTAATTAAGGGATGTCCAATACGCCAAAATTAAAGTAGTCTCTATTTATACCACAATATAATATCCATAAAACTTAACTTATGGAATTAAATATTCTACTGACAGATAGTGTTGTACTTTTATCACAATTTAAGGATTTTCATTTCATCTCTTCATTATTTCATCATTTATATTGCAGAATATCACACTATGCCAAGTTCTCTGACTTGCAAATGGCAGCCATGTTGACTTGTGCGTTTGCGGTCTTCAATGACACTAATAGTTCTAGCGCACAATCTATCATAAGCACATCAAGCTGCGTAAGTGCTTATATTTTTTTTTAACTGTCATTTATTATTTGAATAAATTCTTCACCAGAATAGACAAAATAATTTAAACATTATATAATAAAAGTTATTTCATAAAAAAATAAAAGAAAACTACATATTTAAAATTTTGATAAAAAAATCCAGTTACTATATTTACTTACTTTATCCCGTAAATAGAACTACACTCTATTCTTTTTTTTTATTGATTCCCAGGGCAATAGTACTTCACCATACAGCACAGTCAACCAATATAGCGAGATTGTTACGGATGGATGGACGTTACCAATTTTACGCAGTAACTCGTGCTCCGAGGCAGAAAATTTAAACGCAGATTACAGTGTTACCAAGTCTGAGCCCTCGTCGTGTGTGATAGACGAGGCCACAGTTCATCTTTATCACTGCTTTAAACGTGTTTACGCGGACATTTTGCATAGGTGGCAGCTTTTATATAAAAGAACTGAGGTGAGTGGTAAATCTTCCGTCTGATTTATTTTTAGGGTTCTGTAGCTAAATGGCTAAAACGGAATCTTTATGTTTTCGTCATGTTATCTGTCCGTATGTCATAGCCTTTTTACTTGTAGACTACAGCTATATTGATGTTTAGTAAATGGGTATCTCATGTCTCATTTACTCACTCCATGTGCGTGTATAAGATGAGACACCTGAAAAAATGCCAATGACGTTGATGACGAATGGTTTCGTAATTAAAGCCCGTTAACCCTAAAGCCGTTTCCGTACTGTCATATGAAGTAAGAGTGATAGTCGTATGCGCCTCTCAGCCCACGCTCCGCACGATTGCCTCGTTTAGGCGCTTGTATGAATTAATACTATGCAAAATTATACGTAGTGTCTTTGAACACTACTTTAGCGTTTATACAAATAAATAAAATTGAAGTGTTTGTCTTTAATTTCAAAATAACAACTTTTTACTAAAATGAATATAAAAGCATACATGGTAGTTATAAGAAAAAAAATGTCTCTGTCTGTTTGTTCCGGCTAATCAGAAAAGTGTTAGTAGTAAAGGTGAGTATAGCTATGTCCACACCAGTGCACTTTCATGTTCATCTTGCGTTTTCATCTGACGCATGTGTGAAGCGCCATAGCGCATGCCCGTAGCGCCTTATTTGTGTGTGTGTGCAGGTGATGAAGCTGGTGCGTCGCGCGGCCGGCGGCGCGGAGGAGGCGGCGGGCGAGGCGGCGTGGGAGTGCGCGCGCTGCGGCCGCACCGTGCGCAGCGCGGCGTGCGGCGCGTGCCGGCGCCTGGCGCTGCGCTGCGCCGTGTGCTCGCGCGGGTGCGCGGCCTCGCCGTGGCCTGCGCGCTCTGCTCGCACGTCGCGCACGCGCACCACATGCTCGCTTGGTAACATACCACTGCTTGCCATCTAATATATAAATTCAATTCAAATTCAAAATATTTTATTTTTCAGCATTGAATTATTACAATTTTTTATTGAACGTCTTGAGTCTACTAGCAGTTCGGAAAGAAGAAGCCTCAGACCTGAGAATATTATTTCATTATATATATGTATATACATAATATACATTTCTTATGTCACAGTGTAAATAATAAAACTTCTCCGAAACGGCTTGACCGATTCTTATGAAATTTTGTGTGTAGATTCAGTAGGTCCGAGAAATAGGACGTAAACTATTTTTCATACCCCTGAGTGATAAGAGTGGTCCACCCCAAAAAAAAATTTTTTTGGACATTTTTGTTTATTTTCATTTTTTTATGATTCGGCATTAAAAATACATACAACTTAAACTTTCACTAGGGACGAACCCGAGTGGAGCGAGGGTGAGTGGCTAGTTTATATTCAGTGGTCTAATTGCCTAGCATTTATCCCAGATCCCACGTAAAGCCACGTAAAAGCATCGGTCCTGCACCTTAATTCTCTTCGGTCGTGTCGAAGTGTTTCCCATCGGAGTTTGTGAGGAAAAGTAATAGAGAGTGTAGATTTGTCTGTGCGTACACACGCTGCACTATAATATCTCCTGCGCAACTGTCACACGAATTCAATATGGCGCCTTTTAGAGGACACAAAGTTCTCTATTAAAAGAAAAATATTTTTAAAACTTAAATTACTTAACAAAAATGTTAATAAAGATCATTCTTCCGTATAGGTTCGCAGAACACGACACGTGCCCTACGGGTTGCGGCTGCAAATGCGTTATTGAAGGCAACTCGTTATGGAAAGGAGCCAAGTATTGACACTCTGATGACTAGCCGCTTCTACGACACATGAGGGTTTGATGTAAATATATAAATTTCTATTGTTTATTATATATTGTTTAATGTACCTATAAGTACAAAGACTGCCGCTTTTGTATGTATAATAAATAATTACAATCGAACATTTTACAGAGCTTTATTTAACAAACATCCTTAAATCACATTTTTAAATAATAAAAATAACAGTGCGCGAGAATATCATAATTCGTGAGTCAAAATGTAAACTAAGTACATACATATAATGGTATTTTACCTAAATACCTAAATGAGTTACTTCAGTCTCTTTGAAGCATTAAAAATGTTAGACTTGGGCGATTTTATAATTATTATAAATAATTATGTTTATATGAAATTGTTTTTTAAACAGTTAACAAATTAAAAAGTAATATATAAATACTTTTTTTATAATTCTGCAATAGACAAAATATTAAAGCGCCTTTATAAACTACAAACTTATATAAACTTAAAGTCGTATATACAAACACTAAAGGCCGCTTGCACCAAAATTCTTAATTTAATGCGAATAAAATTTTTACGTTCAATAAACATGAATTTGACGTTTCCTAAACATATAAAGATATTTAAATCGAATTAAGAATTTAGTGAAAGTAGCCTAAGTCTCAAATTAATTAAATATTTGCACCTGCAATTCAGTATCGCCCATTTCTAAATGTTGTTTTTTTCTTTATACAAGAGGCCTAAGTAACTAATACACGTTTTGCTCTCTCTTTGTTTAAAAATTAACAGCATATGACTTAAATATTCGATTCTAGTGTGCGATGGTTCAAATCATGGTACAAATCCCAAATATTCACAGTTTTTGTTATCGGGTAGGTATTTATGTTTAGTTTTAGACGGACACGCAAAAATATATTAATTTATTATTTTTAACAATATAACAAATTTTATAAATTTGGGATTTTTTAAGTAAGTATAACCAATATATTATAATTTCTTACGGTAAATAAAATTTAATCATGCCTTTATATAAACTTCCTTTTCACCAGTTTGTATTATATTTATGAATAAAATACTCACACTCAAACTGAATAAGTAAATTTGTATGGAATTTGTAATTTTATGGATAAATTCATATATAGCAAATATAATCATTACATATAGCACCTAACTAATGTAGCGTAACTGCTTATAAAAATTCATCTCTCTCTGCGTATGTATACATTAGGTAATATGAGTTTGAAGCTAAAGTACAATAACAAAATATGACAAAAATTTAAAAATTTTAAAAACCCCCTATGAAAATTAATTGTCATTTAACTATTACACTGGCATGCGTGAAGCACTTAATCTAGTAATCATACGCCAAAAGGCCTTACATCATTTTGGAAAAGAGCTGATACTCTTACACTGCTGGACCGATATTAACCAAATATAGCTAAGAACCACCGCAAGAAACTGGCTTTCAAATGAAAAAAAACGCATCACAATCGGTCCATCCGTTTGAGAGCTACGATGGCACAGACACATACACACAGACAGACATTGACGTCAAACTTATAACACCCGTCTTTTTGCGTCGGGGGTTAAAAATATGTTTTTTATACCCTCATAAGCTACATGAAGCATTATTTATAAAGAAATATCTTAATGGTCCATAAGCAACACGAAGTTAAACATTCCTAAAAACGACAAAGTACTTTAAAGATTTTATTTCATCTGCATAATATTCTGTCTGAAACATGTTATTTAAATCAGATTAAAAAAAAAACATATTTTCCAATATACTTAGACTTTAATGTATCTTTGGTAGTGTTTCCTTAAATTTAATTAGTTTTGATCGTCTCACTCTTCTACCAGCACCTAATATTGATTTTACAATACAAGTAAAATTTTTGGTAGGTGAACACCTTATTAAATATGCATAATTTTTTTGTTTTTAATTATGCGCCAAAAAGATAAAAAAATGTACCTATATATTAATAAATTAGACAAGCCATTAAATAATAGTGATATAATTAAATTTAGTAAATTGTATGTATGTACCTATATTTTCTCTTTTACGTATACATACTTCAAACAGTGTAGACTCGACGCTAACATGTTAAAGACTTTATACAAAGTTCAGTTTCGTTTGACTAGGTAGTAGGTTAGGTACCTACGTCCTACAATACACGCATTCTAAATTAACCGACCTGAAGTACGAGTTCGCTTGCTGCGTCTTTATTGTAAGTGTCCGCTGCCTCTCATCATAATTTAGTAAAAATTAATACCAGCATCATACATTCAGTATAATTTCATTTTTTGAAGTCTCTTAATCCCTCCACGACCGCGGACACGCCGGCGTGTCAGTTAACAATAGATTTATTAGAATTTTAATTAATTTCTTAGAAATTTATCTGAATGTGTTAATGAACTTCGAATCAACCAAGTTAGACTCTAGGTATTTTAGATACGTGGGTATTCGGATTCTAAGCATTGAAATAGTATAAAATAATAACCCAAACAGTATCTACTTTATAAATATGGAATAAAAGGATCTATCAATTTTTATACAACGAAATAAGTCCTTACAGAAACGCTTACATTATTTAAACAAATAACTTATAATTAAATATAAAAATAGGCACCGATGTTTTAAGCAAACTACCTCTATTTAGTTTAAATTAACTAGAGTAGGAGCTAAATCAAAACAGTTTAAAAGAATTATTTTACTAATTTTTACATCTATCTATTTGATAAATCTAATAAATAGTAGAAACGTTGAATGTGTTCCTTCTAACAATGAAACTGTACCTCATATCCAAAGTTTTAGAAGTATAAGTTTTATCGTATGTTGTAAAGCTCTACATACAACAGTTTTAAAACTTAAGTATTGTCTTGGGGAAATTCTTAGAGAAAATTGTAAAAGTGATCTACTTATTCATTATCAGATTTTTACGTGCACTTCATTTATTCATTTATGCTAAGATTCAAACTTTGCAATGGGACATTCTTTCTAAGTTTTTTTTAAAACTACGCTACACTACAAGATACAAGGTACAGAATATTGCCACTGACAGTACATTTGGCTTTATCAGACTGTCACGGTTCTCTAAAGTTTAGGTAGCTCTAGAAGTCATGCACGACCCAATGGGATGATTCTCAAAGTCGGGTTGTTCTATTGTAGCAGCTAAAACAACAATAAACATATTAGTTAATATGGAACATTGACGAAGTACTAGTTAGTTCTACAACGGACTTAGCTACAGGCACATCATTCTTTACTTAGCTCAAAGAAAATTTACGTTTTTTTCTATCACTACAAATCAAATGAAAATGTTGATTTCATCTCATTTATAAAATAAAGAAACAAATAGGTAGTTATATACGCAAATGCAGTTTATCATCAAAAATATAAAAAATAGACTTGACGTGTACCTACATTAGACATAAAGCGATAGACAAAATAAAATCATAATTTAGTCCTGATTTGGGACCTAATACAATACAAGAAAACTAATCTACAACAATTTACAATTCTCAAAGGTTTCTCAGTTCATCAAGTGCTAATTTCTGCTCTAACAATTTATACTCAATTTTAATCTTATTCAAAGGTTGCATAATTTGTGAAAAATTAGTATATAACTGTTTAAAAACATAGTGCATGTAAAATCAATCAACACGTGTCTGTCTAATGAAAGGCGTGAGTAGTATGAGTGTGAGGCGGTTGCGGTACCTCTCGAGCAGACGGCGCTTCAGGTCCGGCGGGTACGTGACGTATATGTAGTGGTCGTCGTGGTCATCCTCCAAGCCGTCCTCGGGGGCGAGGCGTTCCCGCGCGGGCGACGAGTGGGTTGTCATGGAAACAGATCCGCTACCGGCTACGCTGCCTTCTTCAGAGCTAAGGATTAGGTTTTTTTATTTGTGCTAAGCTATAGCCTGAAGGTTGTTAAGCCTATACAGTTCATTCTGATCTAGCTGTGAAGTTATCCCGTCACGTAAAAGTTTACCTGCGCACTGAGCGATTTATCGATAAAATTATGGTATGAAGGGGGCGCGACGGGGAGTGCCTAGTATGATCATACCTCTATTATAAAACAATAGCCTAGTGCGTTAGGACGCGACTAGCTGGACGTAGAAACATTCCTTCCACTGTCGCATAGCATGTGAAATGTCTAGCCAGATTCATCATCTTCACTTGTGATATCTGCTAATAATAACTTACTACAATAACCTCGATGAAAATCAATCTAGCTTAAGTACCTACAAATCATGTGCGATATTAGCTTACCTACCTACATCCATATTATACAAAATCGTTACCTCAGACGTAGGTATCGAATAGCCCTGTAGAAGTATATAATAAGTAAATCGGTATATTAGTCATGAAATACATTATATTTTATGTATGTACATTTAATGTGCTTACTCAAAAACAATCCATATAATATAATAGCACATGCAGAGGGCGAGTGCGAGGCCAGTGGCTAGTGCGAGTAGCAGTGGCCAGGGGAAGGCGCGCGCGGCCGGCGCCGTGTCCTCCCAGTAGCGGTCACAGCTCAGGTACCAGCACACTGCGCGTTGCATCTCCTCTGCAATACAATTGGTTCAGTAACAGATAATTTAGAATTAATTTGAAAAAAGTATGGTGTATCTACTTGGAATATGAGTAATCAAATTATTATGAATGTACAAGTAACAGAGTTCTGCGAGGCTTAGATAAAAATAAGAATAAGTAGAATGTTTTTCGCTTCACAGCTGTCGACTTATCCGGCATATGTCCGGGGCAAGGATTTATATAGAAAATACAAATATTCTTTCTTCTGAAAATTAAATACTGATATCGAGTATAATAAGTCCTGTAAATGTATAGTTCAACAGTATAAATCAAATTTAAAATTTAAAAAAGAAACCTTCTAATTCCGTGAATTGGTGTTGTGTTAGATGCAAAAGTAGAGTTGCGATGCAGGAGTGCACTACTTTTTCACATCGCACCTATAAAACATAAATAATATATTCAATTACAACTGAGTAAATATAATATGAAAGTAATATTTTTCATTGATAGTAATTCAAAAAGGAAGTCTTTATCTAATAGTTTTATTTAGACCGTATGTTGTATGTTTAATGTTTTTTTTTGCTGAAAGGCGCATTTTCAGGAAAATTCATTTAATAAACGTTTAGACAGTAGGTATATTTTCATAATAATAAGTCATGCCTTAAGTCTCTGTAAGTGCGCGGGATCACAAGCGGCACGCTCAGCTTGCAAGTCCGCTAGCCGTCTCTGCCGACTGTCCGGCGGCAGCGACGACTCTACCGTGTCTGCGTCACAAAGTTCTGCCGTTTGGTTCGTGTCACCTTCGTTTTCTTCCCTCTTCTTTTCTTCGGTTTCTAAAATAAATTAATATTTTTAATATCTATTAATAATTTACATTATATAACTGATTACAGATATTTCAGTTGATTCTTTTAAGTTTATAATGTTTTATAATATTAGCGACATTGTTGTGCAAACGAGACTTAATATAAATGATTTTTATGTCTTAAAGCACTTAATACGGGAGTAGTTCCTTACCAAGTTCCTCATTATTAGAGTCAGTCTTAGGGCAGTCCGCTACAGGCGTTGGAGGTGGAGTCCTAGTTCTATGCCGTCGTCTTGCAGGCACTCGGGCGACGCTCCTCGTCGCTGCTGGGGCTAGAGCCTTCCTAGCCGCTTCTGCATCTTGCCATAATTCGATGTCAGTGCTCGGACCACTGCCGCCACTCAACAGACCATGCGCCACCAAAACTTGGCAGCGCATAATATCGCAGTAGTCTGCCAGACATACTGCGTCTTCTGCCTGTAAGAAGTCCGGACTATTAAACATCATTTGAATATTAAGCATTAATAAAATATTTTCATCTAAATTTTAATATATTTTTCATATACAATAACGAAACCGTTTTGACATCTGTAAAGATTTCTTCGTATCCATAAAGGGTTCTTAGAACATTTTCCATTAAAGATTATGATGAATTTTTTTGATTCGGCGCTATGTTTTCCTGCCTCTGAATATTCTCATTAAAAATAATTTGTAAACCTTATTAATCTGGTTCTTGTGTCGCTGGTCGAAGTGCGTGTCGAGGTGTCGCTCCTCGTAGAAGGACTTGCCGCAAAAGGCGCAAGTCCACTGTGAGGAGCGGTGCTGCAATTTGGCGGCATGTTGTGGCGCAAAGATGTCGCGGGCCGGGTGGAAAGGACATTCCAACGGCAGCTTTACCTAGCATAAGTTTAGTATAGTGTTAATTAAGATATTGAAAACTTTAGGAGTAAAATATATAATAAATAGATTTTAATAATAGAAGAGAAAGATATTATTTATTATTGAATAGTTGTTAACATAAATTGAAATACTTTAACTGTTTAATATACAACATAAAAGTTATGATAATGATGTTCTCCTAGCCGATTCCGGCTACGGCGGCCAATCTCATTGAGATTAGCCAACTGCGCAGGAGATATTATAGTGCTCAAGTGTACGCGCAGACACAAGTGCACTCTCTACTCCTATCACTCTCATACTCCGGTGGGACGACCACTCGACACGACCGGTGAGAGTTAGGCGCAGGACCGACGGCTTTAGGCACGGGGGTGAAACACCGCCAACTTCCCAACTCCGGGCTGTTACTGAGACTTTCTATACAGAAAGGCTCAATAACTAAGCTTCGCCCGACCCGGGACTCGAACCCAGGACCTCCGGGTGTGCAGCCGTACATGCTAGCCACTACACTACCGAGGCAGTTAATGTTGTTAATATTTGTGATAAATTGTAAAAGTTATAAATAAAATATGAGATACATTTCTATTTAGTAGAAATAAAAAATAGCTTTGATTAAAATAGACGAATAGTTTGCCTACGTTATTTCCAAGCTTATAATGGACTTATTAACATTATTTTGATTGCGTGAAGCGATGCGAAAGTATATTCAACGATAATAATTTGTAATAAATCATTACCTATTAGCTTCATATTCCACATGTTTCTTTTAAATAGCTCCTAAATTCCCAAACTTTCGTAGTACTATATAAGTACAATCAAAATTTATTAAAGTGCCCTGAAAATTTCATTACACTGTACCTGAAATCTTTCTAAGACCGGTATCCACTTGTTTTGTATTACTTTCTTGACAATTTTGGAGTTGTCACGAGAGCAAGTTATTTTGAAGACGGATGGTCCCGGCCACGGGATCAGTGTGAGGAAGAGAAGAACTAAAACCTGGAAAAATATTATTAACGAAATAATCACAGATTTTATGAGGTTTGTAGTATATTTGATCACAAAATAACTTCCATGATTATTTAGAAATATTAGAAAAATGAAATAAGTTAAAAGTGAAATTTAAAATACATAATAAATACTATTATATTACCTTTGATATAACACTTATTCAAGGTCTAAATATAAGGATGTGAGCACTAAATTTCGTTATAGGTTATGCTTGTGTTATTAAATTATCGATTTTTTGCAACGGATGCCTTAACCTTTTATAATAGTATAGATGCCGGCTTACCTCGAGAGTGAACGACGTGGTCCTCATTCATATCTTTTAATGGTCAAATAATATATAAAATTTGTTTAACGTAAAACTTGTAAAGAGGAAGATAGCTTGTAAGTTTATAGGAGATTAAACCTTTGGTCTGTCAGCGACTTGTACTTCACGCATGCGTATTTGAATACGTTTCCCCTCGGCCAAGGCTCACATTAATTAATTTAAATCTCTACGGACAGGGGCTCATATCACGATAGGGCTTTACCAATATATTATTTTCCATTTCTCGCCCAAAATGCAATATTAGTAAGTAGTAGGGTGAATGTTTAAATTTGTCACAATCACATGATTCTTTTGATGAACTTTACCTATTATGAATATGAAAACTTAAATTTCAATATACTCGTATTTATCGAATAGTATTATCACATGAGTTTTTCTGATTGTACTGTATGTATGCAGATGGTATGCGTATTTTCCGATGTATTTTTTTGCTTTATTAAGAAAAACTAAAATCGATTTACAAATGGGGAAAATGTCTCGTAATATACGCATAAAAAACATACAACCAAATTAAACACCTCCTCATTTTTCAAGATGTTAAAAAAAATCGCTAACTTTCTGTCGATCAGAGGTTTTCATTGATTAGAATTCAAGATATTCAGATTCGATGTTTTCAGAGTTATTTTAACCCCCGTGGCAAAAACGACGCGGTGTTATAAGTTTGACGTATCTGTGTGTGTCTGTCTGTGGCATCGTAGCTCTCGAACGGATGAACCGATTTTGATTTTGTTTTTTTTTTTGTTTGAAAGATAAATTAGTCGGAAATGTTCTTAGTTACGTTTGATGAAAATCGGTCCAAGATGGTCGGGTTTTTTTATATTTTTAATTTAATTTAGTTATAGATATTTTTGAGCACTTTTATAATTTTCTCATTTAGGCGAGACATTGGATTGCCTTTGAATACTTTATACTAATAAAACATTGTTGCAATTGTAAAATATTTAATGTACTACATATCTATCTATGTTTATAAATAGATTAGCGACACACCCTCGCTTTGCTCAGTTTCGTCCCTAGGTACGTTTTAAAAGTTTGTATGGAATAGATAATCGATCGCTGGCTCTGTAAAAAACAAAAACAAATCTAACCCAAGGGAACCGTACATTTTTTCGGAATAAAAAGTAACCTATGTGCTATTCCAGACTATAATCTATTTCTGTGCCAAATTTTATCTAGATCCGTTCAGCCGTTCTGGCGTGTATGAGTAACCAATATCCATCCAATTTTTCGCATTTGTAATATTAACAATTAGTGGGATTATATTATATATGCCCCGAGTTATAAGTCATCACTGTACAAAATTTAGTTAAAATAGGTTCAGCACTTTTTGCGTGAAACGCGTACACCCAAATAAACAAACAGACAAACAGACAAAATTATTAATAGCGTTGGCGTCTATATTCTGTACACAATACGTAACAGCTATTGTTTTAAAAAAATATTTCATGTACAGATATCGTTAAGTTAGTATTTTATTATATGTATAGATAAGGTAGAGTACCGACTTTGTTAATTCTAAGAATTGTCTAAATCGAATAGTTATTTTAAGTTCGTGGTTGCATTTTGTACCGCATAAGTACGTGAGTATCTACTAGGTGTATTATATACATACACTACCTACTGATACCTGCAGTAAGTTTTAGTTTAACTTATCTTCATCGAAGGGGCTAGCCAGATCGCATGTGACACGGAGCTTTATTCGACGCTCCTAAATCAGTGGAAGTGACTGAATTGCTGTATTTCGAAAGATAAATCATTAATGTATGTACTGTAGTAAGTGACAGTCAAAATTAAGAATTTTTAATTCTTCTATTGCAGTGAAATTGCTTTAAGTGGGTTGTTATAAAATATATATTATACCGGATTTATTCAGACACAATTCTTTAATAAAGCATTGAATATGTAAAGTAAATACTTATTACTGTTAATTATTATTAACAGGCTACCGACTCCCGTAAACATATACAACATGTACCTACCTGCCGCTCAATGCGTTTTAAATGAATTTTATATGGGTAGTTTAGTTTTTCGGTAACGCAACAAGATTGAGGGGATGAAGTGGAGAAGAGTTATATATTAAGGTATATATTAAGGTATATATTAAGGTAAGTGTTACGCTCTTAACCACAGTACTAAATATCGGTTAATTTCTTAGTTTTAGAGACACTGTAATGTAGGTTTATTGTACCTTATAGTAGGTACACAGCAGATACAATTAAAACCAATCGTTTTATACCAATTTGAAAAATCGTCAGGCGGATTGAACAAAGTGATTTAGACAGTGGATTATAATATTTCGTAGCAGATCGCAAACGTGCACTCGTTTGCATATTTTTTCCTATAAGCAAATTTTAAGATTTGTTTTAATTTCCCCTAGCATATAACTGACGAGAACTAAGAATAACTTAAGGTGCTCTTTATCATACATACATACATGTATAATATGCTCATATATCATATATGCATAATTGTTAAATACAAATCTTTTACGCTACATATGCTATAACCGAAATTATTGTATGTACGCCCTCCAAGTATATACTCTACATAAAACTATAATAAATATTTAAAATAAACAAAAAATGTGTAGCAGCAGTTTATGCCACAAGCTAGCCGATAAAAGGCAATTAACAACTCTGAACAATTGGTGTTTGATAACAAATGGTTAATGCCAAGCAACGAAATTTTTGAAAACGGCAACTTTCCAATTTTTTCAGCTGAAATTGAATTTGATTCAGGTTAGTATTTATTTTATTTCTAATGATAATTGACACATACTATAAATATTAATACTGTAGGTAAATTATAATTTTTTTTTTGGTACTCAACAAGTATAAAAAAGTATTCCATTCCATATTATTAAATTTGAAACACATTGTTGTACATTTAGAATCTGAAGTGTATATTCATTAAATTAGTCTGAAAATATATTTACAATATTTTTAATGTATCCAAACATACCAGACAGTTTTAAATAGGTAATTTATAAGTATAGTTCTCGTGACTCTAAGTGATAAGTAGTGTTTATAAGATATGTAGATAGCATAACAATGAAAGGAAGTAAATATAAACTCAGATATATTTTGAATCCATTGCAATATAGTAAAAAAAATATGAATTGTAGAATAATTATCAATTTGAACTAAAAGTGTAAATATAGGAACAGGTAATAAATGCAGCACACAAAGGCAGTTAAACGAATCCAATGGTCAAAATAAATGTTATACAACAAGAAGACACTTGGGAAAGATAACTGAGTTATATTTTAATCTTATTTGGTTCCTCATTCAAGATCCGCGCATGCTCCACACAGCCTCCGGTCGTTCCCTATCCCAGAGTTCCCAACGCGGGCACTAACTCGCCATGTCTGTGAATAATTATTACGCAAAATAATATGAAACACGGTTTCTATCATTATTATAAACATTATTTCTAATCTTGACAGTAAAAATCTTTACTTACAAAAAATAACAATGAATTACGTGTTAATAAGTTGGTGGAGAAAGACATGCGGTTACTACGTTACATAAATAGTGCATTTTTAACGAAGAACTATAATCACATAGGTAAGTTTTAGTTTCACGTTCAAAATTATTATAATTAAATATAATTTTATTTGAATTAAACAAAGCTTTATGATAATTATAACCATATATTTCACTTTTAACGATTTTACCAAAATTTTTGACTGTATAACACAATAGGAAAACCGTATACATAGTACATTACAATATCCATTAATCGTTTCAAAAGTAAAATGTACATTTTAATACTTTCAGAATGGCCATCCTCATCTGGGGCAATACGCGCTCAGCGTTTCGTTACGTTTTTCTATTTTCCATAATATTTGGCACCAGTTTTCTGCTCGTGTTAGTAAACAACAGAATTGACATATTCTATATTAAAAATGAGATGATTAGTTCTCCATGGAAAACGCACAGATACGATTTTATAAGTTCTGATGACACTTTTACAATAAAAACAGATGGTTGCACTATACCCGGTCTAAACCCGTTCGCTGAGGACATCAGAAAGTTTATTGAACGCCCCAAATCTATAAAATCATGTCATCAGTCAAACATATCGCTACTTAATAACAACGAAACGCATATATGGATAAACGAAGACAATTTACGTTATTACGATGTACCGCCTCTTAACTTATCATGCTGTTACAGATCTTTTTATAGACCTTTAGCGATTCTGGATATTTATTCTATGGATGTAGACAATAGAGTAAAGTATGAATCTTGTATAGAATTTTCTAACTATATCGAAGTTATGAATGAATTCGTTAGAGTTGCTTGTTATTATAGAGAGAAGTTTATTTATGATCAATTTTTCCTTTTCGCCCCGAAGAAACCTTTTGTAACATTCAAAGATGAATATTCAGAAATACCACAAAACCAAACGGCGTATAATATTATTATCATAGGAATTGATGCAATTTCAAGACTAAATTTTTACAGAACAATGCCGAAAACATTGAGTTTTTTGAAAAAGAAAGGTGCCATAGAATTTTATGGATACAACAAAGTTGGAGACAATACCTTTCCAAATTTGACCCCCATTCTCCTCGGCATGAAAGATACCGAACTGAAGAAAACCTGTTGGCCCAACATGAGAGCAACTTTTGACAACTGTCCTTTTATATGGGATTCATTTAAGGAAGTTGGATACTATACTGCACTCGGTGAAGATACTGCTACCTTAGGCACATTTAATTTTGAAAAATTCGGTTTTAGCAGAACGCCTACTGACTACTACTTGCATACGTTTATGCATGAAGCGGAACGCTACACTGGTAACAATCGAGATTTTAATTCATATATATGTATGGGTAGTAAATATTTTTATAAAATACTTTTAGATTACATAGAAAATTTAACATTAACACTGAAGTCTTCCAAATTGTTCGGCTTCTTTTGGGAAGTGACAATGAGTCATGATTATTTAAACTATCCAATGGCCATGGACGATGACTACGAAACGTTATTAAAACGTCTTGATTATCATCGATATTTAGATGAGACAATTTTGATAATACTGAGTGATCATGGTATAAGGTGGGGTGAGATCCGGTTTACTAAACAAGGACGATTAGAAGAGAGGTTGCCGCTAATGCACATATTGCTACCAAACTCATTTCGCGACAATTTCTCTTTAGCTTACGAAAATATGAAATTAAACAGTCATCGTCTTACAACACCTTTTGATGTTTACGCTACTTTAGTAGATCTCGTTAATGTAGATGTGTTAAAAAATGAAAATATAAAATTACGAAGTAGAGCCCATTACGCCTTTGATAGAGGCATAAGTTTATTTTTACCAGTACCAAGCAATCGCACGTGCGAGACAGCGGAGATAGATGATCACTGGTGCACTTGCCACAAAGGACAAAAAATACAAACAAGTAGTTTGGAAGCACGTGAAGCTGCACAAAAATTGTTATGGCATTTAAATTCACTGATACGAGGGCATTCACAGTGCGCGTCTCTTTCTCTTGATAAATTAATTGAAGTCACTGAAATGATTGCCGGGACACCGAATGAAAAAGAGGTAGGATGGCGAGAATTTCTGGTGGTAATACGCACTACTCCAGGTAAAGGAGTGTTCGAGGCAACTTTACGGCATGATTCAAGAGACTGGTCGTTAGCAGGTACAGTTAGCCGCCTAAATATGTATGGTGATCAGGGTCGCTGTATGCACCACTATCAGCTCAAATTATACTGTTATTGCCTTTAATTCCACAAGTTATTGAAATATTGTGAAACGTAATAATCTGTGATAGTTTGAGGCGTATTTGAACATCGAGTACAATTTTTAAAAAAAGTTTTGCTCAACATTTTCATAAGTAGGTACATCAGGCCTATTGTTACAGTGGTTTTTCTATTTTATGAGTACATACACTTATATATTATGTAGGTACGAACATACTTTTAAAATGATTATTTTATTAAAAATTGCATAGAGGTAAAATTTTGATTTACTTATAATTTAAAGATCGACTATATACATCTTATATTAAATAAAGTCAAAAATCATGGAAAAAGGGCTTTCGCTAGAAAATTACAAGGAGTTCTAATTTGATATATGTATTTATATACAGTTTGGTATCCTCATTAATATATCCTATTAGCTACCTTAAGTAACCTCAGATACCGCATTGTAAAGCAAAAAAGGCGTTACAAACTATTTGCAAATATGTTATCTCCAGTGAAACCCTACGAGTATCAAAGTATTATTGAACGCTTCGCTCAAGTGCGTCCCTGCGTCTAATAGATATGAATAGTTATTGCGAGTGTACCTTAGGAGAAAGACTTATGCTATTGCAGATTTTTCTGTAGGCCTTATTAGTACATAGTTAATTTTCTAGTACATAGTTTTGATGTACTTATCTCTTAAGGTTTAGCCAGCGTTAGACATGTTTATAGAATATATTTTAAATATATTTTAATATCTTTTACATTATAGAGTAAAAGGTATCCTAAATGTTCACCGGAATAATAAGTTATCAATACACAAATTCTAATTAAAATCGGTTCAGTACTTTTTGTGTGAAACGCGCACATTTATTTCACTAAGTTACTTTTTTATTATATGTACAGAATTTTATGATATGAAAATGTGTGCGAGTTATAAAAAATTAAGGCACTAATAAATAATAGATAAGGAAATTCAAATTAGAACTCCTTTGACTTTTCGTAAGTCAGCACGTGCAGTGTATACCCATTGACTAAACAACATCTAATTTAATTTATTTTATAGAAGCATTCATTGATATAAAAAGAAATAATTTAATTTAATGGTTTCATAGAATAGTAACTATTTATAGAATTTCAGATTGGTACATACATATAAATTCTTATAAAGTTTTTTTTTACATTTATTAATAATTAACATAATTTTAATGTTAACAATTACTAGACACCGGATTTCTTCTTTATTTTTAAGTCAGCATACAATTAAGAAATTACTCCTTCATAATTTTCATAATTATGTATCTAATCTCGTATTTTCTTATTTAACGACAATTTCAGGAAGTACTTATATTTCATAATGTTCATGGCCATTAAAGAGGAAAAAGAGCAGTGGCTAATGGGAATGCGGCAAATTAAATATAGAATATTTGTATCTAATTAATATGGAGCATAAGTGTATCCTTCACAAATAACATAAACGTTACACAAGATATATTTTAAATTTTACATAGCTGTTTCTGAAATAATAAAGTTAATGACTTTAGTAATAATTTACTGTTAAAATTTGCTTAATCAATAGTTTATTACTGTTTAGTGCAGGAGAATCGCGTTCATATTTGTATAAGAAAACCAAAACCTAATAAAGGAATTACTAATCTATTATACAAATTATAAATATATTTTGTGCGCGCTCCTCATGCCATACAATTTGCACTTGCTAAATAACAATGTAGATTAATCGTAACAATATCGTGGTTATGTAGAGTTAAAGTAATGGATATAACGCCACGATATTTATTATAATATTTTGTTATTCTTGTGATGTCTAAACAATAAATACGTTTTAAGGTCCATCAGGCACGCTGGTAGAAATGGTAGGCAGGCAACCTTTGATCTACAGCTTAGAATTGTAATAATAAATATACCTAGATAGAAATATTATTTTTTTAAGTTTAAGTCGTCGTGTAAACTAGCCATTAAACTGTGCAATAACACTTATTATACTTTTTTACACCTATGTACTGTTATATTGTATACTCAAACTTAAAACCCCAAAATTGTGAGTTCTTTAGGTACTAGGTAGTATTTTTTTGATAGTTGTATACCATGAAACATCACTATTCCTATACCTACTTATTTATTAAATTTTATTATAATATGTTAATTTATAGAAATAAACATGTTTTGTTAGTGTTCATGACAACTTTTATTTCCTTACCTCTTTGTCTATAATTCAAAAAGTTGATAAAAAAATATGTGATGTTTATTTTAATACGCTGTCTTCATGTATCTCCAAAATAATATTAGCTCGAGAAGTATGCGGTGTGTCTATAATAAGCGGCCTCTTAAATATACTTACTCAAATTATTAAAAAAATCACTAATAGGTTCTTACATTTTATTTTCATGTTGTGGTCTGCTTCGGCAGACCTGCCGTCGAGACGTCGTAGTTAAGTGCGTAAGTGATCCTGCGACGCTCCATTAAGACGGGGGAGGTTTTGTTGGGTTTTAGTGGGTAGTACTGGCATTTCTAGCCGGCGAGTCCCACATAACCACCTGTATGTCTGTGGTATGCGTAAATGCATTTCTCAACATTAAAGAAGGTGCGTTATAAGTAATATTTTAGGTTTTTATTTTTGTACATTGAATTGTTAATAGACAACATAATATATAACCTTCTTTAAAGTAAACACTTTAAAGAACAAGTGTGTAACAATTGCTGTGTACAACAACTCTGACCTTTCAATTATGCAAATATACATTCTTGAGCGCTTTATTAATAACTCAAGTCGAGTATTGGAATCACTCGATGAAAATATAATTATTGCTGGCGATTTCAACCTAAGTAGTATAACATGGTCTCTGGAGCCACATGGGCATCTTTGTGCAAAGCACTCCAACAGTTACCTACAAAATCTCTTAATAGACTTTCTCTCATGCAATGAATTGAACCAATTCAATCAAATCTTAAACTGTAAAAATAAGGTGCTCGATCTTGTATTGTCCAATATTAACACTGTTAATATTCTATCATGTCCTGATCCTTTAACATGTGTTGATCCTCTTCATCCGCCATTGGTTTTTTCAATGGATTTTACAAATCCGGTATCACTAGCCCCTAATAACACCATTACAAAATTTTGTTTTCATAAGGCTGATTATGAAAACATAATAAAAGGTCTAAATGAAATTGACTGGAGGGAAATTTTGGGTGAATGTCTTTGTGTTGACGATATGGTTGCACTGTTTTATGATGAAATTAGTAAATTAATACGGAAATATGTACCTAAAACGAAATCACGCAGTCATAAATATCCAGTTTGGTTTACTCCATGTCTGATCAAGTGCATTAAAGAAAAATATAAATATAGGATGAAAGTTCGCAAATTTAACAATCCTCGCGATAAGCTTACCTTTGATTTACTGAAAAAAAGATGTGAGGTATTGTTAGCATACTCCTACGCTAAATATATAGAACGACTTGAACTTTCCTTAAAATCAAACCCAAAATTAATTTGGTCGTTCTTAAAACAAAAGAGAGGCAATAGTTCGTATCCTTCAAAAATTAAAAACGACAATATATCTGTTTCCAATGGAACGGACATTTGCAATGTTTTCGCTAATTATTTTTCGTCAGTATACAGTTGCAATAATACTAATCAAAATTTTAATAATAACTCTAATCTTATGAACTCTTGTAGTAATGTGTATCTTGATTGTATATCTTATACAGTGGACCAGGTTTACAATGTTTTAAAAAGACTTGATATTAGGAAAGGAGCTGGAGCAGATGGTATTCCATCGATATTTGTCCGTAATTGCGCTAGTGCGTTGGCTTTGCCACTTGCATTGATTGTCAACAGATCTCTTAGCACTAGTACATATCCAACCTTATGGAAAAAAGCTCTGGTGTTGCCTTTGTTCAAAACCGGTGACAAAGAGGCGGTTAAAAATTATAGACCTATCTCCATTATTTCTGTTTTTGCAAAAGTATTTGAGCTACTTATATGTCCCGTTGTTTCATGGCACTTTAAAAAAAATGTTGCATCTGAGCAGCATGGGTTTGTGAAAGCTAGATCAACAGTCACTAACCTTGTTTCCTTTGTGGAAGACATTACTGAGGCTCTTGATACTGGCAAATCCGTTGATGCAATCTACACAGATTTCAGTAAGGCCTTCGACAAGGTTGATCATTCTATTTTACTTATGAAACTCAAAGGTATAGGTATAGCAGGCCCGTTGCTGGACTGGTTCAAATCGTATCTTTCCAATCGGTCATCAACTGTTGTCGTTAATGGTTATGCTTCTGAACCGTTTTTTGCCTATACTGGTGTACCTCAAGGGTCTCATCTGGGGCCTTTGTTGTTTAACATATTCATTAACGACATCAGCAGTTGCTTTAGTAATTCAAAGTTTTATCTGTTCGCTGACGATCTAAAGATCTTTAGACCTGTCTCGTCAAGTTCTGATGCAGAGATTTTACAGGAAGACTTAAATAATTTGTTATCATGGTGTCGTAACAACGGCATGTTGTTAAATGCTAATAAGTGTCATGTTATAAAATTTTCTAGAAAGAAAACATCTCTTGCAACAACGTATAACATTGATGGTCGTATTTTATCTGAAGTTCCTCACATACGCGATTTAGGAGTTACGCTTGACAATAAGCTCCGCTATAACATCCACATAGATAATATTGTTAGCAAGGGTTTTAGGACTCTTGGCTTCCTCTTCCGTAACTGTAAGCAATTCAAGGATGCACGCACTAAAATAATTATCTACTCAGCTTTGGTACGAAGTATTTTGGAATACTGCAGCGTTGTATGGAATCCACACTTTAATATTTACTCACAAAGAATCGAAAGGATACAAAAGAGATTTCTTTTGCATTTATCTTACGAGCATAATCTAGTTAAAACTCTAAGGAGTTACGAGGATAAGTTAAATTATTTTAAGCTTCAGTCACTCTCGAATCGAAGGCAGCTCCTTGACCTTACTTTCTTGCATAAGTTGGTGAATGGCGTCATTGATAGTTCCTACTTACTAGCTCAAATAAATATTCGTGCCCCATTAAAAACTAAAAGGCCGTCGTCTTTTATACCATTCGTAGAAAAAAACACACGCTCACGTCAAGGACGCTGTTCTCCGATTAATAGATTGATGTTGAGTTATAATGCTGTGTATAAATTAACACATAAGAATTGTATTGGTGCCATAACGACTACTGATGATAAACAAAAGGATAGAAAAGTTGATATTGATATTTTTTCAGATAATCTCTCGATATTTAAACGTAATTTATTTTATTTATTCTCATCGAATAATTGTAATTTATAGTCAAAAGGTATATTTTTTATTAAGAAAATTTAAATAAATGTGCTAAGTTTTAATCAGTGTCAACATTGAACAATAAATTAATGAGATTATTTTTCATGTTTAACGATTGTATAATTATAAAATGATGCATGTTTTAAATTATCATATAATATTAATTTCTGATTCAATTTATATACAACTTAATTTTTATAATTTTGAAATGATGCATATTTTAAATTATCAAATAATATTAATTTCTGATTCAATTTATATTTAACTTAATTTATATAATATTCCCATAATTTTTGTATTTATTTTAATTCACTACTTGTATTTGTGTCTATCTTTTATGAAATGTGTGTAACACCTATAATTAAGGCAGCACTTAGAATTTATTATTTATTGTAATTATATTATTATGATTTTGTTAGTGTATGTCTTGTTGGTGTTAATAAATAAATAAATAAATAAAAAAAAAAAAATAAATAATATACTCTTGACATATTCGTAATATTATCTTATACAGAAATTTAAACGTCACGGTAATCAGCTCTAATAGATGTTTGAATTTTGTACAGAAACGTGAAACTTCTGACACCCAGTAGATATTAACGTACGAGATTCGGCTGCAGGATTGCTACGTTCATCGAGTATTTAATCAAAACCAATTTTTTACATACAATAAAAGGGAAAATATGTTTTGGCCGGGTTGTCTATAAAACGTGTCCGCCAGTATTTTTAATTAAATTAATAATAATTGACTTCTTGGAACAAAATCGATTCACTTGTTATTAAAATAAAATATACTCCACTTTACAGAAATATACGTAGAGAACTTGAAAAGTGATAGTTGCCGTTGCACACTTGGCCGCGACCTCTTCGCGGCCAGGTGTAAGCAGGTAATATTTTGTTACATTTATACGTCCATGGTGTAACTATATTAATTACTAATATTATATCAAATTAAAGCTATTTTTTTCTGTGCATGATAAAAAACCTCTGCCTATGTGAAAGTGACCGCAAATAGGGGTTACTAGCTGTTAAAGATAGATTAAAGTGAAAGAAAGATAAGCGCGTTAGGTAACTGTTTATTGCCGTGGTAACCGTTGTTATTGTCTGACAATTTATTTTAAAATAAATAATAAATATGTTGGGACATTAACACACAGCACCATCTAGTTCCATGGTAAGCTACGAGGCTTGTGTTATGGATAACAGATAGTTGATACACTGCACACGTGTAACTTTAAATACATACTTATTATAAATATAAACACCCATGACTGGACTACAAACATTCGTGCTCATCACACAAATGAATGCCCCCAGCGGGACTCGAACCCGCGACCGCTGTCACAGTAAGTACGGTCACTACAAATTGAGACAAACGTGTTGTCAAATTATTGTATATAAAAAAAATTGATTAAATACTCGATGAACGTAGCAATTTTTGCAGCCGCATCTTAGACTATTCGTCCATCTTAAATATAAACTACTAATATAAAGGATGGAACAAATCGATGGGACATGGAAGAAAAGTACCTTAAATATCGAAGTAATCAAGATTTACTCAAAGAAAACATTTCTTTATTTTTAAAAATAATAATAACTGCATTTTTTTAAAAAAAAGCTTACCTGAACCGGTAATCGAACTAACTGAAAATGCAAAAAGGTACACGGTCACTTATTTTATCGAATTAATGCATAGAGTCTATGGTAAGGATGAGATGTCTCGAACGAAAATTGTACGTTACAATTAATGAACACAATGAAACTTACAAATAGCACAATTTTCAGTGTTAGAGTCGATAAGTATAAGTTGTAAGATTTCATCGTTTTCTTCAATTCTAAGGCGCAGTGTTTGTTTGAGACATTTTATCCTTCCCATAGACCCTATCGAAAATAGTGACGGTGTCCTTTTTTGCATTTTTATTAGGTTCAAATCTTGGTTCAGAAGGTTATTAAAAAAAAATTAAATGCAATTACACTAGTTTACATGGTTTTTGTCCTTGAAATGAAAAGTATTTTTTCTTAACAATTAAGGTGTACTGAGTTAAAAAAAAAATTAATTAAATAATCCAACACGTCAAATTTCCAAAATATTTATTTATTTTAATTTCCAAAAAAATACTTACAATAATATATAAAAAAGTCAAAATAAATAGCTTTTTATTGTTTTTATTTGCATCTCCATATTCGTCACTGATGTGTCCAAGTCTTTCACAGAAGAAGTCGAGGTGCGAACGAAGGAAGTAAACTTTTAGAGGCATGTGGACACCCTTTTGTTGAAAATTATTTAATAAATCGGCATTTACTGTCGGTAATTTTCATTATTTGTCATAAAAATTCGTAATGAATTCCAAGCAGACTTTTAGTATCTGAAAGGCTATTTTGATTTTCTAATATAACCCTCAGTATTTTTTTGATTTGCAGTCCGATAAAAATACCTTTTAATTTCGTCTCAGAAAAATTAGGAGTCATTAGAGATAGAAGATGGCCTCATATTCATTAAATTTAACACTACACTGCTTCAACATTTTGCAATGAATTTAAAACCAACTTGTGGGTAGCTAGAAAATAAAATGTGATGATAACTTTAGTTTTTGACGTGATACAATTAAAAAAAATTATATTCGCGTTTAGTTATTGTAACTGAATAAAATAATATACAATTCGCTGGAAGGACATAACTTTTTTGTATTTTGTAAACTAGTGTTATTATTATTTAAAAAAATAAAGAAATGTTTCCTTTGAGTAAATCTTGATAACTTCAATATTTAAGGTACTTTTCTTCCATGTCCCATCGATTTGTTCCACCCTGTATTGTTCTGCCTTATTTATAATAATGCATAATTTAATTTAACTTTAATCTCATTTTTCACTTTATAACTTAGACTGTGTTAATACTGTGTGTAATGTTATGGAAATTTTTCTTTAACACTGTTTTATGTCTATACTAATATTATAAAGAGGTAAAGTTTGTGAGGTTGTGACTTTGTGAGTTTGAGTCTTTGTGAGTTTGTGACATTGTAGGGGGTAATCTCTTGATCTACTGAACCGATTTAGATGAAATTTAGTAAGAAGATAGTTTGAGACCCTGGGAAGGAAATAGGATACTTTTATATACCGGAAATAATCCCTTAAGGGGGTGAAAACGGGGATGAAATTTGGATGGAGATTAATAAAACGTGCTTTTATATATATATTTTTGAGATTTGGCGCACAGAATCCCAAATGCATGAGTAAAAGGGGCAATGTCCGCCAATATCAAGCTTTTTGAAATCTGCAAGATCCTAAAAGATAAATTGATAAAATTTTGTTTTACTATTTTTGTCACGCATGCGTACACTTAAATAATAATAATCAAATTAATCTTAAGCAATAATAATAATTAATAAATAAATATATTGGTAAAATTTCATTTAGAAGATTAACTTCGAATTATACCTGCACAGAAAAATAATACTCAATAAAGATTCTGTTACATGGTAAGAATACATGCATAGTTAAGAAGACAATTAATTGTATTAATAGATTTTATAATTTATTATTATTATTATTACAAGATAAAAAAAATGTTGTAGAAAACTACGCGGCGAGCTCATGGACATCTGCATATCTCTAAGTTTATTCAAAACATAAAAGCATGGATAATGTCATTTTTCGCTCGACAGTTGCTTTAGTACATAAAATAATAACAAAATATGTGTATATCTTTTTCAGTATGAGCCGCATCACAGGGGCAGTAAGAGACAAAGTTGGCTCCATGTCGACGCGTATGCGTTATTTATTCCTTTTTGCCACTGTATTGGGAGGAAGTTTTCTCATAATCTCAATAAATACCATCTCGGATATAGCTTATATTAGCAGTGGTGTCATTCCTTGGAGCTCAATACGTTATAAAGAAGTTGAAAGTTACACCGAACAAAGTTATACAATAAACACTGAAGGATGTGTAATTCCCGCATTGAAACCTCTGGGTGAAGAAATAAAGCAATTTGTGAAATATCCTACAAAAATCAAGCCATGTCCGGATTCTCAGCTTTCCTTGCTCGCCAATAACAAAACTCATATTTGGGTAAGACCAGAAAACAAAGAATATTATAATATCAGTCTCTACAAAACATTTACTTGCTGTTATAAGTCGTTTTATCGCCCTCTATCAGTAAAAGATGTAACATCCTTTGATATTGATGAACGTGTTAATTATAGCGATTGCAAATATTTTTCTCAAATTATTGAAGTAAATGATGAATTTGTATCCGCTTATTGTGAGGCTGATGGAAGAAAAATTTACCATCAATACTATTTGTTTGCACATAAAAAAAGCTTTGTTCCCCTTTCTAGTTGGGTACCTTCACAAAATAAAACATCATACAGTGTTATTATAATGGGCGTGGACGCCGTTTCACGACTTAACTTTCATAGGACAATGCCCAGAACTTTGGCTATGTTAAAGAAGAAAGGAGCTGTGGAGCTTTTGGGTTATAACAAAGTTGGAGATAACACATTTCCGAATTTAATACCAATGCTGATGGGAAAATCAGTAACAGAATTAAAAACTTCGTGCACCCCAAATGAAAAAGCTACTTTTGATAACTGTCCCTTTATATGGGAATGGTATAAGGAAGCTGGCTACTATACAGCTTTTGGAGAAGATAGTTCAAGCCTTGGAACTTTCAATTATGAAAAAGCTGGTTTTATAAGAACTCCGACAGATTATTACATTCATACGTTTATTAATGAAGCCGAAAATAATGTAGGCATGAATAAAGATCTTAATTCTTTTTTATGTATGAACGATAAATATTTTTTTGATGTATTATTAGAATATATAGAAAATCTCACTTTGACGTTAAAGTCATCAAAATTTTTCGGATTATTTTGGGAAGTCACCATGAGCCATGATTACGCTAATTATCCAATGTTAATGGATAAACATTATGCAGATTTTTTTAATAGATTGGACGCAAGCAATTACCTGGAAGAAGCAATCATTATTCTAGTAAGTGATCATGGAATAAGATGGGGTGAATTTAGATCAACTAACCAAGGTCGGCTTGAGGAACGCTTGCCATTTGTTTATGTCTTAACCCCAAAAAACTTCCGTGAAAAATACAATACTGCCTTCAATAATCTGCAATTAAACAGTCGTCGTCTGACAACGCCGTATGATTTACACGCTACTCTTATTGATTTAATAAATTTAGAAGGAATAGAAAATAGTGTAATAGATCGACGAAGTAACAAGACTACTTCAAAAAGTCAAGCTTATAGTTTGTTCTTGCCTATACCAGAAAATCGTACGTGTTTTCAAGCACATATTGATGATCATTGGTGTACTTGTCATAAAGGCCATTTTTTGTCACCTTATAGTGTAAAAGCATTGGGTATCGCAGAAAAATTAGTGCAAAGCATAAATATGTTATTAATAGAATACACTCAATGTGCTCAACTAAAACTGAGCGAATTGCTAGAAATTACAGAAATGGAGGTGAACTCCCCTGAGGACGATAAGATTGAGTGGCGTGAATATATGATAATGATAAAGACAACGCCAGGTGAAGGAGTTTTTGAGGGTACTCTTAGATACGACGGTCATAAGTGGGGAATTGCTGGTACAGTTAGTCGCCTTAACCTTTATGGAAATCAAAGCCGTTGTGTGCACAATTATTTATTGAAACTCTATTGTTACTGCAACTCATAAAATTATAATAGTAGCGTTGTATCATAAACGCTATTATGATTTTATTTATCAGTTGTTGTAACACTTAAGTTAATTATTGTTAGGGCCGGTTTAGACTAAGGCTCTATACATGGTACGGTACGGTATAGGTTTTTTTTTTTTTTTTTAACGTTGGGAAATGCATTTACGCACGAGGTGTGGGACTCACCGGCAAAGCCAGTACTACCCACTAAAACCCAACAAAACCTTCCCCCGTCATAATGGGGCGTCGCAGGATCGCTTACGCATTCAACTACGACGCCCCGACGGCAGGTCTGCCGAGGCAAACCACAACGACCATGGGGTTGCTCCACAGTCCACTCTGCTATCAGAGAAGTACCAGGAGCAACCCGCACACTGCCCTCCGAAGAGGGCCACCTCCTACCGCCCACCGAAGTGGGCCACCTCCCTGTGCGTTTCTTGGCTTCGCGCCCGGTTGGGTTTCCGGGCACTACTGAGCCCCCCCCCACCACGACAAGGTGAACGCACGTTGGGGGGGACGGTACGGTATAGTGTCTTATGTCTAAATCCGGCCTTTATACTAAGAAATACTTTCTTATTCACTTCTAGTTATTTAGATGAATTTATATAATAAATAATAAACAAAATAAAATATTAGATTAAGTAAGCCACTGTGATAATCTGTAAAATATTTAAAAGGAAAACTATTATAAATATTTTAAATAATTATGAATTATAATATTTAGAGTTTAGACTATATTATTTTTTATTTTCAGTATATTTAATTTTGTAAAATCTGTAAGTATATTCGATTTAGTTTTATGAATGTTTAATATTTTTGCCTAGTTACGAGAATGTATTGCTTGCATTGTTGGCTCATATCAAAGAAGCTAACTGTAATATGTAATGCTCCCAACCACGTCTGCCTGTCTCTCTGTCTGTCTGAACGCGATAAACTCAAAAACTACCGAACAGATTTCACGAGTACTATGTATTATTATTTTACGGATAGACGGAGTGTTTCATGAGGAAGGTTTAGGTGTACCCGACTGAGAGATTTGCTGGTGTGTGCCGCGTAAACCAATAGAGTTATATAAAAAAAATGTATTGTGGAATTATTTGTTTTAAAAAGATCTATTAAACTGCAGCATTTGTATATGTATTACACAAATTGAGCATTTCCACCCTTACGAGGTCATAGCTCTTGCGCTCTTGATTGAAAATTAACATAAAATAATTTGTATTGTTTGTTATTTCAGCCTACATTCGTATCGTTAATAGAAATCAGAAGTCTATACATATAATAAAATTCTAATAGAGTCGAAACTGTAGGTACATTAAATATATTTTGGAAAATATTATTGAAATAGTCATTATTATCGATACAGAGGCTAATTCTGTAGTTTTTAGAATTTTTGTCTGTCTGTCTGGCTCGGAACGCGCCACGAGGAAACCACTGAATCAATTTTGATGGAATTTGTTATGATTATAGCTGGTTATGCGGGTCAACATAGGATAGGTACTTTTTTCTGCGGAATAATATTTCATCCCTGAGAAATGTACACTAATGACTAACCGTTAAAACGTAATGACGGGCGAACCCGAGCTGAGCAAGGGTGAGTTCCTAATCTACAGTATATAACATAATATGGAAAATAAGTCAAGTTAAATCATTATTTTACAAAAATATTTAAGAGTATTTTCAAACATTGGCACTATTACAGTTTTGGAATTTTGGCTGATGTCTAATTATGATATGAATTCTACTGTATCTATAGCTCTATTATGCCTCAAATGACTAAAAACTACGCACTTATAAATTTATTTACTAAAATAGATGTTAACATTTACTCGGTTCGAGGATGTTTAATAAGTCTTGATTCCGAGTAGCAAGGTGATAATAGGCAAATCCAAGCATTAAACGACTTCTTGTCTATGTCCTTTGAAAGTATATTTAAAATCTGTCATATGATATCTGTCATATGTCAAGTGTCAACCTTTCTTTGATCGTGTAAAATTAATAAAACAGCGCGTTGTTTTTAAAAATATGTATAGTTTGATTGTTTTTTTGGCTAAACATAATACATAAAATGGCTGTACCCTTTAGAATTTTATGCAGAGAAAATATAAAGAAAATATATATTCAAAATATAACCAAACCGGTACAATGGAATTTAACCGCAAATCATCCCATAAGATTCTTATGCAATGAAATAAAATATCAAAATAGTATTTTAAAAAGGCCTTCAATTTTGACAAAAGATTTAACACTTTCTTTAAGACCTTTTCGACAATGTACAAGTCAACATAGCAACAATTCTTGTAAACCTCCACAAGAACCAGAGAAAAAAGTAGGTCTAATACAACGATTTAAGCAAATGTATAAAGATTATTGGTATGTGGTGTTACCTGTACATATGACGACATCAGCTTTGTGGTTTGGTGGGTTTTACTACTGCGTAAGAAGGTATTTTTTTTTCTAAATTTAAAGTGTTCTCAAGTTTATTAATCATTTTATTATTCATGATCATATTATTTAGTTTTTCTAGATATATAACATGTAACCATTTCTCCTATTTCATTTTTCTTATAATTTCTTTTCTATATCCATATCATTATTTAAAAAATGTTTAAAAACATTTTGACACTAAATTGCATCATAAATGTTTTTTCCTTATTTTGCTATAACTGTGCGTTATTATAATAATGCAATAACTAAGAATTTTAACATTTCATTTCTTTCATTTGTACTTTTAACTTTAAATAGATTTAATGAACAGCTTTTAAAAATTTTGCTAATTTAACTTGACCAATTTAAAAAAAGTATATAACAACAGTGTATTTAAAATATATTATGTATAGATAATTGCAGTCATATGTTGAAATCAATACAATTATATTATAGATTATTTCTATGAAAACTTTATTTTTTAGCGGAGTAGATGTTATAAGCTTATTAGAATCACTTGGGATTAGCGATAAATTATTGATACCATTGAAGGAATCAAATGCAGGATATTTTGCTCTTGCCTTCGCTCTCTACAAATTGGTGACACCTCTCAGATATGCTGTCACTGTTGGTAATATAATTTATTGATAATTAATCTGATTGTCTGAATTTATTACAAACTCTTTAGTATTTTAAATATACTTTTACAGGAGGAACAACTTATGCAATAAAAAGGCTGACAGTTATTGGTTGGATTAAACCAGTACCATCAAGGGAACGCATTAGAGAGATGCTTCAAGAAAAAAAAGATAATATTCAAGGAAAATTCAATGAAAGTAAACAACATTATCAGACTCAGTATAAAGAAAAAAAGTCACAAGTTATGGACGAAATGCAGAGATACAAAACAGAAATGCGTAAGATGAAAGATAAAGTAAAGAAAATGTAAATAAATCAAAATATTGCTTATTTTATTTATTTATTATACAGTTTATAGTTTTCAACTAAAACTTTTACATAATATGTATAGATATTGTATATAGATAAGGAATTTAAAGAGTCTTTATACAGTTTGAAATTATTTATTGTTAAAAATATATAAATACAAAAGTATTATTTAACAAAAAATATTTTTAATTATGAAAGGAATTTATGTTGACAATATTTTTACTATCAAAATGTACAGATACCATAAACTATGTTTTAATTAAGTACCTACATTCAGGACAGCACATAACTGGAATGTTTATATGGTGCTTTTACTGCTTATTTTTTATAATCACAAGTATAAAGAGAGAAAGGTCATCATAGAGCCAGATGTGCTGTCACATCTAAGTTCTAACATAATTACATTAGTAAATGCATCAAAAAATATACAAAAAAAAAGTGAAGAAAGCCTATCCATTTCCTTTACTAATCCAAGAACACTATCTGCATAAAGATCAAAATCAATTTTAGATAATTCACACAAATTTATTAAATTACAACAAAATATTTTCTGTATTATTTATTATACTTGTTTCATGTGTTCTATTTTAGTTTTAATCAAAAAAAAAGAATAAAAAATCATAAGTCTACTGTAATACTCAAAGTATAATAAAACACACTATTAACAAGTTAATGTGCCAATTAATTTTTAGGTGTATTACATTTAAATTAGAAAATTTCAATATGAAAATGTATATATTATTATATTGACTACAATATCACAAAAAATGTGAATCATTTCTGGCTCCGTCATATTCTATCTCATTAGCAAGCATGCATACTGTAGGACTTATTAAATGTACCTTATTACCTACAAAATGTAATCTTTCCAACGATTTACCCCAATTCCTTTTAGACTTACAAACAAGCTGTCATTTTTAAAGCTATACACATACTTAACTGCTTCACATATATTTTTCTAATATTTTGTTCTCATAATAGCCATAAAATATTGAGCACAAGGGTATAACTATAGATTAATGTATATTTTTCTTAACAATTATGGAAAGATAAATTGTTAGCATATTTGTTACAGACATGTCATGCGATAGGATCACCATCACCTAATGTCTTATACCACGACAGACAGGAAGGTGTTAATTAAATCAAGTATAAATGTAAAATTAATATTTATATGAATACACTGTAATCCAAAAAGCATCTTAAAATTTTGTAATAAATAATTATATACATATGTTTGTCATATTAGATGGTATTCAGAGACCATAAAAATAGTAACATTAAATAAGCTTGAGGATCCCCATAATTGATAAAGTAATTTCAATGTTTTCCTAATAACAGATTGTCTAATCACATCAGACCAAAACGTCTGTAATCCATGATAAATACAATGTATATCCCCAGCCATATTAAAGATATCACATTATATGTTATAACAATATTTACTATGCTTATGAACTATTTCATCTCACAAAACCAATGGTAAAATGTACTACAATGGCCTAAACTTATAGACTTATTCACTTGCATAGCCATTATCCATAACACATCCACTTACACTATTCACTGATAGTACCCGATACCAACAAGAACTAGAAAACAGTGTATGATATGATTAATGTAATAAATACACAACAATTGTAATGAAATAATAATTATAATATACATTGCCAATCCGCACTTGGCCAGCGTGGTGGGCTATGGCCTGTCCCCCCCATATTGAAGGGAGGCCCGTGCCCAGCAATGGGATGTTAAAAAATGGGCTGAATTGACAAAAATTATTGATAATTACCATATCAACTATAAAAGACACAACATTAGTTATATATTTATATTTAAACTAATTAATTATGTACTTTGAAATGGTTGATATTTTTTTCTACTAGATTATGTAGCCGACCATTATTTGTGTCATTTTTTTATTTAACACATTGGCATGACTTTTTTTCATTTACTTAGTAAAAATCATCAACAAGAACTGGAAATTTTTAACTTATCACTTTAACCATAACATAATATCAATTCTTACATTATGTATTAATTGAAACTTTCTACTGCTGAAAGCTTACAGCTGACTTTTAAACTGATTTTAAGTCTAATTAGATGAGCTCAGGTTATAATAAATGCAAATTCACTACATCAGATAAGTGCAGTGTTTATATTGACGTGTGATGCTTATCCCATGTACTGGTAGGAAGCGGGTGAGAGGTGAGGCGCGGGGGGCATGCCGGGGCCGGTGGGCGCGCCTATGGCCGTCAGGTGGCACGCGCGGCACATTAGCTTACCTATAATCGACAAATAGTTTTATTAGAAATGGAATTACATTAACATTATTACAAAGGAATTGTTAAAGTTATCATCTGTACAGATAAATAAAATCGAAGTGCCTGTTTGTAATGTCAAAATATATATATATATATACAGTGCCTATAAGATAAACACATTTTTTAAAATTTTTGTCTGTCTGTCTGTTTTTTCCAGATAATCTCTGAAATGGCTAAACTGATTTTGACGAGACTCACTGGAAGATAGCTGATGTTATAGGGAGTAACATAGGTTACTTTTATTTTAGAAAAAGAATTAGAGTTCCACTCAAAAAAATTAAAACATACCACATTTAATGAAAACAATAATATTATTATTTTTGAAGCAACAGAATTGGTCACTGTTACATCAAATATTATTTCTAAAAGCAATTAAGTCCTTATCAAGCAATATTGCATTTTCAAAAGATTAATATATAAAACAGTAGCACAATATACCTGCTAAAGGATAGCAGCGTTTGTCAGGCTCATCGGTCAATTGCATCCCGCACATACAGCACATGTAGCAGTCAACATGGAAGTCACGGTCCATTGATACTACCCGCACTGTTTCATCTGTGCCCTCAACTGGAGTTATACCTATTGAAAAATTAAAAATTCAGAGACATAAACAAAGAAGTTCATTTTAATGTAATTAACATAAATCTAATAAGATTTTAATATCTTTTCTTCACACCATGTTTAATAAAGTTCTGCTAACAAAATTTTAATTGTGACATTCTGTTTCACTAAAACTAAAGTGCAACATTAGCATTTAGCACTCTCAGAGCCAAATGGGAAGGCAAGCTGTCACAATTAGATATAGCTTAGGCCAATAAGTGGACAGCCTTACATAATATTCTTTAAAGCAATGTTTAAAACAACTATTTTATTACTCATTTTTATACTTACCTGAGACTCAACAACAATATAAGAACTGTATACAGTATAAATAAGCCCTAGTCTAGTAGCTTATTTATATCAACAAGATATACTTTTATAATCATAATGTTAAATTGAATTCTAAAATCATATTAATAATAATACCTTTGCCACAACTAGCACATTTAGGTGCAAACATGCGATGATAGTCATTTACGCAATAAATCTTGTTATCAACGTCAACTGTAAAGGGAACTCCATCAAGACATTCATTGCAAATGCAACAGCGGAAACAGCCCGGATGGTATGATTTGCCCATAGCTTGCAATATCTGTAAAATGCAATGACATGTTAAAACCAGATATTTAGTTATAAGTTAATATATAATACAACATTAAAAATGTACTTAGTACTTGTGCTTTATGTAATAAAATAAGTAAATAGTTAATTGATTTAAATAATGTTCAAAGTTTACTCTAATCTAATCAAAGGGCATATGTAGCACATTATGTTGAAAGTTACATAAATGGATCAAGCAACTGAGTTGTTTAAGTTATCTAAAATATCCTATATATAGGTTATAGTGATACTAACCATTTCCATTATCAGATGACCACATATTGCACACTTTTCTGCTGTCTGTTGAAATCCAGAGTACTAAAAATATTAAATGAATATATTAATTAATATGTTGATTTCCTAATGTAAAATTATACATTAATAAAAATTATATAATAAATAATTAGTTAACTCAATAGTTATTGTTTGATAAACAATCTTGCAAAAAACAATTGTAAATTTAAATTAATAGAGATGTATATCTATACTAATATTATAAAGAGGTAAAGTTTTGAGGTTGTAGGGTGTAATCTCTGGATCTACTGAACCAATTTAAATGAAATTTGGTAAGAAGATAGTTTGAGACCCTGGGAAGGACATAGGATACTATATTTTTATCCTGGAAATCATCTCTTAAGGGGGTGAAAATGGGGATGAAAGTTTGTATGGGGAATCAACATAGGGACTTATATATAAATATATAATAAAAAATATTACTTTACCAGATAATCCTCTTCACAGTACACTTTGCCATGGACATTGTAAAAGGCTTTGCCTCTTAGTGCTCGCCCACAAGAACAGCAAATGAAACAGTTGGTATGGTATAGGTTCCCCATAGCTTGGCATGCTTGACCTGCCCCTGTCACTCCTGCACCGCATGTATGGCATATACCTGAAATATAAACATAATATAATAATAATGATTACATTAAAAAACAAATTTTTTATTTACAATCTAGCACATGAGGAATAGCACATAGATTACTTTTTATCCTGGAAAAATGTACAGTTTCCATGGGATAGATTTCTTTTTGTTTTTCACTAGGGGCAAATTGAAGCAAAGTGAGAGTGAGTAGTTAGTTCCAAATAAAGCGAAATGGCACAATTTTTAAGAAATTATTTCATTCTCACCAAAGTATTCTCCTTCTTCATCTTGTCTTTCCATTTCTTCTTCAAGTTGGCGGGTAAGTTCTTCAATTTTACGTTGAGCTTCACTTGGTCCAGGTGGACGGGGAGGTGTTATACTATATGGAAGGAGACTTTTACCACGCCCACCAGATCCTCGAGAACCACCCGATACTTGAGATACAGAACTCGGAGTAGGACTAGGTGCTGGAGATTGAGCTGGTGAACATAATGAAGTTAGTCCAGAAACCATGTTACGAGAACTAATAGATTCTGAGGCCAACGACACATTATCTTTACTTGCAACTGCTACTGCAGCAGCCGGTGAACCACCTGTCATACACACATAGTCAGAGCCATTTGTATCCTCAATTATTTGCATTCTATTAGGAAGAGGTTTTGGAGGCATAGTATAATTTCCATTTACTGGTGAGGCTTTCAATTTACCTAGACCATTTCCAATGGGTGGCTTGGGATGAAAATATTTTGGAACAGGTATAGGACCTTGAACTTCTGTAGCTATATTTGCCTTTGGCCTTTGGGCACTAGGTGCAATTGAGGCATAAATGGCTGTTGAAGGAATGGTCACAACTTTATCATCAAAACTAACAGAATTATTATTTTTCAAAAGTGCACTAACATCAGTATATTTAGGAGGAGCAGATTTCATCACAGTATAGTCACTACTAGAATTATCTGATGAAGAATGGTATGGTGGTGGTGGTGGAACTTTTTCCACTTTATTTTTCTCTAATAACTTTTGTGAATTATTTCGATTAATAGTATTAGCCACTTGTGGACCTGGAGCAGAGCTTTGTTGGAGATATTGCTGATCCGATTTAGGTTGTACCTTGTAATCATTCTTCTTTTCATTGTCAGGACAAAGCATATTTTCGTATACTAAAGGATTTATTTTAGATTTGTTGTTTACTGGCACTTGAGGTTGTGCTTTACTATATCGAGTGTTATAATAACCATCTGCTGCTAATGGTTGGCTTTGGTACAGCTGATGATAGTAAGGTGGTTGTGACAGCTGTTGTTCCCCGTAGTAGTCTATGTTTTCATACACTGGCGGTGGATATTGAGAGTTTGTATTTCCAGGTATTTCGTATAAATCTTCAGTTTGGTAACTTAGTGACCTCTGCGAAATTGAGTCTAAAGATCGTGTTGGACTGGCTGGTAGCGCTGTAGTGTTTATATCACGTTTATTGATTGACGCGATCGTCTCTACTCGCTTAGGAGTAGCAAACTTGGAAGCTGCTATCACATTTGAACGTTCATAGAAACTGTAATCCTGTCGATTAACAGGAGCATTATCTAAGGTAAAACTCTCAATTGCACCAATAGGTCTAGTCTTTGCCTGAACACTATTGTTTGATGTTGAAGCATTGTGCGCTTGCTCAGTATCATTTTCGTCTTTGTTGGATATTTTCAAATCTTGCAAGCCCAGTATACACCGTTGTTCATCAGGGGCATTTCTTCTTGAAGAATCCATAATATATTCGAATTATGTAAATATTACTGCCAGATTTCAAAATAACACGAAAAACATAAATGATTCATAATTGTGATCTAATGTAATCTTCAACTCAACAAAACATAATGAAAAAAAAGATCTAAAAAAAACAAAATTAGTGATGTGCAAAGCTCATTATTGATTTTGATTAATGATTATGCCAAAAATAAGAACGTTATTATATAAATCAACATGATATTAAAAAATATAATAGTTTACTTTTTCTACTTGTTATCTTTATTTTATATTCGTTATTAAGATTACATATATTTTTTTTTAATAATTATAAATCTGTATAAAGTTATATTGTATTTTTTTTAATATAATTATATAATCATTTATATTAATTCGTATCTTAGTTGTATAAGTGTACATATATGTATTTTTCAATATTATTAAGATTAGTTTTATCCTCGTGTCTTTTCCATTGTACATGACAATGGTGAAGTAATCTGTGCCTTACCGTCACATTTTTATGCCATTAGGAATTGAATTTTAAAACACGTTTTAAAGAATTATTCGTCATAATAAAGCATTCATATTAATCAAGATAATATATAAATTATAAACACTAACAATTACTTATGGGATTTCTAGTGAACTTGAATTGATTAAATAATATTACAAAATCATTAAATAACAATAATAGATAAAAAAAGAAATTACAGGCTCTAAAACTAGTAGTAGCCAAAAATATCTACCTTATAATAATTTTAAAATTTGTATATTAATATTTTAAAATATTATTTTTTTATTGAGCTTTAAAGTATTCATTTTAAAAGTTGTTTAATCGATTAATTCATTTCATACATCGATATATATTAATCGATAGTCGCGCCATTTTACTTTGACAGTTAAATGTGATTTTTAACGTTTACTTTTTATTCTTTATCTGTATTATCTATAGTCGACACTTGTCACCTTGTGAAATGTGAAGTTTTATTTGTCATCCATGGTCATCCATGTTGTGAAGCGTACTGCTAGTTGATGTGTTTCACATATTTTTATCATATAAAATATTTAGTAAAAACTTAATCTATAATAAGTTATTAAACAAGCAGAGGAGTATAGTTGGCTTTCAAGATGTATGATATGGAAGATGATCAGTATGAGGAGGAAGAAGTAGAAGAAATTTCATCTGAGCTTTGGCAAGAAGCTTGCTGGATCGTCATCAATGCTTATTTTGATGAAAAAGGCTTAGTGCGACAACAACTGGACAGTTTTGATGAATTTATACAGATGTCCGTGCAACGAATCGTTGAGGATTCCCCTCCTATTGAACTTCAGGCAGAAGCTCAGCATTCTTCTGGTGAAATTGAAACTCCACCGAAATATCACCTTAAATTTGATCAAATATATCTTTCAAAACCAACCCACTGGGAAAAAGATGGTGCACCTTCACCTATGATGCCAAATGAAGCCCGTTTACGCAATTTAACATATTCGGCTCCTTTGTATGTGGATATTACAAAAACAATTGTAAAGGAAAACGAAGATCCAATTGAAACTCAACATCAAAAAACTTTCATTGGAAAAATACCAATTATGCTTAGATCTACTTATTGTTTGTTGAGCAATTTAACTGATCGTGATTTAACAGAGTTAAATGAATGCCCTTTGGATCCAGGTGGCTACTTTATTATCAATGGTTCTGAAAAAGTATTAATAGCTCAGGAAAAAATGGCTACCAACACAGTATATGTATTTAGTATGCAAGGTGGTAAATTTGCTTATAAAACTGAAATACGCTCATGTCTAGAACATAGTTCAAGACCGACTTCAACTTTATGGGTGAACATGATGGCCAGGGGAGGGCAAAGCATTAAAAAATCGGCTATTGGGCAGAGAATTGTGGCTATAGTACCATACATAAAGCAAGAAATTCCCATAATGATTGTATTTAGAGCTCTTGGTTTTGTAGCTGATAGAGATATCTTAGAACATATAATTTATGACTTTGATGATCCTGAAATGATGGAAATGGTAAAGCCTTCATTAGATGAAGCCTTTGTCATACAAGAACAGAATGTCGCTCTTAGTTTTATTGGTGCTCGTGGGGCACGTCCAGGTGTCACAAAAGAGAGACGTATAAAATATGCAAGAGAAATTTTACAAAAAGAAATGTTACCACATGTTGGTGTATCAGACTTTTGTGAAACTAAGAAGGCTTACTTTTTGGGTTATATGGTACACAGATTGCTATTGGCTGCTTTAGGACGCCGTGAACTTGACGACAGAGATCATTACGGGAACAAACGACTTGACTTGGCTGGACCTTTATTGGCCTTTCTCTTTAGAGGTCTATTTAAAAATTTATTGAAAGAAGTAAGAATGTATGCTCAGAAATTTATTGATAAAGGAAAGGATTTCAATCTGGAATTGGCTATCAAAACGAAAATCATTACTGATGGTTTAAGGTACTCCTTGGCAACAGGTAATTGGGGAGATCAAAAGAAAGCTCATCAAGCTAGAGCTGGAGTATCCCAAGTATTAAACCGATTAACTTTTGCATCAACTTTATCTCACTTACGACGTGTTAACTCCCCAATAGGTCGTGATGGCAAATTGGCTAAACCTCGTCAGTTACATAACACACTTTGGGGTATGATATGTCCCGCCGAAACTCCAGAAGGGGCAGCTGTAGGTTTGGTAAAAAATTTGGCTCTAATGGCTTATATTTCAGTAGGAAGCCAGCCTTCTCCTATATTAGAGTTCTTAGAGGAGTGGTCTATGGAAAACTTAGAAGAAATAGCTCCTTCAGCCATCGCTGATGCAACAAAAATATTTGTAAATGGTTGTTGGGTAGGTATTCATAGAGACCCTGAACAACTTATGGCTACACTACGTAAACTGCGCCGTCAAATGGATATTATTGTCTCAGAAGTTAGTATGATTCGAGACATTAGAGACAGAGAAATAAGAATTTATACTGATGCTGGTAGAATTTGTCGCCCTCTATTGATAGTAGAGAATGGAGCCTTGTTATTAAAGAAAAAACACATTGATCAATTGAAAGAGAGGGATTACAATAATTATGGATGGCAAAACCTGGTAGCCAGTGGTGTTGTAGAGTATATTGATACTTTGGAAGAAGAAACTGTGATGATAGCTATGAGCCCCGACGATTTAGCTCAAGTAAAGGAGTATGCTTATTGTACTACTTACACTCATTGTGAAATCCACCCTGCTATGATATTAGGTGTTTGTGCTTCTATTATTCCTTTCCCAGATCATAACCAAAGTCCCAGAAATACCTATCAGAGTGCTATGGGTAAACAAGCTATGGGAGTTTATATTACAAACTATCATGTTAGAATGGATACATTGGCTCATGTACTTTATTACCCACATAAACCTCTCGTCACTACAAGATCTATGGAATATCTACGATTCAGAGAATTGCCTGCTGGTATCAATTCTATTGTTGCCATTTTGTGTTACACTGGATATAACCAGGAAGATAGTGTCATCTTAAATGCTTCTGCTGTTGAAAGAGGATTTTTCAGATCAGTATTTTATCGTTCATATAAAGATTCAGAGTCTAAAAGAATTGGAGATCAAGAAGAACAATTTGAAAAACCGACAAGACAAACTTGTCAAGGTATGAGAAATGCTCTCTATGACAAATTAGATGATGATGGAATTATCGCCCCCGGTATAAGAGTATCTGGAGATGACGTAGTAATTGGAAAAACAATAACCTTGCCTGAGAATGACGACGAGCTAGAAGGTACTACCAAACGCTACAGTAAACGTGATGCATCAACGTTCTTACGGAACAGTGAAACTGGTATTGTTGATCAAGTTATGTTGACATTAAATAGCGAAGGATATAAATTTTGCAAAATTCGAGTAAGGTCTGTGCGTATCCCGCAAATTGGAGATAAGTTCGCTTCTCGACACGGGCAAAAGGGAACATGTGGTATTCAGTATCGTCAAGAAGACATGCCATTTACTTGCGAGGGCTTAACTCCTGATATTATTATTAATCCACACGCTATTCCATCTCGTATGACAATTGGTCATTTGATTGAATGCATTCAAGGGAAAGTATCGTCAAACAAAGGAGAAATCGGTGATGCGACACCGTTTAACGACGCCGTAAACGTGCAGAAAATTTCATCTTTGCTTCAGGAATATGGCTATCATCTACGAGGCAATGAGGTGATGTACAATGGTCATACCGGCCGAAAGATTAACGCTCAAGTATTCTTGGGACCTACATATTACCAACGTCTTAAGCATATGGTGGACGATAAAATTCATTCTCGAGCTAGAGGACCAGTGCAAATTTTAGTTCGACAACCTATGGAAGGAAGAGCTCGTGATGGAGGACTGCGTTTTGGAGAAATGGAACGTGATTGTCAAATTGCCCATGGTGCTGCTCAATTCTTGAGAGAACGTCTCTTCGAAGTTTCTGATCCATATCGCATTCACGTTTGTAATTTCTGTGGTCTAATAGCTATTGCTAATTTAAGAAATAATACCTTTGAATGTAAGGGTTGCAAAAACAAAACCCAGATATCGCAAGTTCGACTTCCTTATGCTGCTAAACTGCTTTTCCAAGAGCTCATGTCCATGAATATTGCACCTAGACTTATGGTAGTAAGCTAAGCTATCAAAAGTTTGTATGTGAAAAACTTGTATTACTTTAATTTTTGTACCATTGTAATCTTTAGTAAGATTTGTCTATGATATGTCATATATATTTAAAAAATCATTACTTCTTCACATTATTGGATTAGAATCTATATTTTACAAAGAATACAATATGAATTGAAAGGACAGATTTTTCTAAGCAATTTTCGATTAATTCAACCCTAACGGAGTTCAATATGTTTTGTCTTATCTAAAGTAACTAAACAATAGCTAAATGGAAATGTTTCTTAATTAATTAAATAAAATAAAACTTTAATCATAAGAGTTTTATTTCGTATCACAAACGACAACATTAAATGCAGCTTAAATATAACAATCACGATACAAAATGTACACATAGTCCTGGTACTTATTATTTTAATAAATAATATCAAAAATGCATCAACACGATTGATGTATAAGTTAATTATTTATAGCGCACTAAATAAATATATGAATGTTAAGAATAACAATAATAAAATGTTAAGATATAACAGAAGATAAATAAATATATGTATCATGTGAATAAAATTAACACTACATATTTGCATTTGTGCATAACTACTTTACAAGTAAAAATGTAAAAGCTTTTAATGTATTATAGTTTTAAAGTAAAAAAGTAACTTTGGTGTAGAAAATTAGAAGAGCATTAAATATAATAAATAATTCATTGTTTTTAAATTGCAATTATATATGTATGATATAATACATGAAAATAAAAATTAGGAAGACATTTAAACATAGTAATTAAAGAATACGATTCCTATTAGACAATTAGAGAGCGTAAATACACTATATTTTGCATTATGACGATTAAGTACTACTCGAATATGTGCAATACAAGAGTGCTAGAAAGTGTTAAGATATCTAGATTTTTAAAGTAAGAGCTCCATTTCTAGTTGGCAAAAAAAAAAACAATTAGGTCCTAATAGAATACCAATTATTCGATTTTTCTCCAGCTTTTAGTATGGATATGTTCAAATTAGTAATTTTACTATCCTCTTCCAGTCTTAACTTGAATCACCTATAATAATGAAAAAGCTACCCACAATATATGCCTTCGTAAAAATCTCAATATAGGAACACCTTCCTACATATTTTCTTCAGCTAGAGAATTTCTTTCAACAAGTTACATGTATAAATGTGCCTATATGCAGATACTGTCATATTAAAGCACCGCAATTATACTTAAGTTAATTATTTCTTTTACTGTACAACTTACGTATGTTCTACCCTAGCCCAGATCCACTAGTACCTATTCTTGGTAATATCATATTTAAATGAATGTCAAAGAGTAATCTTCTTATATTTTCCGTTTAAATTATATAAATAGACATTTATTTAATTAATTTTGAAAATGTTATAATTTAGGAATCTGAGTATGGACGTTCCAAATTTCAATTGCACATAGCTGGACACAATAAATTTCTTTGTAAGAACAATTGACATTAAGATGTGAGTTTTGGCCCTAATGTTGTATGCGATCATTGCGGGGCCGGCAGCGCTCGCTGCTCGCGGTCGTCGTCCTCCTTGGGCCGACTCCACTTGATCATTGTCTCTGGCGATCGATACAGGAACACTAATTTTGCGAACAAATCTTCTTCTAGAGATAGCTCCAATGCCTCGCGAACCTGAAATAACATTAATAAGTAAATTGTACACTAATATTATAAAGAGGTAAAGTTTGTGAGGTTGAAGGGTGTAATCTATGGGTATCTCTGGATCTATTGAACCAATTTAGATGAAATATGGTTAGAAGATAGTTTGAGTCCCTGGGAAGGACATAGAACACTTTTTATCCCGGAAATCATCTCTTCAGGGTATGAAAATGGAGATGAAAGTTTGTATTGGGAATCAAGATAGTCTTTAGGTAAAATATACAGATGACATGCAAGACATATCATAAAGCAAAGTGAGCCTGACATTTAAAAAAAAAATTTTTCAGTAATTATACACAATATTTGGTAAATTATAAAAATAACTAATTATATAACTCAAGTGTTTTGACCTGTAAATCGTTAAACTGTTTTATGTATAGTAAATATTATAAAATTCATCCTGCATTCGATTAATTGTTTAATCGATTGAATTGATCGATTTGATTGAATTTCAGTGATTTCAACCATTTTTAACCCTTACATGCAACAGACAAAAAGTAAAAGCGCAATCTGTGAATATACACTATAAACCCATCAACTAATTGCTGATATTTCAATCAATAATCAGTAAAATTACGCAAATTTGATTTACAGGCGCATTATTTCATTTCCCTTCACTCAAAGTATTATTTTTAAACTTTTTTAGGTTTTTTTTGTTAATATAATTACAACTTTAATAACAGTCGATTTTTATAACGTCATCTATTGACATTTATTTGAACAATTTTTTCTTTATTCGTGATGAGAAAGAAAATATGAAGATAGTACCAAGTAAATGTCCAGGCAGAGCTGCAGCACGCGGTCCACGTTGGGCAAGTCGTCGAACATGATCTTGGTATAGATGCCGGAGAAGAAACCGCGCAATACGCGCGAAGCCAGGAACACGAACGTAGTGTACAACCCGATGATACTGCGATTGTGATAAAGAAATTAACATTATCGTCATCGATCAAAAAAGTTCTAGATACACAATCAGCGACAATGTCCTCGCCGAATAAGCGCTCAGTTGAAAATTTGAGCGCGCTATTAATATTTTTTTTGTGAAAACAAACCTTAAGCATTGCATTTAAGGTTCAATTTACATTGTTGTATATTTATTTCCAGTACAATAATTACCTAAACATAATTTGGTGACACTTTTATGAAAAGTTTTGCATGGGATTGTGTATCTAACATTTTTTTGATCGATGATTATCATATACAAAAACATACAAGTTGTTTAAAGATTGGAGAATATCAGATGCTTTTCCTCTAAGCTTATCTTATGGGTGAGCAAAATTAGAAATTATATGGAATATTTTTTATTGAAGTGTTTGCTGAAGTGCAAAGAATAGGCCCAAGAGGAAAAAGTGTAAATAACATATTAAGAGATAAAATGAACCAAAACCTTATTACATGTCGATATTTGGATGCATATTTTCAATACTTATTATTATATATCCTAGACGATATTCATCATATAATTATTTACCTTAATCGTTTTCAATAAAAGATAATTTTGTTAAGACTCACCCCCCTCCCGAGATGAAATTGAGTGTCTCCGGGAAGAGCTTATCGTTGAACGTGTACATGACGAGCATGTCGCAGTTGTTCATTGGTATCGGAGCTAGGAAATCCTGTAAACATAAATATATATATTTTATTTATTATGTGTATAGGTTGTGAATGTTTTTATATACACCTATATTTTGATAAAAATAAGAAAAGAGAATAACAATGTCTTGTCTTAACAATAAATTATTTAAATCATTTTTATCAACGGTTATTTGAAAAAAATACTATATAAGTTTAATATTATATTACTTTTATATGACATTTAGGAAACAGTTTTAGGGTTGACGGGTATAACTTAAACTTGCCACGAGATGGCACCACAGTGTTTTAATTTCAAAGTTTGCTATGAAAATAGATATTTTTGAAAATTTAATTTGGCGGAATTTCTGTTAAAATCAATGGGCGCTCGCCTGCTGTATGGATATTTATACTGTGATTATATTATGTATGAGATAAAGGTTGCCTGTAAGAGATCGCTCACTTAGCGATAAGGCCGCCTGTTGTGTTATTTCTTTTTTAATATATATAATTGTCATGTAATTTTTTTTGGTGTGCAATAAAAAATATTTGATTTGATTTGAGACATAAGCTTCTAGCTCACATGCGGCTGGCAGGCCTCGCGCACGCGCCAGTACACGGCGTCGCCCTCGCGCTCCAGCCGCAGCTGCACGTCGCGGTAGTAGCGCGCGTCGTCGTCCTCTGCACACACACATACATACATACAATGAAATAATATATTATAAGTATACATTTTGAAGATTACACCTAAACAGCATGCATTATACATATTTTGTGTACACTAAACTGTGTTGAGGTCAAAATTATACATTAAATATATACTTTTTGGTAGAAATCTGTTTTGAAAATGGTAACTTTGTTTATTATTTTACTTTTTAAATTTAAAAATATTTCTCAATTTCATTTAATCCGTTTAATTTAATTAATTTTAAAGAACTTTGTTGTACATACCCGTTGCAGAAATTGGAGGCATTAATTGATATGCGGGTTTTGTTGTTCCTTTGTTAAATACTTTCACGAATTTAGGGAATAGCATTTTGACGTTCAACCTGTAATGCGGAAATGATTGTTTAGTCGATATGTAAATGTATATTATTTTTGTTTTTTATTATTGTGAATTTAAAAATTATTTTTTAAACGGATGATTCAATACAATAATGTTAATGTATGGTGTCATTCCCATCATAACCTACCTCATTGGCTAGTATCACGAGACTGACCACTGTAGCCGAAATCAGTCGTTAGGAGGACATCAATAAGTGTTGTATAGTATATATGTATATTATATATACATAGTAGTACAAGTAGTAGACTCATGACGTTCAGTAAAAAATTGTAATAATTTAATGCTGAATAAAATATTTTGATTTTGAATTCGAAAAAACAACAAGTGGTTGGCGGGTAGTGGATGGACACAGCCAATAATAAAGACACTTGGAAATCTCTAGACGCATTCACTCTCGATTAACGAAGAGTTCTTGCTAGCTTAGAAACTTAATTTAAATCAGTATCATAAAATAGTTTAATAATATTTAGTCAGTATAAATAAATTTGAATGTTCGTATGTTTGTCTTCTTTGGACTCCTAAGCCAATCCGATTGTAATGAAACTCTGGTGAGTAATTCTTTATACGCCTTTAAAGGTTCCTGGCGTAAAAAAAAGAATTGTTCTTTGGACGTTTATCTTATATGCGTTCCTATGCAATTCAAGATTAGGGATGCACTCGGAGGAAGCAAGAGCAAGTCGCCATTAAATTATAAATATACTTTTTTTTTGAAGTTATACTTCTTTTGGGACGTTTGGAAAAAATCATGTGAGTAAAATTTTAACGATGCGCGCTCACACCGACAGCCAAAAAGCGACATGATGGAATTAGCTAAAAGCAATATGACGAAGTTAGCTGTTATTAGAACCGTTTGTTGCCATGGTAACAACACATGATAAATAATATTATATTCTTTCCTTAAATGATATTCCATAAATATATGATTGTAATATGCGTTATTTAATTATTTTTATTAAAATTTATCATTCCTTTTACAAAAATAGAGTTATGACATACGTGATGAAATCTTCAGCTATTGTTGTTCTGTTACGCCAAAGAAGTATAACTTCTTATTATTTCGTTTTTTTTAATCTAACGACAATACCAAGTGTCCGGCGCGGAGGTGTTGGCGAGCAGCCGCAGCAGCGCCTGGCGCTCGGGGTTGGGCGCGGCGCCGAGGCGCGCGGGCAGCGGCACCTCGCGGTTGTTCTCGATGGTGGGCGGGTTCTGCGCGTTGTTGCTCGGGTGCGTGATCACGTACGTGAACTTCACCGTCAGCGACGCGTCTGCGAAGCAATTGTGTTGTTTAATTATTGTGCAAATAGACATCTATATCCCTTTTCGAAAAAATTGATAACGTCAAAACAAAATTTATTGTGTTTAAAATGTACCCTGGTCGTGTGCGCATGTGTATGTGTGTGTGTGTGTGAGATAGAGAGAGAGAAAGAGAAACATACTAGAGACGGCCTCCCGCTCGAGGCGCGCGAGCTCGGGCGGCGAGATCTGCCACTTCATGGTGGAGTTGGGGTTGATGGTGACCACGGCCACGTCGTTGTACATGTAGTTGGACAGGAACGTCTGCGCCGTGCGGTCGCGCGCGTACTGGTTGCTCAGCTGCGTGTAGTCCTGCTCCGTGAAACTGCACAGGGTATGTATACATTTGTAATATATGTTTCAATATTCATAATAAAAAACATATAATATAGTATCATCGTATGTCATTAATTCATTTATATTAACTCTATCGTATACCACAAAATTACATATAGAAATAAAAGACAATGTGTACAAAAGGCGGCCTTATCGCTATAAAAATAAATATTATTAATAATTTTAGGCTTCCTTTAAGCTTCAAGGATCAAACCCAACACCTTAAAATTTATGGGATTGGATTTGATGGGTTTTGATATACTAGTATGTACTTTAATTCCTCCACGACCGCGGGCACGCCAGCGTGTCAGTTAACAATAGATTTGTTAGAATTTTTAATATTTTTTTACAAATTTACCTGGAGGTGTTAACAATATTTAATCATAAATATCCAGTATCAAGAGATAAATCACCTATCAATATTATGCGACTGCGCAGACATCTGGTACACGGGTAAGAAAGGTCCGATTCGAATTTTGACTGTTACATCAGTTGGAGGATTAGGTTGTCCCACCTGTAAAGTAACATTTTTATTAAACATAGTACCAAAGAAGAATATAATAATAAACGACTTTAATCAAACCATATAATCGAGTTAATTTGGGATTAATATAAATAAAATAAATTACATATAATATATCCCATATATTATCTAAGCTAGCGACATATCCTCGGTTTGTTTGGATACTACTCTATGTGCTTTTTGTATTTATAATGTAAAACAATATAATGACAAAAATCACTATTTGGCAAATTTTGTTACTAAGAGTAGCCTATATGTTTGTCCATCTGTGTCAAACTTCATCCGAAGTTAAACCATTTCAAAGTGAAAGAGTGACAAACATACATATTACATACAAATACAAACTTTTGCATCTATAATAGTGATGTGAATTGACCAATTTTCTATATTAGTCACAAACGAACAAATACTAAAATTCTATTTAAACGGCTCTTTTATAATATGTTAAAAATAAACTCACAGAGTTACCAAAGGCGAAGAAAACTAACGGGAACCATATAATGGCGATGACGAAGGTGAGCACGCCGCCGCCCAGCAGGTACTTGGACGTGGCCGACTTCTTGACGCCGCGAGGTTGTGGAAACTCGTCTTCCACGTATCGCGAACACTGAAATTATGTTTATAATTTAGTTTTTAATTCAAAGTAAGTTAATATAGTTCAAATTCATTAACTTGACAATTCGACATTAAGAAGAATTAAGCTGTAATTAAGCTGTGGTGACTTATTCAAATTGCATTAGGAATAATTTTCAGCTAAAAAGGTAAATATAATTTTGTATAAAGAAGTCATACAATCCGTCATATAAATGCCACCTCATGAATCTATAGTTAAAATTAATAAAAAAAGTTTGTTACAGTGTCTTACTTTCTGTTAATGCTAATAAAGATATTGTAATTGAGTTTATAATATTACTAGCGACAAAAACAAGTCTATCCTACGGGAACCGTACATTTTTCCGGTATGATATACAGCCTTCCTCAATAAACAGGCTATGTAATGCAAAAAAAAATTCTAATCGGATTAGTAGTTTCTGAGATTAGCGCGTTCAAACAAACAAACAAACAAACAAACAAACAAACAAACAAACAAACAAACACTCTGTCTCTTTATAATATTAATATAGATATTTACATACTAATTTATTATACCTTTAGCAAGAAAACGCTGGCAAATATGTCTTCCATCTTGAGCCAGTCCATGAGTGTCATCGACGTATCCGTCCAGATCCAGTCCATGAGAGTTCGTAATTCAAATAAGAAAGGCACCGCCATAAACCTGTTTCATACAAAAACTAAAATGTAAATTTTCAAAAATTATATTTTTCTAAGTTTACAGATTTTTAACAAGTCTATACGGAATACTGAAAATTAAAAAAAAAACGGAAATTAAATAAAAATATATATGTTAAAAATGTAATGCAGCTTTAGGATAAAATTTTTTAAATATATTCTTATATCGGAAATCGCATTCGTTGTTTAAATATAGTCTGTACTTATCACATCACATAAAAGTATCATGTATAAGACAAAAAAAATAATAATTTAATAGCTTAATAGTAACACAAGCATGTGCACTAACCCTCTGAAGCACACCATGTTTAGGAAGCGGTAGGACTTGCAGAGGAAGTTGCCAATAATGCGGCGCGGGTAGCCGCAGCGGATCTGGTACGCCGACAGCAGCAGGTACACGCACTTCACCATGTACCACATCGGCGGCGGCAATAGTGCGTTGAAAGTCCTGGATAGTCCCAAATATAAAATATTCAGTTACTACGATTTAAAGTATCTTAATTAGACTTGCAACGAATAGTATTTTCGGCCAAACGTCGAGTACCGAATATTCGGTGAACGCTTTGGCCTAATAGTCGTATATTAGGCAAAACTATTCGGTCAGCGCAAAACTTGTGGCGGGAAAACTTTTATCATCGTATTTATTTCTTGTTTGACACCAGGAAGTTGTATTTATTCAGAGCGTCTTTTCTTTTAAGCTGGGATTGTCTCTTTTAAAATTTAATTATGATAATGTACTTGCATAGAAATTTATTTAATACTTTTTTTGGTTATTTTTTGTAATACAGAACTTGATTATCATTGTACCTATGACTACTTTAATTTACCAATTATCTGGTTACAACAAAACATATAACTTAAGTATTCGGTATTCGGCCGAATAGTATCTAGATATTCGGTATTCGTCAGAATAGGAGAAAAGTAGCCGAATAGGCCGAATACCGAATAATAGCCGAATATTCGTGGCACGTCTAATCTTAATCTTCTAATGTTCACGATTTTAGAAACATATCATTTGGAAACTAATGAGTTAAACAAAAAAAACCTTAGAAACACCTATTCGAATTTTTATAACTTATCCGGAGATACCAATCTTTTAGGTCAGCTTAATTTTTTTCCATTTTTTTAACTGTGTAGCTGTTCACATGAGACATCTATTTATAAAATTTCGATCATGTCCCTTCGATAGTCTTCAAGTAAAATGTCTGTCAGATGGGCATGACAAAATCATAAAGCTCCAGATTTTGCCCTTAGGCTACGGAACACCAAAAATGGATAATTATATCTTATAAAAAAATATAAACCTCTCAGTAATAAAAGGCAGTACGAAGAACATCCACACATGTACGCCAATGATGAGCGCGTACTGGAACAAGATCTTGCCGAGCATGAACTTGCGCAGGTACAGCGCGCGGTCGATCACGATGAGACCGAACTGGAGGATCAGCATCACTAGAAACGGTATGGGCACTTTGTTCTCTTCTAGGTACGCTTGAACACCGCCGTCGCCTTGATGCGTCTGCATTATAGTAGAAGTAAAATAATACGGTGTCATTGTTAAATCATTGTATACAAAAAAATCTATCTCCTTTAAAATAATATTGAATATATGCATGCATCAGTTATATAGCGATGATAGTCCATTGGTAGCTGGGTCGCTTGGAGAATCAAGTAAAGCATGGAAGACTATGGTATATGGCCTAACATCTTTATAATAAATATAATATATCAATGTATTAACTAATATCGGGGACGAGTTACCATAATTTATAAAGTGCCAAGTGAAATAATTTGATATCATGCAGAAGTACCTTAATTATGATGTAAAGAAAAACTAATACTTACACCAAAAGCAGCAAATCCAAATATAACAACGAGGAAGTTGAAGAAATCACATAGGAACATATACGCGTATATGTCGGCGGTGACGCGCGCGCCCGGCGCCAGCATGCGCTGGAAAAAATCGCGCGTAGGGCGTAGATATCTCTTCACACTGTAGAAGAAATTGATATTTTAATTTTATAACGTTTAAGTAATTATTTAGTAAAAAAAAATTGAGACCTACAAAACAGAAAATACCTTTTGCTTTGTTATATTATTATGAATGTGAACACATATGAAGTTAACAATATCATTTAAAGGAAAAATCGCTAGAATACTCTCTGTGAGAGGAAAGTTATGCTTTCTGTTTTATTCTACATCTGTTTGTGACATTTAAGTGTTATTCTTTATTAGTTTTATACTATGTATTCTATATAGTCAATCAATATAATACAAGTAATAAAATATAACTTGAACACTCACGATAGAAGGATGACTTGAGGATAGTGATGGTACGTATTTTCTATTGTAGTCGTTACTGCGATAATCGGTTCTTGATCGTCGTTTACTCTGGAAAGTCATAAGATAGTTAAATACTACTATTATCTATTGCTTTATTATATTATTAAGACTTGGTAAAAAAATTATAAATTTTTTACTTCATTAAAAGACTAAGTAGTTTTTAGTTCTTTTGGGATTATATTAAAATAAAAATTATCATATTAAATTCCATTTTAATTTAGAAAATACATGTCCATGAGTAATTATTCTAATAAAATGATGTGTCATTAAAAAATAGAAAGGCAAGATTACTTGTAATGATCGTCGTCAATCGCTTTAGACGGTCCAGGTTCTTGGTCTTCCGGAGGAGGGGCTTCCTCTAACTCTAGTGTTTTCTTAGGAGTCTCTGAGGTCCCATTGGTTTCAACTTCATGTGCCCTGTAGTTTATATATTACATTTAAGATACTCGTAATTGCATGATATTGTTATAAATTAATCATTTATTTACTTTCTACATACACATATATCTTACCATAATTCTACTTTACATTTTTAATATAAAATATAATTTGCTTACAATTATTTTACTTACTACTAAAACTACCAATTATTATGCTACAATATTTTAAAAATTAAAATTATAAGTACTGTGACTGCTGTTGCCAAGGACACAACGAGCGAATGTATCTTGTTAGGCGACCAAGTAGTCCCGTAGTGACGGAAGTAGGGCTCGAGGGTGGCGCGGGGGAGGACTGGGAGGGGGTGGGGAAGAGGGCTCGGGCCAGGGAGGGGTTGGTGGCGGAGGGAGGGGGGCGGGACGCGAGCCGATCGGCCCGCACTGCGACGTACCGTCCATCTTGTTCTACCACTGCTACCGACCGTGCATTACTGTCTGTCCGCATACAACATATTTTGAGAGCAGACAAAAGCACTCAGTCATGATTTTCTCAATTCTTATAATTATGTAATTGCTAGCTGAACCAATAGGGCTTTCCTGTCCTACTTAAAAAAATGTAACTTTTGAGTGCATACACTTAATATTAATAGATATGATATTGGACCATACTTAAGTATATTAGCGAACCCAATAAGTATTGATGTTGTTAAAATTTTGGTGGATATGGTTTTGCAACATTGAATCTATATCCCTTTTTCCATAATATATATGTGATGCTGTACTTAGGTTAAGATATGATGGGACTGACATGTCCGAAAAGGATAAAAGTCCCTAAATTAAAATAGAGATAAAAAAACAGCCTTTAAATATTTATTTATAGACATACTTAATGTTATATATCCAGATACAATGTTATCATCTTAAAAATGTGAGTGTTAGATTTCAGTACATGTATCTCTACATGTACTGAAATCTAAAAAAAACTTATATTATATATAAACATTTTTTTCGTGGAATTAACGTTAGAAATATATTTTTACTAAATATATTATTATTACTCACGGGCTGAAACGCTCGTGCATGTTCAAATACTTGCGTCCCACTTCCTCTCCTTTGCCTTCGACAAGCAGTTGAGTGTCAGAGGGCGTGAGAGGATATTCCATATCTTCTCTTAATTCTACCTCTGGCGGTGACTCCTTCCATAATCCAAGCGATTTCAGCATGAATCTACATAAGATTACATGAAAGAATTTTACAAAACATTGTTTTAAAGAATGATCTAGCACAGTGTTTCCCATTTTTTTTTTAACCACGAAACCCTAATTGATCATAATTTTTTTAACGGGATCATTATGATAGTAACTCAACTGATTGTGTTGTAGTTAGAATACTTTCTTGTTTGACTTGAAAGAACAAATCATAAATGAAAAATATTAATACTGATAATAATATTTATACTATTTAATGTGATGAATGAATTTTTTTTACATATTTAAATAAAATAGCACTAAAATCAGACTTGACAGAATTTTATTTAACTCTCGAACGGAACTACAAACCGATAGAATTACTACCTTATTTATTAAAGAAGAAAAAAAAAGGTATTTCTACAGATAATAAAGATGAATTTAAAAATAATACAATAATATATATTACCTGTGTAAAAATATTATAAGTAGAAGCAATAAATCGTAGAGAGCATAATTAAATTTCCTTTCGATCCCAATGATTCTTGGTGCCGTAAACGGCATGTTAGCTGGTGTCGCCATTTGGTTCCACGGAAGAATTTCAAATTGGAACATACTTTTGATAAGTACTATAACCTAAAATAGAGACATATGTTTAGATTGACAACCATATTAAAACATTACCTATACAAAATTGTATTGAAAATGCTTACCTCCGTATATGCAATAAGCGTAACCCAAAAGGTCTTAGTTGGTCGTGGTATCGTTAGAGTTCCCCACAGAAATACCATTAGTGGTAATGGTATTGACAAAATGGTTGCAGATTGAATCTGAAATAAAATATAAATATATATAACTAGCGACTCACTCTCGCTTCGCTCGGGTACATTTTAATTTTTGAGCGGAAACGGATACTAAAATAAAAGTAGCCTAAGTAGAAACTTAATACAATTATTAACAAACAAACACATTTTTTTAAGCTAATGCCGACGTTATATGGAGTACCATATAACGTCAGCTTAAAAAAATGTTTTTCTTTTATGTACCCATAAATATCGATATACATTTAAGTACCGTCTTCAATTTAATATGCATTTAGTAAAAAATCTGTTATTTTGACATTATAAACAGACACTTCTTTTTTATTTATAGGTATGTAATATTCGCTACAAAATGGTATTTTGGTATAATATTAAAATCATAATATTATCAGCTACTTCTTCTAGAAGTAACAGTAAGACGTTATAATATATCTTTATACATATGTAAAATACCTCGATCATGGAGGTATAATTACCTGATTAATAAACACCATGATGTAACATACAATGTCCGTGTGCGCCAACACTGCGTACCATAGCGCGTACGCGAGATGGACGAATGGTGACTTTTCATGCTTGAACATTGAATCATCTTGCTCTTCTAAAGTTGTTATATCCTTGCTGTAATATGATTTCGGAATATTAAAATATAAAATGTATTAAGTATTAATACAGAACATATATACATATATATATACATACAGAACCTATATCATATTAGTATAGAATTTTTATAGTTTTGAAAGTTTAAAAGTAATGAAGACTATTTCAAGAATACACCATAAAAAAATAGGAACATGAAAACAGAAGAAAGAAACAAGGTGTAGGAATAGTAAAAATATAACAATTTTTATGCAATGACATACAAATATATTAAAAACTCTTACCAGGCTTCTGAGTGAAACGTTGTTATATAGGTATTTTTTTTATATTCATAGAGTAAATAATAAAAAATGTATATAGCAAAGCCCATAAAAACTACGACATAAACATCATGCAGTAGAGTCTACATAGTATTGACCAATAATAATAGTTTAAATAAAATAATACTTTCTTAAACAAAACTATTATATTATTAATTAAAACTATCTTTTCGGATTACATATATCGCGGATTTATTTTGATTTACCGGATAGTTATGTAAACATACACAATATTTATTGTATCTTATTGCGCATTACAATGTATACTCTAGACAGATGTGAGGCACTAAACCTTTCGGTGGTCTGTAAGCTAAAGGCGCTCTCGTGCTCCGAAGTATCGTCGGAGGAGGCGGGCGCGGGCGACGCGTCGAGCCCGCCCTCCACGCTCGCCGCCAATATACGTATCTCCGGTACGCTTAATTCGCTTAATTTACGGCTGGAAACACCCCCAAAAATTTTGAAACCCAATTTCAAATTTGCGTAATATCCATATTAAAAAATCACAATGTCCCTTTTGTGTTAGAATTTCATTTTTCCTTTGTTCAAATTTAATTCTTTTTATAAGCGCCGCTAAGTGCTACCTTTTAATTGTAAGTGCAAACAACAACTACTATTACTACTTCGCTAAAACCATGAATCTAGTATGTATAATTTGTTACTAATGGTGTTAAGACTAATCTTCTACTGCTTTCCAGAATATTCCATTCAATATATTGTGCTTTACTTTCAATTATTCAAAAGCATAATTTGCTTGTTTAATAAATATGTTACCTACCCCACGTCATCAGGAGGACGAAGAAGATTGTTGTTAGAATGTTCCAACTCCCTATTAATAATGGCGGCATGCAAAAAAAGTTACTAGTCACTACTAGCTGCACTAAAACTAACTAATATTATGTTATTCATGTTTTATTTTTCTTACTACATACTTAAAAATATAAAATATGATAATGATAAAATTTTCTAAACATTGTTCCCATTTACCAATACATGAACTATGCAAAGCTCAACCCGATACCAAAAAGCTTCCCAAAATATGCAAACTTTAATCTAATTATTTAAATGAATTCTGAATACTCACTGATGTAACAACGTTTCAGGTAAAGGCTCCCAAATCATTTGTGACCCTTCCCTCAGACCGATACCAAAGCCTTCTTTTTCCTATAAAATAAAAACTATTAATTATCTTATTTTTAAATATACACGTTAAAAGTTAAATCTTCTTTTTTTAATACGTTAGTACAGATACATCTGAACCCATTAAAAAAATATATTTTTTCTGACTGTTATTCATTCATATCGTTACAATAAGTCTGCTGGGTTTTATTTAAAATAATATTACCTGTATCTACAGGTACATCAATATTAATACAGGACATAAGCTCTTTCCTTTCCCCAATTTACTTAAATTCTTTTATCTGTATACACTAAAGAAGTAAGAAACATACTATACATACACATCGATAAACTTTCCCATTTCACTGCAAGTGTGTTAATTTGATTATTCATAGGTAAAATTCAAATATTTTTGTGACAGTATAATATGATTACTCATTTTTGAAATAAGTTTTGAATAAGTATAGCTATTAACTTACTTTGAGATGTTTCTTTTCGACTGAAAGTGTTCGGGACACGTATCTGTAATCCCTGGAGTATTTCATAAGGTGGCGAGTTAAGGTCACGAGAATGCTTGATATAAAAGCCCAGGCAGTATCCAAGAATGCTTTTATTTTGTCAATAATTGTTTCAGATTCTGCAAAGAATAATAATAAAAATAAATAAAGTGATCATATTAATGTAAGAGCAAATTATTTAAAATGATAGAACCGGGATATAGTGGAACTCTTTAATAACTACTAGTAAAACCTTCATGTTTTGAACTCATTTAATAGGTACCTTTTGACAAGTCTCATCCATTAGTTCGTCAAATGTGTTTTGTTAATTTATGAAGTAAAACATCTTTAAACGCGCCATGAGAGGGGAAAAAAGGATTGGTGTTACGTTTTTTGTAACGGATACAGTTACTCTGGGCCGTTACGTTACGAAAGTGAATAAGCAGTAAATTAAAAATGTTAGTCTAAAATCTTCTAAAATTGCGTTACGTAATAGGTACTTGAACGCCCCCTAAATCGATAATAAAATATATTTTTTGTTGAATATCACAAGAAGTACCGATAACCTACAGAAGTTTCACTTCTTGCACAAGCGTTCACATTGATACAATCTTTAATTACTTTAATAAGTATCTAAACAATCGCTTACCGGGTTGTGGTGCAAAGTCATCCAACTCGGATGCCGGACCGGGCCGCTCTCTCTCTTCCGCCCTCGAACGCTCATCCTGCACGCCCTCCGTGCGCGGAGATGAGCTGCGCATCTAACAAATTTCATGATAAATTGTTTGTGAATAATAACGTTTTACTTAAATTCTATAAAAAATATAAATTTATAAAAGAACAAAGGTAATCAAAGTATTGCAAATGATATTAGCTAAATTCATAAAACTTAAACCATAACATGTACACAAAACACAAAAAAACCCCATTTGAAGCAACATATATTGCATAACAAACAAAGATGCAAAAACAAACATGTATATCACTTACCTTATTGCAGTGTTTTACTTCCATAATTAAAATTAAATTCTAAAAAATCTAATTAATATTATACTAATACCTTTCTAATACTAAATACTTTCTAAAGGTTTTTTTTTTTCAAATAAATTATGTTTGACTACACCTACTATGAAAAATAAATAAAATTACAAATAAAATAATACTGTCTTAGATTTACGCGAATATTTGACATTTTAAATAAAACTATTTTTTCGGATTATTTGGCGGATTTATTTTAATTTTTAAGTGCCCGACGTTTCGAATGTTTTGCACACCAAACCAAAAATCAAAAATAAATCCGCGAAAAAAAACCGAAAAGATAGTTTTATTTGAAATACAAATTTAATTTCAATAATAATATGTAGGTATTTCAAATATCCGCCAAATATATTTACCTGACGCGGGTAAGAGAAAGGATACGTGAGCGAGGAGGCGCGCGTGGCGTCGCGCGTGCGCACGGCGGGCGCGGACGCGCGGCGCAGCGACACCGCGCGTCTCACGTCCGTCTTGATAGCCGTCGATACCAACTGTATGCACACCCCAAACACCATGTACACTATGCTTCATGAGTATATATTTTTAGCTTCTTTCAGATTTCAAATAACGATTGATTGATTAATTATTATCAGTCTTATAACATCTTTGTACTTATAATCGAATTTACGTACTCATAACTCATTTTATTTATAATAAGACATTGCCTCATGTAGCATAGTATACGTTTAATGCAGTGCGAAGTTACTGTTGTTAGTCACCATAACCTAGGTACTCTATATAATAAGTTAGACATAACTCACTTATTACCACAAAACAAATTACACATTACAACACATTTATTTGAAAAGATTGAGCATAATTTGCATATCCCATCACAATTTTTTGACACCAACATAACCTTAAAACATCCACTATGAAAATTTAAAATTCATGCTTTTTATCCCTTGCAAAGTAACCAAACTTTAGACTTACGCACACTAAGTTGCCTAAATAAGCCTACAGCCATAAGTAATGGCTAGCTTACCTTGCCGAAGCCCATAGTTTTAGGGGCGTCTTCATCTGAACTTGATTCATCATCCTTTAAATGCACGTCGGTATCGTCGAACTCATCAAACATGTAGTAGTCTCCAGAACGAACCGCTGTATAATAAAAAAAAATGTATCGTAAACTGTTTAAAAAACAATAATGCAATCGCATGCACATAGCTGTTACTATTTTGTGATATTAATAATAAATACGTATATACATTTTGTGAGATTTTTGAGACATCTATCGTCTTAGCTTTATTGGCAAGTAACTAATATTAATTTTATTAAGCAATTACGAAAATTTAACATTATATCTTGAAATTATAACCTCTCAACATGCAGTTTATAAAAAAATCTAAGCAGTAGTTAAAGTAGAGATACATTAGTCGCTCTACGACCACGGACACGCCGGCGTGTCAGTTAACAATAAATTTCTTAAACATTTAATTAATTTCTTAGAAATTTAATTAATTTCTTAGAAATTTACCTGGAGCCTCCAGGTCGCCTTGGGTCGTTAACACCTCCAGGCTGGAGGTATTAACGACCCAATAGAAACAGATTAAAGAAAAGCTGATAATAAACCAGCTTACCTTACTTTAATCAGAATTAAAGGTTCTAATAGTGCGCAATTAATCAGAATTTATTATTTGGGAAAAGTTTATGTGCCGATTGTTTATTTAAATAATTGATTACTACATGTTGATTTGTTTTATGTGTTTATTTGTAACATACATAAAATAGCGACATAGCGACAGTATAATATAATATACAAACAAAAACGCAATATGCAAACAAAGATTTATTAACGAACTCATGCAGAAAAGGAAATAGGTGAAAATCGTGCAAATGCTCATTCTTTCAAGCAAAAAAGTGTAGCGGCTGTTATTTACAATATGTACAAAAATCAGCCCAAAAATCGACAAATTTCAATTCCGCCATACAATTGCCTAAATACCATAACCAATAAGCTCTGAATACTGTTTAGTATAGAATACGGAAGGAGGGTTAGGCCGGCAGAAACATTATTACTCAACGTTACCCTTCTGATGGCTGGCGGGCGGCTTATACGGCGGCCTCACGCGGGCTACAAAGAAAGGCAAAACTCAACACCACTCTCACACCATAGATAAAAGCTGTTTATATCAGTTCAAGAGGAGAGACTATCGCATCATACTGTTAGGAGCTCGCGAAACCACCCAGAGGCCAGACGAGGACGTAGTTAATTACTAAAGCGTAGGGCCATACATTAGTTTTTCTTTGCTGTTTAACATTCATAAATTCATGAGCTAGTCAATAAGGAATATTGTAGGGGAGTTAAGACAATAACCGGAGTATGAGGGTTGTTTATGCTCGATAGGGAAGGACAAATTCGGTTCCAATTATATGATTGAAGGAGGTTGCATTTGATATTTAAGTACAAGAATTCCCGCTTTAAATAAACTCTACCTTTGTGTCTATGGGTGACTGCTGGGATATCAGAACCGCTTCCTAGACACAGATAAAATAAAATTTATAATAGAATAACATAACATAAATAGTTATAACATTGCTTTACATTATGTACACCTGTGAAACACCTATAATAAAATGTGATCATAAATATATTTTTAAATAATAACGCACTAAATTATAATTGTAATGTTAATTTACCTATGTTTTTACACAAGGAAAAATGTTGACGTTATTATTTAAAAATAGAAAACATATTGTACAGTGAATAAGACGTCCGATCTGTAGTTACAAGTATGATGGGAGTTCGGTTCAGCGCGGCTCGAGTGCGATATGATCGAGGTGCGCTGCAGCAGGCTCGGGCTGGCCACCGTATGACGTCTTCTTATAGGCGGAGGTGAAAAGACTGGGTAGGACTCCTCTGGACTGTGGGCCCGAGGGAGGAGGTCGGAGGAGGGAGGGGATTCGAAGGATATGCGCCTGGGTTCCAGGTAGGCATCGAGGGACACGGTCATTAGTGCAGAGGATGGAGACGGAGGGCCGCCTTGCGATGTCGGTGCTGTGAGGGGTAGAGGCGCGAGGGCGGGCATAGGTCGCACGGGGGAGGGTGGGGCAGAAGGTTCACTGAGAGGTGTGTGGAAGCCGCGGCGGGAGGCCGGGGAGGAAGGGGAGGTGGGGGAGGTAGGAGTATGGTAGCCGCGGCGCGACTCCTCAGAGTCCCCGCGCACGAGCGGCACTTGTTCCGATTCCCCTGGTTGTGTCTCTTCCTCCTCTTCGTCTTCTTCGTCTATTATTGAGGCGATTAGAGATAGGTATACCGTTTTCATTATAGCATGGTGACGCGGATTTTGACATTTATCAATAAAATATGAAATGGGAAGTGACAATATTCAATCAATTTTATTGATAAAGATTTTGAGTAAAATTGCAAAGTTTTTTTTTTTAATATTCTTAATTAATACCATTTTTAATGTTTTACTATTGATTCGAATAAAACGTTTAAATATAACTCGAGTCCTTTATGTGTAATTATTATTTTTTGTTCTTAAATTGAAAATGCTTGAAATTGTTGATAATTAATAATTAATTTTTGTACAAAGAAGGACTTCCAATATAATGCATTACGATCATCCATATGTCCGTATAATACCATCCACGACCAATCCATATACATATCTTTATAGTTTACTTGTTCAAGGTTTAATTTTAATATTTGTAGATATAAATTGATAAAAACCAATTAATGATTTGTAATTATTTCTAATATTAATATTATTATTATTTCATTTAATCACCGTAATAAAAACATTACCTGCATCATGATGCGCTGGCTCCTTAGACATAACTCCTTGTATCTTCTTTTGGTTAGCCTTGATTCTTTCCATTTTAACCTTAATTTTCTCCAATATTTTAACCTCCTGATCTTCCTGAATGTGCATTTGTTTTTGACGAAGTTCCTCAATTAACTCAGCACCTCTAAATACAAATTTTAGTTTTATAAAAGAATTCAATACAAAATATATGCATTTAAAAAGAAACCAATAAAAAATAGCTCACCTTGAAGCAAGAACCGTAGTTGCTTTGCTTTCATCGATAACTCGGTAAAAATAATAACTATGGAACAATCTTCTTTGTAAAATTAAGAAAGCGAAGCAAACTCCGTCCCACGCTAAGCCAATATCTTCTTGAGGTACTGAACATACTGAGGTCTGAAAAGTGTTATTTTGTTAAATTTACGATTTCCTATTTTAAATTAAGTTTGCAGCTTATGCTAGTAAAGCTAATTTCTCTTGGGTCTACTAATCATACATTTTATTCCATAACATTGCCGGTGAACGCCTTTGATCTTAAAGGAAGACCCGTCAAATGCAAATGTTGCCGGAAAATAACAATTTTTATGGTGAACGATTTCAAAGATAAAGCGCTGTTGGCTTCTTGTGACATGTTAAATTTATACCCGTCAACCTTTTGACGGGACTTTCACTGGCAGGTAGTTGATGTTATAAGGAGTAACTTCGGCTACTTTTATTTCAGTAAAAGAATTAGGGTTCCGTTAAAAAAATGTAAAACTGCTAAAATAAAAAGAACTCCAGAATCAATAAAAAAAGTAGTATAGCAAATATGTACATTCTTCAAAAAACCACAATAAACACCAACCGTATGATACTGCATCTTGAGGAACCTGGCGATGTTGCCGCCCGCGAACTTGTCCACGCAGCCGATGCCGAGCAGCTGCACCAGCCAGCACGCGTGCGCCTGCAGCACCTCGCTGAACATGCAGCCCGGGATCTGCAGCAGCGCCTTCACCGCCACCACGGACACGTTGTAGCGGAGTAGCCACGACCACCTGCGAGTGTACACCCACTAGTATTATCGAGATCAAAGTCATTCTCCGTCATCTTCTTTTTTTTTTAATATTAAAGGTTACTGAATTATTAGGGCATACACATACGACGAATTTTTGAAATGATTACATTTTAAATACGCTTAAATAATAAAAAGTAATAGCTTCATTGTAGGTAACATATTTATAGTGATTAAATATAATTTACTTATTCCATCTACTTCGCTGATTTAATTAATGTATCATAAAAATTGTTAAAACGCAAAGCACTTAAAGTCACGCGGGTCATGGTTATTAAATTACATTACATATTAAAAAATAAACGAACACCACACTCACCATTTCAAAATAGCTTCTTTAGGGCGTAAGTAAAAGTCGGTGCCTTGCCAGAGGAATATGAAGGAGCCGATGAGATATCCCATAGAGAACAGATTGACGCGGTTGGTGCCCGTCATGAACATGATAGCCAGCGTCACCCACAGCATGCCCAGGAACACCATACGCTTCACCACGTCCAACCAAGACCTACACACATAAAAATAAATTATTACGTCAATTACTATCCATTGATAAAAAAAACTGTATAAATTGTATTAAAGAGAATCATTTTTTTACTAAAAAGTTACGGCAACTCGAAAACTGCTGGACCGATTTTTATAATCTTTGTTTTGTTGGATTTGTCTTCACCCCGAATAGCAGAATAACTATTACAAAAAATGGAAAAAAATCTATTCTACACTAAGCATCAAAACGTACCTAGGGACGAACCTGAGTGAAGCGAGGGCGAGTCGCTAGTTAATTACATAAAGAATCCTATACTACCAGAATGACGAAAATATATGAGAAAAAATATACACATTAAAAACACACAATAAAAATAGAGAACATCTACTATCTCTGTAACAATTATTATTATTATTTATGAATAAATAACATAATTATATACATATAAGTTTATACCCGACATATCCCAAGAAGTCTGGTACAGGATTAACAAATTTCGTCGTCTCCCAATCCTTGCCAATGTCTTCGCTATTGGAGCCTCCTGGATATGCGTCGCCTTGTGCCTTCTCCACCCGGAACACTCGCAGCTGTCGCGCCGCGAACAATAGTAAGAAGAAGTCGAAGATCAGCTTCACAGCGTGCGGCGGCTCGTCATTGTACGGTAGGAACAGCCATGTTCGTATATGTTTCATTTGCTGCAAGCAGTCGTTTTTATTGAAGTTCTACTTCTCTTGGCACATTTGGAAAAAAATATGACAATAAATTTTTACGATGTGCTCGCACATCGACTCTATGAAGGTAGTTGAAAGCGACATGATGAAGTTAGCTGCATTTCTTTTACAAACAGAGAGTTGTGGCATACGGGATGAAATTTACGCCAAAGAAGTATAATTTCTTCCGTGCGTATATAAGTACACAAACGCGTTTTTTTTGTTAAGTAGCAGGTACATAATATGCACAGTACTGTAATAAGTAAAATATGTATTAAAAAACAATTTACATATACTTTTGGATATACTTAAAATAAATTTTTACCTATATTTAGAAAACACCTAAAATTATAATGGCTATTCAAGGGTTTAATCTATAACATTTAATTTTACTAAGGAAGAGATTAGAAAATGCTTTAGAGGTGTCCATAATACCTAAGTTGACAAATAATAGGACAATGCTTTAACTGATTGTTTCTTCGCGCAGAACGGGATGAAGATTTTTTGTATGGCTTCCAAACAAAATGAAAAGAAAACATCCATATATACTATTCAACTGAAACCGACAAATATTATTATTATAAAAAAAAACATAAATCTCCATCCCAAACCGAGACCACTCACTTCGGAGCCACCACTCCACGGGTAGTCCACGCACAGCAGCGGCACGAACCCCACGGCCACCATGTACTGCAGCGGCACCAGCACCGTGACGCAGGCGGTGAAGGCCGGCCACAGGCGCGCGAGGCGCGCGCGCCGCGCCGCCGTCAGCGCCAGCAGCCAGCCCGCGTACACCACCGCGCACACGTCCATGCGCGACCCGATCACGCCCATCAGGCAGATCAGAGAGATCTGATCGGTTTTGTTTGTTAATACGGTAACCAAATAAAGTAAATATAAATATGTTGGAACAGCACCATCTAGTTCCATGGTAAGCTACGAGGCTTGTGTTATATATACCAGATAGTTGATACACTACACATATATAACTTTAAATAAGTACATATTATAAATATAAACACCCATGACTATAATGCAAACATTCGTCAAAACACAAATGTATATCCCCAGCAGGCCTCGAACCCGCGACCGCTGGCACAGCAAGTAGGGTAGGGTAGGCAACTACAAACTGAGCCAAACGTGTCGTCAAAAGTCAGTAACATCTAAGTATTGATTTTCAAATTATTTTACTCAAAAATCAGTCGATACTGTACTTTATTTATAGTTTATCATGTTCTTTTAAGCGAATCAGAAATTCATATAAAATAATTGATATTTTTATTAAAATAATTATACATATATTTTCCTAACAACGATTTGTTTTTAACTAACATATTTCTAGTTTAATATAGCAATGCTATTCCATGCATTAAAAGCTATAAAAAAATTAAAAAAAAAAAACAAAAAAAGTTACCTCAACACCAAATTTGTAAAAGCCATAATTGATAAAATATTTAATGCAATGTAATATGTCTTTATCCGCTTCCTTGCGGGTAACTTCTGGAAACATTATTTTTTCTTTGTGGCCCGGTAAAAGTCCCAAGGCCCTAAAATATACATAAGGCATGGATATAAAAAAAATATTAAAAAAATAATACATTATTTTTTTAGTGTTAAATATATTTTTTTAACATAGTTTAAGAAATATGTGTATATACGAAATATGGTTGTCCTATTGTATGTACTTACCGAATAGTTTGTTGGCGATATGTGACTAAGGAATAGAAAGTAAAAACGGCGATGAGTCCGATATATCCCTTTAGCAACACTACCAAGGGACGAGCTGAACTCGCCTTGCGGAATCCGACCCATTCAGCATTGTTGTACGTGGTTGTATTTAAAGTGTTATTTTCTCCCATCTATAAGAAACACGTACAGTTCACTTAGTTTTTAAAGAAATATGATATGCCTAATTACTAAAAAAGGGCACTTTATATATATATATATTATATATATATATATAGTTTGTTATAAAATAAACTTTCACACAAAAATATTTTGAAGTGAAACTTCTTTAGAATCGTTGTGATTTGAAACTAGATGAAACGGAAATGCGACACGAGAAAGAGAAAAACGTAAATATATAGGAATAAGACGGCGAGAGAATGAGATAGAATACATTACACAGGAAGAGAAAAATAATACTAAATAATATGTTATCTAATATATGTTAAATAAAATGTAAAATAACTTTTAAACTTAGTAAAAAAAAACTAAACCTTACAATTATTTTAAATATTATATTTATATAATAATGATTACTTATAAAAATATATATTATGTATTATTTTCTGTGGGATGAATTCCCAAGGAGGGTTGACGTCAGGCGGGCGGCCGGTCGTAAAACTTTTGCCAAATCCTATCAGCAGTACAGAAGCTGTACTGTGCCGACCCCAAGTGATTGGGAAATGGGCAGGGAGAAGAAGAATTACTGTGGGATGAATATGCGTAAATTGAATAAAAGCTATTATGACTAATTGTTGCCATGGTAACTGTTGTTATTGTCTGACCAATGGTATATTGTTATACTCCTTATATTCTTTCCGTATAGGATATTCTATAAATATATGATTGTAATATACCCAAAATTTAATAATTGATTTGTTTTAATTTAATTGCTATATTTGCCAAAAAAATGTTACCTCAACCGCGCGTAAAGGTTAGACGCACCTATATTTTTTTATCTCAATAGTAGGTAAATAAATATTGGGAACTTACTTTAGTACAGTTTACTTCAAAATACGAATGCTTGATATATTCAATCTGGTAAACCATCTTGGCCATGAAGTAGATGCTGATGAGTGTGGATATGAAGAGCACGCAAATCCTCTGCCGCCGCGAGCTCAGCCACAGCGCCGGGCAGATCAGTATCATGATGGGCACGTGCATTGCGCACACCTGATACACAAAATAATGTTGCTGATAATGTCATTTTCAGTAATTTTAAATACTTTATGTATCTTCAAAAAATAAATCTTTAAGGAAGGAGAGCATATATTTAACACCCAAATGGCTGATGAAATCTTCTTACTACGTTTACTTTGAAAGGTTAACAAATCATCAATCAAGATAGATTTTAAAAGTTCTACAAAAAATATTGTAGTAGTAAAATATATTTTTTTAAGGATATATAAAACATTTGGGGGTTAATCCCAAAACTCATCCATCTATCCATTAATCTTCTAAAATCTATTTAGATTTATAAACAAGGTTTCAAGGACCTTTAAAATCTACAATTGCATCAAAAACTCACGTTAAACACACACAGCAGCATGAGGGACAAGAATATAATTTTAGTGAGGTGTATGTCGAGCAGCGCGAAGACGTTGTCCGTCCACGCGCGGAGCCGGCGCCGCAGCGCGCCGAGCTTCAGCGCGAGGAACGCGCGCAGGGCGGACAGCGTGGACGCGCGCTCCGTCACCGTCGGCGCGTACGAGCGGCTGCGGGATGACTTCCTGTATAGAACATACAGTTAGATTAATTATTGAAGTGAGACTTTTTTAGAATCGTTGTGATTTGAAACTTGATGAAACTGAAATGCAACACTAAAAAGAGACAAACACATAAATATATAGGATTGAGCCGATGAGAGAATGAGATAGTATAATACATTGCCATGTTCCCATGGTAATTGTTGTTATTTGAGATAGAATACATTACACAGGAAGTGAAAAATAATCAAATTAATTTCTGTATAATATGTAATGTATATTTATGCCAAAATAAAATGTAAAATAACTTTTAAACTTGGTAAAAATATTATTAAAAAAATAAGCCTTATAATTATCCTGCTCCTGATACTCTATATTCATCTCATTCTCTCGTAGGTTACACACACGCACACTTTTATTTTTTTATTGGTTAAAAAAAGAATGTCAATTCGGATGTGGTATTTTAGTGTGTTACTATATATCTCCACTTATTGTGAACCAAATCACATTCTTCTTTTAATTAAAGATGATAGTCTGTCTCTTTTTAGTTAAAAAAAACATTATTCTGGACACTGACCTTCCTTCGATAAGAGGACGATCAAACCATAGTCCACCACGCTAGCTAAGGACATGTTGGTGGACTTCACATATCTTTTAGAATCTAGTTAGGTGCATCGTAAGGAGAGTGGTAATCACGATGAACAGGATTCGAAAATATCGCTTTATTGATTTTCCAAGCGAATGTGCATTGCTATTGGTACTCTGACCTTAGTGTTCAGTATAATTGCCAATAAATATTTGCACATTTTTAATATATAGAAGAATAAAGAAAAAGTTATGTATGTACTAAAATGAACATTTGTTATTAAGATGTTGTAGTATTTCAAGAACAATAATATATGAGCTTCAATGTAAAACCTTAGTTATTTATAAAATATACCATACCTAGTCATTTATATAAAAAAAAAACAGAATACCTATACATAGAGCGTCTAGCCGCAGTATTGAATGACGACGTGCCTATAGACTGCTCCGCCTCCGTGTCACTATCAGAGTTCTGCTCCGCTTTACCCTCCAATGGCAATGCCGGCAACTAAAATTTATATGTATTCAACAATAAACCATACTCGTTATTAATATAAATGATATTTAAGCCGCCTCGGTGGTCTAGCAGTTAGCGTGTACAGCTACAGATCCGGAGGTCTTGGATTCGGATCCCGAGTCGGGCCAAGTTTAATTATTGAGTTTTTCTGTTAAGATATTCTCAGTAACAGCTTGGAGTTAGGAAGTTGGCGTTGTTTCACCGCCGTGTCTCGGAGAGCACGTGTCGCGTCGGTCCTGCGTCTTAACTCTCATTGGTGGTGTTGAAGTATCGTCCCACCGGACTTTGAGAATAAAAGGAATACAGAGTGCGTACTTGTGCAATACATATAATATATCCTACGCATCTAGCTAGTCTCAGTGAGATTGACCGCGTGGCCGAAATCGGTCAGGACTCAGATGGACATTATTATTTGAATGAGTATTTTACTCCTGTTACTTACATCATCTTTCATAGTAGAAGTCCCACCAGTAGGCTTGCTAGATTCTGCCTCTCTAGCAACACTATTCGTTCTGTAAGATGCTTGATGTTAAAACTTACTAAGCTTTACTAAAGTAATCGCCCTAGAATGATTCGAGAAGCCATAGAAATTAAAAAACATCCAAAACAACTATATCTTTAAGACATGTAACACCTCAGTCTCTCCCGTGACCATGGATGCTGTAAAGCATTCGAAACGTCGGGAACCAAAAATCAAAATAAATCCGCGAAATAATCCGAAAAGATAGTTTTATTTAATAACTTTACTAAAGTAGGTAACTTACAGAGGTGTAACTTTTTTTCAAATAATAAACAGTAGTAACCAGACTATATCTCAATGTTATATTATAAAACATAATAAGCTGATCGAATTAAAGAAATTTCTCACCTTGTTTTCGGATCGGAGAATACCATAAAATCTTTGTGGAAGTAGTGCACCTGCATTATAGTTATTATGAGAAACAACGTAGGCGTTAAGAGCTTCACGAACAAATCAGCTGGGTGATATGGTTCTAAGCCCAAATCGTGTTGTCTGAAAAAATAAAAGAATCAGCCCCATATAGTTATTTGTATATAGCTTTATTTATCATTTTTTTATCTTAAAAATTCCCATAACTTACAGTCTTTCGTTTATCAAGAGGTAGGTCTCTATAGTTTTGGAGAAGTTGTCGAACTGGTATATGTATATAAGAATAAGATTTATCATAGAGTATATGATCACAGTTATCCAGAAGACATACATTAAGCGTCTCCACCAATACCAACTTATCTGAAAACATACATTAAGTAAAAATTATGACAGTTTTTTTCCAATTACAATAAATTAAATTCCAATACACAAGAATTCATATTCCTCACTATTTCATTTTATTACTAATATTGTCTGGCTTATATGTCAAATAAAGAAAATTCAATATTACTAGGCACGTAAAATAACGTTATTTAATTTTATTACATCTACAGTACCTGGGCAAACGAGCTAGGCACGGAGTTTTTGGCCAAATAAACTAATAAACCAATTTCAGCGAAATCGTTAGAGCCGTTTCCGAAATCACCGGTATAAATAAATATACAATAATTGCTCGTTTAAATATTAAAATATCAACATATATGTATACAATGTACAGTACCCACCTGGAACATTAGTATAAAAACAAGGAAAAGGAACATATAAATGATTCGGAAGATAGTCATGCGGTCGCCCGTGATGCCGATAACGAACAGCATGATGACCACCACGTATATCCAGTAGCGCGCGCACGCGGCGCGGAACCACTCGCCCAGCGCGACCAGGAGACGAGAACGGTGCTCTTCTTCGCGGGAGCCTTCTGCACCTACCGCTGGAATACCAGTTGTAATTTATTTAAACTGGACAAGCCTTTGCAAACTAGTTGTATAGGTAGGTAGGTTGATTGTTTGAAACCTACTGGTTACCGCGAAGACGTAGACTTGCGTATTTATATACCTACTGTCTACTGATTGGGAAAATGACTAAATAGTCGATAGTTCGTTTATATTTTATAGCAAGTCTCCCATTTATATTTAAAGTGCAATAAATGTAGAATTAATAGGTTTGTGCAGTAAAAAAAGGTATGGAAAAAAAGACAAAATATGAGTTCTACAAAATTAAATCTGTCCATCTAATCATCATTCTTTTTTTTTGTTCGCGCTAAACTTCAATAGCTCAACTAATTTTTTTTATAAATTTTTCAATTCTAATCCACCGCACAAATCAAATATTATAGTGGTAACACCTAAAATAAATTTTGGTGGGATATACTTGCTGAAAAACAATATTATTTCAAATATGCTGAAATTCGTGCTTGTGTAATATGTCAGCATTTTAGAAAGATTGCAGTGTTTACAGTGTAATAAAAAAAAAAAATAAGCGTTATATCCGTAGAAAACACTAACGTTATTTGCATACATATCAATTTATAAGATAGCTTCTAAATTAATAATGTACAAAATATTAACATTTTTGTTCGTATTATAATAAAATATTGGTGAAAATGAAATGTGTGTGAAATTTATATTTTTGTTGCCATTAAAATATTTGTGTTAATAAAAAATATGTTAAATTTAATTACCGTTTGCGAAACCTTTGTAAAAATGCAAAAATTCAACGTAGTCATAATCATAATACATACTAGGTATATTGTTAAAATAATATTATATAGAATGATTTTTAATAGGGGAGACCATAAAACATACGTATTCTCTTCCCAAACCAAAAAAAAACGAACTAAAAATGCTATAAAAATTACTGTTTATTTTAAAATATACCTATAGTAGGTATTTTAAATAAAAATAAATACTTTACTTCAATAATTTAAAAGTAAATACTTTACTTCAATTATCAACAGGCTTTTTTTAATAATTTTAATGGTGTAAAACATAAAACAATATTATTTATTAGGTATGTATACGTTACTGTAAAAACCCTTATATTGGTAAATTTTAGGTTTTACTGGAAAATTTTAGGATTTATCATAGTTCAAGCTTTTACAGTAACATATACACCTCTATTAATAAAGTAATTGTATCATTATCTATCTATTTATTTCTTAATGATTGGTTATTTTAACTAAGAACAGGTCTTACCACTAGCCGCAGTAGACACAGTGAGATGTAAAGGCGCGGCCATATCAGTGATGACGGCTGAGTGACGTCGCTCGCGCATCTCCTGCACGCGCTGACGCAGAGTCACCCAGAACATGCACGTGAAGAGCGACTTTATGAGAAGCGGCACGCAGGGCTCACCATCAGCCCGACCGAGCCCTATTTGACGAAGATTCACCTCCTAAGATCATAGAAAAACATGGTGAACTTTCTTAAAATTAGAAAAAAAATACAAAAAGGTAATTATGTATATGTAATTTTTTCAACTTTTCTTAAAATTGCAATAATTCAATATTACAGTAAAAGTTGGGTAGAAAATGATTATATTCGTCAATTCTTGAATGTTTTCAAAGACAATCGCTCGAAAAAAAACCATTCAAACCAAAAATTTCAATTAATTATAATTAAAAATAATTATTTTAAAACTCGGTGCCACCCCAAAATTTCGAGTAAAAAATTATTTTTTTATTTCAAAAATTTTATTTTTTATAAGCTACAAATTCTACGCCCAAGCTAAGAAAAAAACATAAGTGAGTGAGTGTGTTTGCTACTTCTTGACATTGCATTGCATCTGTTCTTGTATCATAATCAAAAAACTATAGGTTACGTAGTCTTCGTAAGATATATTTTGTAACATGATGCAGTGTTGTATTATATTTATCTTATCTTTTTGCGGTTATATACGTAAATAGGTACATAAATATTCAAATAAACAATCGTAATACAATCTGTTTGGGTATGTCTCAACAAGTACGAGAGAGAAGATATATTTTTTTTAATTTATAATTATGCTACCTAACTAAGAGCATGTTGAGTTTTCTTTCTTGACTTTTTCTGACAAAATAGATATTTTGGCATTAGTTATGTAAAATAACTCACAGTGATATTTGATGGTAGTTCATCTTCCGTAAGATTCATGCCGTATATGTATTCAGCGAGGAGAAGTAGCATTGCGTAACAAACTAATATTGGACTGGTCTTCAACATGAAGGAGCGCTGGTCCTGGCAGAGCCAGACAATGTTGGCCCACATCAGGAGAACAAATGTGAGCCACGAGTGGAACATTATGCTCCATGCCATCATTGTTATAGTTGTTGCTATGTAAGAGGATCTGAAAAACATAAACTAGCTATAAAATAAGTTTATGAGATCGATTACCGGGTCGGGCCCATTATAATTATCATGTTTTATTGTCAAAGAATTTTCAGCAGCCGTCGAGAGTTGAAACCATGGCAGTATTACAACCCCGTATATCGCTTCAACCCCGCGTTTTATATAAAAGTTTAGTTAGTGATAAAGATTTGTATAATTATTGCTGAAACCTTCTAAACAGTAAGTTGATCAATAAAAAATATTTGATAACAATAAATAAAAACAATATAAATGTACATTTTTAAATAAAAACACTTACCTCACTAACACTTGGAAGAAGTCTATAACAGCTGCTACTATTTCATCCATTAAAGTTGGCTCTTCTGTTTCCATAACTGATTCTATAACAGTTAATTATTATGGGTTACAATTTTATGCATCCTTCCTTACACATATAAAATGAAGTCGAAGGCAGGCGTCTGTCTGCCTGTACATATATGCACATAAATTACAGAAAATTTAAAATAATTTAGATGCATTTAAATGTGGTTATAATCTGCATCTTTCCAAAAGCATTTTAAGTATATCAAAAACTGCCCTAGCACTGACACTAGCTAATAGTAGGGGAGCCCAAGAGGGGATTTTCTGTAGTTACTCGAGCGCGGCAGATTAACATAAAAGAGGTTACCTTGCACTCTATTGAGTACTTTCACCACAATATAAGTCTTCTATATAAGGGGGCGCGTCTAGGGAAGCCGATTAAAATATTTAAAAAATGTTTTGATAAGGTAGAAATACTTGAAACCGTCAGATTAAGGTGTGGTAGGCTAGTCACATCCTGAAAAGTGTCCAATTTAATAATCTGCCGATTTGCACAAGCCTAAGAGGCAAAAATCATCATAAACTTTATTGTCGATTTTTATACTCAATAGAGTGCAAGGTAACCTCTTTTATGTTAATCTGCCGCGCTCGAGTAACTACAGAAAATCCCCTCTTGGGCTCCCCTACTATAATCATTATTCAGTATTAGCGAGTCGAGTCTGTAGTAAGATCGCTGATTGGTCGTTTTATCGAGGTGCGCTACCTTAACGGTTGTAAATAAATAAAAATATTGCATTAAATTTTAGCAGATATAGTTATAAAAATAAAAATACGTAGTAAAAACTTTTATAACATACTCGTAGTAAAAATAGATACTTTACAGTACGTCTATTCGTTATATTATTTTTTTACTTCCAATAGTAAAAGTTTAAAAAATCATCTTTATTATTTGATTTTAGTTACTACTTTTAACTATTAGTTATTACCTTCATCTGGTACAACAACTGATCCGGTGGAGTCTTGGTGTAGCTGCCGCGTGACCGAGCCACCGCGTGTTCCCGACCAACGCTTGCTTGGACTCATATTACGTAGGAGCTGTCGAGTTTGTTAGCTATGTTATACTTTCATAACAACTATTATGTATATTACAGAAATATGTTTTGACAATTTCGTAGTTAGATTTACTCTAAAACATTTATGCCAAAAAGTTTTGAATTTAATGCAATGAAATATTTGGCAAGGAAAGAAAAAGTTCAAATTGGTTTAAAGAAAATATACTTAATACTTATATTATTAACATTAAACTTTAACTATAACAGTTAGTACAATGTTACCTAAAATATACAAAACAACACTCACACACAAACACACACACACACTTTAAGCGATGCGTAACACATTATAATGTATGTATACCAACACTGAATAATTTTGTGAGGATGTACACGAAAAGCTCAAGTGCAAATATATGTTAAAATAACACTCATCGGGAAAGGCAAGACTCGTTCCAAGCAAATATTAATCGATAAAAAAAAATTGAATACCTACAGGATCATTTTCACCGGTGTTCCCTCGAAGTGCTTTGGAATTTATGTATGAATATGCAACCTATAAAAGAACGAAAGCTGGTTGCAAAAAATACATATATCATACATCATAATGCAAATAATCTTCTGTAAAACATTCTTCAGATGTTAGCACAAGCATTCATGCAGTGAACTATATTAAAATTAGTGAACACTGTTAGGAATGTATAATAAGTAAATAATTAACTAAAAGACTACAAATAAATTCTTTTAATTAAATGTATATACTTGAGTTAAATATATAATTAAATTTTAAATCAATTTAAAACTTAATTATAAATAAAAAAAATTAAATCTTAATCAAACTTTGTTTTACTCATTTGATTAAAAGAATTTTTACGTAGGAACCGGAACTAGATACATAATATAGGTACTAGATTTAGAGTGAACGACTAGAAGGTACCTATTACTAACAAGTAAAATATACAAGTAATTACAGTTGTATCTAACTAAAATTCTACGACTATTATTTACAATATTTGAGATACAATATTTTATACAGATGATCCATAATCATACACGGACGTAATTTTATACTTTAAAAACAATATTTACATTTTTTTCATTTTGCAAACGTTAAAATCAACGTATAGCAAATAATAATAACTTCTATATATACATTAAACGAAAATGTTTAGTCCGTATATGAACTAACAATACGAGTATGTGTGCCAACATAAATTCAAAACTAGTGAGAATAGTGCAGTATCGTTGGGCCGGCTTACGCGAACTTTCTTCGTGGCATTCCTCCATTTGTCCCGCGGCGCGTGTCTTCTGTGGAAGGATACGCCTCTCACCAACGAACCGTTCACTTTACCAGCCTCGAGACCGGTTAAAGCACTCTTTTTCTTCGCCTATCCGACCCGTTAGCAAAATGTATAAATTGCAAGTGTATTCAAACTACATAATAGCACTAGACCGGCATAAATCTACGGCGTTAGTCATGGCCATGTCCAATATTAAAAAGCGAGTCAGTATTAGTTCGAGTAATGATAATATTTATTAAATTTTTCATTCAAAAAAATGATTAAACGATGCAGGCGTACGCACCTTAGGCTTGAAGAGTTCTCGCGTCTCAAGTGCGAGGAAAAAATATGAGAATAGTATAATGAAAGGACTAGCCAATGTAGCCCACATATGATCATCTGTAACCTCGTACGTAAAATTCGAAGGATCCGTTTCATTGAGTATTACTAATTTCGTGAGGCCAAAATACCTGTTGATAAAAATGACGATAATCTTATATTCAAAAAGTAGGTCTCTAAAGATATTTTTATATAATAAATATTAAAAATAATACTTTCTTAGATTTACGCGAATATTTGATATTTTAAATAAAACTATCTTTTCGGATTATTTCGCGGATTTATTTTGGGGTCTGTCTATTACAAGTATGTGTTTCAGACGTCTATAACATTTGTCTCTCCTGTGACCATGATTGCTGTAAAGCATTCGAAACGTCGGGAGCCAAAAATCAAAATAAATCCACAAAATAATCCGAAAAGATATTTTTATTTAAAATATTAAAAATACAAATAGGAAAATATAGTAATAACCTTGCCATATCTGTCTCTGGGGGGAAAATGTCTATAATCCAAGTGCACTGGTATACAAGTAGTACCGCTATATGTATTCCCATGATAGCCATAATACAGCGGCTCACTACTGCGAAACCTCGTTCAAGAGGTCTACCTAGAGCCCACGCCGTCGCTGTTCCCATAAATACTAAGAAGTAAATTCCTGAAGTGACGCTTGGACGCATAATCCCAGAAAACATTAACAAAAAGAGGGCTAAATATTTTCCTGCAACAGTAATTAAATGAAAAAAATTAAATATACATATTATGTACTAAGTGCTGTGCAATATAGGTACTAAGCAAATTTTATACCGGCGCCCGTGAGAAGCGGAAATCTTTGATGCTTTGAATCTTTTCTCACAACTTCATCATTAGGTGATCCAACGAGAAGCATGCGGACCATCAAGTAAACTATTAATGATGTACCCATTACGATTAACTGAAAATAATTAATAAATATAAGATCCTCATCTCATATTAAAACTAATTAACATTAAATATGTATCACATCAATTAATTTACCTCAGGTGCCAGATAATGAACCGCCATAAGAGGATCGATCCCCGCATATGAAACCAGTCCAAGGTTGTATCCAATCATTTGTATTATCGGATAGTCCTCTAAAAGTGAACCGTATGGCGCAAATCCAGCCAATACGCTGTGCCATGTTGCGTGGACTAATAAAAGCAGTACTGATACCGCGAGATTAAGTTGGAGATATTTGCCTCGAAAGCCTGATACCAAAAAGACGGAATCACACATTAAAATTTTTAAACATTTGTGAATATAGGTATACGCAATTAAAAGTGATCCAAAACAAAATCTGCATAGTGTATTATATAGTATGAATTTGTATAGTAGAAAACTATCACGTAATATTTATTTCAAATAATATGTACATAATATGTTTTAATTGTGAACACAGAAAATATAGGCTATTGAAAGAAGCCATTTCTGCTAAGTCTCTTCTAGTGCTGTTTTTGAACAAGCCAAGAAAAATACAAAGTAAAATACGAGTATAATTTATTGTGTAAATATAGAGTTTTTAGTTTCGTCTAATTTATAGGCTCACCTCGGAACGTTTTGGAATCTGGCACTTGGGGAAACGGTGCTATCAAGTATAGGAGTAAATATATCAGAGAAAGTCCAAAAGGCCGTAATGCAATACCTGTAAAGAAAATAAATTATGTACATATGTTTTTGTATTTCAAATGTTTGTGTCGTCACAGTATCTACCTAGAATGCAATAAACTTAAATTTGTGCGTTATACTCGTATGCATTTCGCTATCATTCAGCCATAATTTAATAGTACGATAACCTATATAATATATAAGTATACGATAACCCATTATCAGTGATTTTATCAACCACGCCTAAATTATTTATGCTGTAATTTATTTATTTATTTATTAAAGGACAACCAACAAAAGATACACCTACATTAAAAACGGTATGATATTCATGTGCTAACAATTTCATAAATGTTCTTTTAGTTATAGGTTATCACAACATGCTCTTTTTTTTAAATCACGTCAATAACATTTAATTACAAGATGCAAATTTAAAACTTAAAATTTAAACTTTTTATGAAATACTTAGGTATCACATGCATCCATCTATCCGCTATTATGAATTATGTTTGAAATATTAATTTTTTTCTTGTATACGAAATTCAAACATCATATATGTTTAAATCATGTATTTATGTATACATATATATCTTCTTATCTTCATAAATCATAAATAACGTGTAATATACAAATTACGAGAATACTATTGTTTACTTACTAACGTTCACTGATTAGTTTACGTTTGTGACGTTTAGAAAACAAGAAAAACAAACTCAACAGACATCTTGTAAATAATTACTGATCATGGCTCTTAAATATTTTTAAATTACCTTATTCCCCATTTATCTTTAGGAAGTTCTTTAAAAATGATAAAGATTTTTCAATATGACTCATCTATAAATTAAGTCTAACAAGACTACTCAGACGCGCGGACGGACCTATAAAAGTCTATCCGGCTAGTAGCTATCTATTACAATATAAAAGATATACATACGTTTTAAATTATAATATGGAGCCGATTGGATTTTTACAGTATAGGTACGTGTTACGGCTGAAACATTTATAAAAAAATTTGCCCTTTAGACCAATTATCACAACAATAATATCTATGCTATATTGGTGTTCCTTTTAGTGATCATGTATACTTTTGACCGATTGAGGTCATGTCCGCGTAACGTAAGTATATAGATAGATACATATTTGTTTTATCAAACCGTCTGGTTTGTAAAGTTGTAATAGTTGGCATATGTAGTCAAACTATCAACAACTTCTGTATCTGTGAAACAAACTATTTCATTTGCACCATAGAATAATGTTGGTTTAATGTTAGAAAAAACTGAAACAGATGTAGAAACGCAGAAGGCGCTATGTCAAATTATTTATAGATATATAATAGTTACACATACTTAATAAAATAATCAGTATCTTAGCGAAATCGATATGCGCGTTTCACGCAAAAAGTAGTGATCCGAATTAAACTAAATTTTGTGTAGTGATAACTTTTTACTCGGGTCAACATTTAAGATACCTTTTACTATAGGAAAATCTTTCATTCCCACGGGAAAACACAATTACTGGTTCTATCGAGTTGTCCTTAGTTTATATGGCTAACGCTGGTTAAATTTTAAAAGTCCGCAATATCTTAATGTACAATCGCAATAACTATTTTTATTACATACTAGCGACTCACCCTCACTTCGCTCAGGTTCGTCCCTAGCTTGCTTCCCCATACAAACTTTTATCCCCATTTTCACCCCCTTAAGGGATGATTTCCGGAATAAAAAGTATCCTATGTCCTTCCCAGGGTCTCAAACTATCTTCTTCCCAAGTTTTATCTAAATCGGTTTAGTAGATCCAGAGATTACCCACTACAACGTCACAAACTCACAATTCACAAACTCATAAACTTTACCTCATGAAAAAGTCTTTTCATTCTTCGGGTTAATATATAGCCTAACGTGGCTTTCTATTGGTAAAAGAATCTTTAAAATCGGTTCAGTAGACCCAGAGATTACCCCCAACAACGTCACAAACTCACAATCTCACAAACTTTACCTCTTTATAATATTAGTATATAGATAAAAGGCAATGTCGCGACTGCCTGATTGACTTATCAACGTTCAGCCAAAACCAATGATGACTGATGAATGATAGACGTTTAGAAATTGCAGAGGACATTGACTTTATACTGTAGGCGTCATTTTAGAAAGGATTCTTCGAAATTAGTTAACCCCTAAAGGTTTTTTAAATTCTTAATTAAATTATATTTCTAAATTAAATAAGTTATTTAAGGGGTAAAAGGGGTGGAAAAGTTTATATGGAGAATAATTATTTATGATCAGGATTACTTGAAACTTAATATCAATGCTCTGGTAAATGTAAAGTTATTAAGAATATTTACCATTTTAACATTTTTATTGTTAAATTTAGGTATTCCGCTCCAAAATATCAAACAAAGATATAATAAAAATAAGTACATACAGATTATTAAAAATTCATCCTTTGAGAGGATAAAATACTTTTAGGGTGCAGGCAGCTTAAAAATCGCTATTAATGCGTTCTGACGCTGAATATTAAAACACTCCCACAGGTTTATTTTTAAATAAAGATCCCAATTTTGTTGTAATGTTTTTATTATTATGCATAATAATCAATAAACAATAAAAAGAAAAGAGAAGATATGCTAGAAACTGTTATATTATTTATTAAGCTATGTAATATAATTAGCTCTGATATATTAAGCAGATTAATGGAAATTCTATACAAAGTTATACTACATAACTACCTACTAATGAAAGCGTACCTTAATTTTCCAAAGAATATTTCTTCCAATTATACGGGATTTTAAGAGATAATAAAACTATGTTTATGATTTACAGTCATATTTGGTTACGATGATGTTACACGACAAATGCCAAAGTAACATTTAGATGTGGTATTGTTGGAAGGGCATATTAAACATACAACTACCTATGTATAAAATTGTCCTACTTTCACGTCTGAAATCGTTATTTTTAATACCATTTTCATCGAATATGCCAAGATTAGCTGACCTTTTATTTCGTTGAACGTCTTTGATGTTTTAAGTATGTAAAACATTTTATAATGATTCGTCAGTGACTCATTAAAATTTCATTGACGACAAAAGTTTTTTTGTGATCGTAATTCTTTGTCAATATTATACTAAGGCAAGCCTATACATATATGTATTATGTTTATCAATATTCTTTTTCTAGTAAGGATAATTCATTGATAAATAAAAATCTACACAAATATAATAAAATTCTAACTGAGTCGAATTTATATATGTATTAAATATTTTTTTTGAAAATTTTATTGAACTAATTATTATCATCGATACCGAAGCCGAATCTATAGTTTTTAGAGTTTTTGTCTGTCTGTCTGTCTGTCTGTCTGAGAACGCATCACAATAAAACCACTGAACAGATTTTGATATTTGGTATGATGATAGGTGGTTTTTCCGTTTTCGGGTCAACATATGTCATATTGCATATAGGAAGATAGGTCTTTTAACCGCGGAAAAATATCTCATTACTGAATAATCTTTACTAACTGTTAAAACGTACTTAGGGTCTTCCCTAGGAACCCGAGCGGAGCGAGGGTCAGTCGCTAGTAATACAATTTAAATGTTTATAGTCTTTCCTTAGTCGTCAAACTAACATAAGACTTTTATGAACTTGTTGTTGGCATGTTAATCATGTATAAAAAGCCTAAAACTTCATTCCATATCTTTAGCCGACTTCCATAGAGGAAGTTCTCAATTCATCGAAATCTTTTTTAATGTACATATGTTCACCGATTACTCGAAAACGCCTCAACCGATTTGGAAATTTGTTTTTTTGCTTTAAAGGGTATATCTACTTCCCAGGTGATCCCATTAAAATTTTATCGAAATCAGTCAAGCGGTTTTTAACAAATCAACAATAAATTATTCTTTTAAAAAAATAGCTTAATCGAATATGTTATTAAACAAAACTTTCTTCTTACAAATTATCTGCTTATTACGTTTACACTAAAATGGAAAAATAAAAACTAAAAAAACACTGAATTCCAGGCACTAAAAAGTAAAAAATAACTAAACGGCAGTTATATAACCCAACATATGGTCTATTTAAATATCTTTCTCGGAAGGATCTCTTATTATAAAATGTATCGTCTCTTTAAAGATCTTTCACAAAAGGATCGGTTATTATAACCAATGCACATGCAAGGCAAATGTACGGCCTCTTTAGAGTTCTTTCTCAAAAGAATCTGTTATTATAAACAATGCACTTGTAAGGCAATTGAGCTGTCACAAATAGCAAGCAATTAAGCATAGTTTAAGGGCCGAAGGGTCCTTTTTTTGGCTGAGAACCCACTGCCCACAGACACTCTGCACTAATATATCATATAAAATCATAGAAAATAAGAAAATAAAGTTAGTTGTAACTACTCTTTAGACGAAGAACGTTGTAACATTACAACCCACAGTCCCGATAACTTAACTGGCGCAGTCGGCAGGATCGCGTCTGTTGACATAAACCTTATACTCAGCTGAGTCATACCACGGTGTACTAGTCCAGATAGACCAGTACCTACCGCGACGCGATTAAGAAACCTGAAGTCGTAGACTGGAGAATTCGGTGGAATCAAACTTTTACAGAAAGGCGGTGCAGCTCAAATAAGAGGAACACTTGTGGGGTAAGCAAAATTCTATTATATTCCCAGTTTCGTTTATATTACTATTAAATCTTATTTGTTCGGTGTTCAATATGAAAGTGTTTTTTTTTATTTTTTAAAGTTTATGTAAAGGTAATTCGTATATTGAACATTGCCACGAGAAACTTTGCATTTGGTAAAAACCCATTATGCATGTATTGCATTTCTATTACCCACGTACGACGGTAGAACTTTAAATTATTATATTAAATCGGTCGAAAATGTTCTCGATATAATAGGGAACAAACAAGACCCATTCGTCACTTGCTTAATAAGAAACAAGTTGACAGATAGAGCCGTTGCAGTTTGACGTGGTGTGAAAGCGCCTATACTTGGCCAGAAGTAAAATAAGTTCTAATAAGACGCCTCGGTGACTCT